TGAGGAGATCTTTTGGTACGTAACTTCCCTCAAAGTCAAACGACCTGTATTCTTCTTGGATGAATTTGAGGGCTTGAGGTGCAGAAAAGCCAACGATCTTGAGAATGACAGAAGGAACGAGAGTGTCTCGGGCGGACCCATTGAGTGCCAATGTCTTCTGCCAGTGTGGACGAAGTATCCGAAACACAGGGTGATCTGGTTCGAACTGTCGATTGGCGGAAACGATGATGGACTCTTCAACCAGATGGGTACGTGTAAGATGCACGGTAACTTCATGCCGGAACCAGTCACTACATTGCACACATGTTTTGGCTATGATCAAAAGTCAGCACAAGACGTGGGAGATGTAATTTATGGGAGAATTGACCATATCTCCAAGGCCAGTCATTAGCCTCATCAACTCTCGCCTCGTTTTTGTCATTTGGCTTTTCCTCTCCTGTCTGGATATCCGTTCGCTTGAACAATTCCCGGTTGTAGATTGTCACAGATCTCAGAGTACCCCGCCAATCGGGGACAATCGCCAGCGGATAAAGCTTTCCTTTCTCGTTCAGATAGAAAAGACACACCGACGCGCAACCATAACGAGGAGGACTGGTTTCGGTCCCATTTTTGTCCTTGGTCTCCTGTTTGATTTCATCCGCCGAGTCTATATCGGTAATCGTGCGAAAGTAGCTGTAATCCTGTACGTAAAAGGACTCTGGGCAGCTATTACTCAGCTTGCTTATGACACCTTTAGCCTCTGCATCATCTGATGTCTTTGCAGCTTGGGTAAAGTGGTATATCCAATCCTTTGAAGCCCGTGTGATTGTTGTAGGATTCGTCCCTGTAAATTGCTGCTGGGAAAAGCGGGCATCGCTGTACCAATCTTTCAAGTCGCCCACGTTAGGACGATCGAAGATGTCTTTGCGGACCCAACCCGCACGTCGCTTCCGATTATAATCTTCCACCTCTGCAATCGTCTTCCCTTGATCGGGTGTACCCTCAGCAAATAGGTTTGGCAGAGTACCCCGCATGATATTAGCCAACTGGAGCAAGCGATACCAATTGAAAATAGCCCATTTCGACATGTCTGATCGCTGATTACCGTCATTCTCGTTATTTGCCCATTCTTTGTTCAGGCCAAGGTCAAGATGGGGTGGGTACCCGTCTTCACCCTTAGTAAACACAAAAAAGTCACATTTGTCTTGTCTGGTCAGGGCGGTTGGAACCAGAGGTTCAACTTGGGCTACATCCATGAAGGACATGTACCTATCGAGCAAGTTAGCGAACTTGCAGGAGCCAATCAAATGCTTCGATGCCATTACTGTTGCTCTATAAGATCATAAATCTTAGTCAGCGCCAACTGAGTGCCCCGATATGTTCCTTTCTCAATTCTGACTGGTTCCTTTTGCTCAAAGGCTCCATAAGCTAAAACCCCTGGGTTTCTCGCCCAGGCCGCTTGCTGATGGGGGGTCAAGTCAACCTTTTTTGGCAAGAGCTGTAAGCTTGCCAATTCATTGATAAGTGCACCAGTGTCCATGTCGTTGAGAACGACCTCTTCTGGGTTCTTGGGCCATTTGCTCGAAGTTGAGGTATCACCAGGCCCGTCAACTGCGGTGAGGTTTCGAACCATGGCTGTTCGGATGAAGGCGTAGTGGCTCGCTTGTTCAGGTCAAGTTGAAAGCTAGTAATTCGAATAAGGAGACACTAGGCTGAGGTTTAAATACACTCAAATCAATATAGTGTGGATCTTATCAGTCTGACTACTCATGATATAATGATCAGGACCGAAAGCATCAACATACACACAATATACTACGCTAACGTCGTATCTTCAGCTCGTAAATCAAAGAGATGTGGACAATTGCCTACTACAGCTTACTACAGCTTCGAGACCATTGGGTGGTTGGAGCACATACTGGTGGATTTAGTGTGGATTCTCTCCGAACATAGCCCAGGTGTGGAGAGAATATAGATGTACTTTGAAGTCCCAAATTCGGCAGTGTATGATCCGTGCTATTGCCTGAGCAATGAAAGTGCTGTGCCTGGCATACCGCTCAGCGAGACTGGGGTATCGTTCAAGCTCCTCATTATCTCAGGGCTGAACAGATAATTAACACCCACGGTGGACTTTTAGATTCAGGCTTTTCTAGCTGACTGGGAGCAATCATGCATACTCAGCCAAATCTTCTACACACAGTATCCAACGCCTTTACCGATACTAATAGCGGAGGCGGGAGCTATATTGAGATTCATTGAAATTAAGGCAAAGAGAAAAAGAAGAACCACTGTTAAAACCTAACTTTCGAATACCCATACATTCCGCATCCAGCTCTTCGTCGCGATTGAAGTGTTTACATGCCTCGGCCCCACTAATCCCGAAGCGTCGCCCGCGCGGATCGTACCGTACTAAACCGAAACTTTACTGAGTTCTGAAACGTAGAAATTAACCAGAATTCTCATTAGTACAGAGAAATGTAGAGCTTTTTTGTAGAAATGACATCAAGAAAAATTTTCGAACAGGTGACCATACTCAAGTTGTCAGAAATCAAAGAGAGCTTTCGCGTCGATCTCAGTATTAATTACTTGAACGAAATGATGATGTAAATGATGCTAATGCCGAACTGGTTCGGTATTAGTGGGATTCTCAGTGTATAATTTAAGATAGACTGTTACACACTAGGGAGTGAATGATCTACGTTACATTCTGGAAGATGAATCGAAACTTTGCACTCGGTAGCAGCGTGCAGCGTGCAACTGTACCCTGAAAAAATCAAACAGGAATTCAAAGTTCCGTTAGGTGTAAGCGCTAAAAGCTAGTCGAAGATACTCATGTATTATGCTAGCTACCCTGCCGTAAGCTAGGGGCGACAGCGTCATCTGACCTTACGTGACGGTGACATTAGGTGGTCTATTGAGGCTTTTCAGATCTTAAAAGCGGAGTCCTTAGACTCATGTTGACATATAAACGAGATGGTTTAGATTAGACTTATGGTTTTGGGTTTCGGGTAGACTTTTATAACCCGGGAGAGCGATGCTAAATAAGGCATTCAGGCATCAAGGATCCCCCAAAAAAGGGGGTTTGAACCCTGAGCGCTATAAGACTGGGTATCCATAGGTCCCACCTTCCCGATCCGTAACTCCATGTGTATCCTTCGCGAAGCCTCCAACTTTTATCCCTACAGACCTTTGGCAATGTCCCATCGGATGCGAGTACTTACAGTACTACAGTCTTGAGATCACCTCAGATTTACCGACTCACTTGAATCATCTCGCGCGCCCGAGAGAGAGAGAGAGAGAGAGAGCGCAGCGACCACTTTAGTTGACAACTCTGCACTTCGTGCGATACAAACCTCTATAACCCCCAGTTGAACTACCAATCAATTCTACGGGTGCCTTTCAAAATGGTATGTCAACTAATAGTAGGGAACATCGCGATGGCATTGACGTCCCCGAAAGCTTGAGAGAAAAGGGTGCTTGGTGGGCGAGAAACTTCTCGGCGAGGTTCTTGAATCTCTGCATCATACACAACTTTCGTTGTCATATTGGCCATTTCTTCAACGACGTTGTGGCGTATACAAAGGGGATACATCTCGCTTAAGACTGCGTGTTTGGTTCAAAGCTGTGCATGCCTCATGCTGCTCGGCGAATTAATTCTACCATCGGAAATCCAGAACCCCTGTCTTATTACTGATTGGGGTAAATACTGGTGGAGACTGGGGATTGATGGTATCCCGTGGGACCTTGATGAAAGCAACCCCAGCTGTGATGGCTGGGCCACATCGAATGTCAAATATTAGTGTGGTTTCTAAAAAGGGCTTTGGGGCTTAGCTCTGTCTGTGTACTGACTTCGCGATCGTTCCTTTCTTGGCCATAATTATTACGCATGATCCACCAAGTTGCGGTTGCGATCAATCAATATCTTTACTTGCTACCGAGAATGGAATAAATCTTGGTATTCTTGATCGTGCTCCATCTAGACAAAAAGCTTGAACAGTTCGTTAGACGACACTGCACTGGATGATTATCTAAAAAGAACAAGAATTGAGAGCCTGTCCTAAAGCCAGTGTACGCTGCTCAACAACGGCGATGGGCATAGCATTCTTGAGGCGCCATCACTTGAAAGACTGCGTAATCACTATGCTTATACACACATGACGAACTCAGTCAATCAATACTAAGAGCTATTTTTATTTGATAATGGATCCACACTCTATCGAGGCCTAAATTCATTTTGTTGGGGTCCGAGCTCCATAGAAGTTTTCGTTCTTTGTCTCTCGGGTATGTCGAGGGAATGGGGGAAGTGGTTTCTTTGACACACTTGACCTTTCGGTTATATGTGCAATGATCGTCAGTATTTTTCTCATCCTATAGCCTTTTTATTGGCCCACTGCATGGACAGAAATTGGGCTTCTCGCTGCATGACTGCACCCCGCTAGACAGAGACCAATGCGTTGTTGTATCGTGAGATATACCAAGTTGCGAACACATATGGCCTCCATCTTATTTAGAGCGTTTCAATAACTGTCCCTATTTCTAATTGCATGAACTATTTCTTAATTATGTGATCATAAAACTTTAGGTGTTGAGGTTTATGATGAACGAGTTCTTATCATTCTGTTCGGGGACGACCGCACGTCAATACTTGTTCGTCAACCACAATTTCTCTCGGAAAACTCAACAACCCCATTGACTTGACCGGAGTCGTGACTGGGTCATGGTGTGAATTGGGGTGGCGTTAATATTAATGCCCAAGATCCTTCCTTTTGAATAGACTGCATATGGCGCATGATATCTGACTTGATGTCCTCAAAGAACTCGGCTAATGATTTTCTTTAGCCGCGCCAATAGAGCTAACCTGGGCAAACTTTATGTGGAGGGTGGCTAGACCAGCACTGGCAAGAAATCAACAAAGAATGTACTCATCTAATCTCTTGGCAATATAATTTTACAGTCCATATATTCCTTACGTCTCGTCTTTTAACCTCTATTCTGACTTCCACACTGAGCATATAGCAACAATGGCAGATTTTGATGAACAGGACAGCAGAGTTCCTGAGACAGTATTTTTGGTGGGGATTTAGTATAATGACTGGATTGTTTCAGTATATAACTAACGCTCTAATAATAGGCCGTGCTCTGGACTCTCACAGGCATATCGCTTGTATTCGTTGTATTCCGGATCTATGCCCAAGTTGCCTCATTCCGTCGACTGTTCCTAGATGACTTTCTCGTCATCTTCGCATGGGTCATTATGCTCACAGCGGCAGTCATTTGGCAAGTCGAGGGGAAGGTCCTTTACGAGTTATACGCCATCAGCGCCGGCGAAAAGCCATTGACTCTCCAATTCCTCCCAAGGTACAATACATTCATGCGCTTTAACGCTCCGTTTGAGATACTGTTCTATTCCGCGCTGTGGTGTGTCAAATTCTCCTTCATGGCACTCTTCTACCGAATCAGTGCCAAAGTGAAGCCTCTCCGTATTTGGTGGTTTGTGGTTCTTTTCTGCACAACCAGTGTCTATATTGCATCAGTGGCCGATATCGAATACAAATGCAGCTTGGGAGGGATAGAATATATTATCAGTGAGAACAAGCGAGCTCCAATGCGGTTGATTTATCCTAACACCGAACTTTGTAGCTCAATGTCCCCAATCTCACCACGTTCATTATGAGAATCGCATGTTCTGGGCGAACTGTGCTGGGGATGTTATCACGGACTGGATGAGTGAGTTGATTGCAAATACGCCGGACCCTTAAGCCAATTTTTTCAGCCTAACAATTGTCTTCGGTACAGTCTTGTCTATTCCCTTCCTTGTGCTATGGAAAACGAAAATCTCCCTCCGCAAAAAGCTCATTCTGCTCAGCATTTTCTCTGCAACTATCTTCATTATGATCGTCGCCATCATCCGGGTGGTCGTCGGAATGACCTATGATCGTCAGATAAATATCGACTGGCTGTTTTTCTGGAGCTTTGTCGAGGTGGATGTTGGTATGTGATCCCAAGCTTTCATCATGTGTTGGTCTTAATACTGATCTTCACCTTGTAGCCATTATTGTCTCCTGTGTTGCCTCTCTCCGGCAGCTCTTCGTTACCTCACAGAACCAGAGCTCATCTGCAAGGGCCGCTTATCATATTATGACCGATCCCATTATGAAAAAGTCAAAAGAAGAGTCTAGCCAAGCTTTGGCTCCGTCTGTCGGGGATGTCGAGTCACTCACAAATGATGATGTCCCCATGTCGTCCCTGAGCGTTGTGCATGTTCGTCAAGATTTTGAAGTGACGCGCTCAGATGCCGGCGAGTCTGCTAATGGTAATAAGGTATGCAGACACCAGACCAGTTTTGACTAGTATATATATTTGCACAGTGTTACCTGCTTTTGGGCGTACATATATCTCATTGATTTTCAATTTTGTACATCAAATCTGCATATCTCGAGATAAATTTGGGGGAGTTTTACCAAGAGCATAATTCCGATTTTTTTGGAGTACGAGCTGGATGACTAGAATTAGCAAGAGTTTCGGGGCCTTTCTTAGATAGCTGCCGGGCGTGTCCCTTGCTGGGGATCAGAAAGCAGAAAATCAGTATTCACAGGAAGGTAAGAAACTCTCCCGGGGGCCCTCATATACCACTGGAGAGCTATCGCCCTATTTGGGAGGCCAGCAAAATGTACGTTCCCATGGAATTGCTGTCTCATATCCTCCAAGACACTCTCGAGATCTGTTCACTCAAGGATTTGTGGAACTTGAAGGCGGTAAATTGTATGCAGCATTTCCTCTGTGTGTAATCAATTCTAACTGGTTATTCCAGTCCTTTTGCCGAGACAGGCAAAGGCCTTCTTGATGAAGCGTGTTAGTTTTCATGACGATGAGTCTGAACTTACCTATGTGTTGGCCATCAACGCCGAGCCCAGAATCCGGTGGAAAGACCTTCCCCATCGCATAAAATGTTTTTACCTCTATCGGCAAATTCAGATCCATGGTCAGAGCCAGTCTGCGTGGTCAAATCTGATTCAGGGGATACTTGACCTCCCGAATCAGAGAAAAACTAAGGAAACTGAGACCCTTATCAACCAGCTCATCGATGTATGCCTCAGTGTCAAGTTCAATCGCTGTGGCAAACTGCTCGACTGTGATTTGTATATGGCAGATAGCAAGGTCATGATTACTCGTCGCGTCGGGGTGTTTTACCCATCACATGAGCCATTCGAAACAGCACTGAAATATGCACTAGCGACAAGTGAAATTCAGAGAGGGGACTGCGTCCAGTTACAAAGGGTGCTTGATCAAGGGGTTCGACTCACACGCTTTAGTGACCAACTTCCCGTGATTCCCCTAAAACTCGCTGCCGAAACAGGATCCGGAGCGATCATAGAGCTACTTATAGCACATGGTTGTCCAAAGCGCTATCGCAGTTATCAATGCATGTATTGGGATGATGATATCAATGTCATAAACACGATGGCAGAAAGTGGAGCGTGGTGGGATCAGCATATTGTGCCGCGATCTGGAGAAGGTTGGGGCCCTTCATACGGGGGCAGATTGAGTACTCATGCCATCGATCAAGGAACAATCGTAGGACATTATGGCTGTTGTAGATATTTGCAGCGGTCAAAAGAGCTGATCCCTCAGTCGCTACTGAATTGATGTTCGCGCCGTATTCCAACAATAGGACAGCAAACCCAGCATTATCCATTCTTGCCGCATGAATAAGCCCGGTTTTTCCGTTATTTCCACTTAAAATTCACATCCGCTCCAAAGTCCAGCAGAGATTTTAGAAGCAAGATATCGGTGGCGTTTCGGGTAGCGCAATTGAGGGGACTGCCCTTCATTTCACCACTAGGATGATGTACATCTGGTTGTGCTCCCGCCTCCAGAAGGAGTCGCACGGTAACATTGTAGCCCTGGGAAGCTGTATTTGATAGAGGACCGGATAATTGAACATCGACGATGTTCGGATCAGCGCCGTGACTAAGGAGTGTGACAATGGCTCGCGTATCCCCTCGGGCGGCTGCCCAGATAGTAGAGAGAGCATAGATTTTCTTCGATATTCTTTTTACCGAAGAGGATTCTTATAGCTCTATATAGTGATCGGCTAGGCTGCTTTTAATCAGGGTGTAACGTCCGTAGCGCTATCATATTATCGCCCAATAAAAGCCACTATAGAGGCCCCGCTCCCATAGCAAGCCAATTAACCAATGAAATCAATCCTCACTAGGATAGCGTGGCTGTCTGGCTGAGAACCGCTGTCACTATATAAAGTGGTCTTAAATATATATAAAAATTAGATATATAGTAAATTATACTATATATATTTATATATATCTCATTAAAAATCCGGAATTATGATTATAGATATATGAAAAATACAAATTTAGTTGAAATATTTTGAAATCTATCGATAGAAATCACGTGTTACGCTAATTTTGCTTACTAAAAAGGCCCACGGGCGTCCATGGGCGATGTCGCAGTCTAATCGTAGAGCAGCAGACTGTCAGACGAGAATCTGACCCACTCCCCAGCGGGCTGACTCTCTCCACAGCCTCTCTTGGCCTTCCGAGGGACTCGTGTACGCTACTTGGATTGTTCTCTCCGATTGATTAGATCGAACTTGACGTTTACGAGGGTGTAGAGAAATCAAAGTGATAGGGGTGAATTCCTTGTAAATCTACAAATACATGAGGGATCAGGTAGTCCTGACCTCGGAAAAGGCGGTGAACCCGTCTCCGCCTCTTACTGCCCTTCTCATTGGAGATTTCAAATGATTCGCCCGTCACAGACCAGACCAGGGGCGGATCAGGCAATCGCTACCTAAACCTTCTAATGGGAACTGGACTTATCACTTATCGTTGATTGGGCAGGGCTAGAAACTCTTGGCACCTATATATAGCCACCCTAAGTGGGTAGTTAGGAGCTGAACTGCTAAAATGCTATTTCGGGCTCCTGCATATCAGTGCATCTTAGGGGCGCGTAATTAAACCGTAGTGCCAAAATGCTATTTCGGGCTCCTTCCATCAGCCACTAGCTTGAAAGTGCGTTACCGCTAGGTAGACTCAATCAGCTATATTAATCTAAAACTTGATCCTACATCTTATTCAGTGTATATCAATCATGAACGACACTATCATAACCACCCGTGGCTGGGTCCCTGAGCCCGACGGGAGAGGGACGTGGGGCATTTTATCCACTTGCGTTCTCACAATCATTCTCTGTTGCTGGACATCCGTGTTTCCAAACCTGCCTGCCCAATCTGATGGCGCATTCAAAAAATGGAGATACAAATTCGATCTTGCTTGTATTGCAATACTCGGATCCGAATTCCTCTTGATCCTAGCTCTGGGCCAATGGTCATCTGCGCGCTGCTCTGTTAAGGTGGGTTATGAGTGTCATACGTCGATGTGATGCCGAAGCTAACGGAGCAGAATTTCTACGAGGCTGAACATAAAGACTGGACTATGAAGCATGCGTTCTTTGCCGATATGGGGGCTTTTGGATAGAGCCCCCGGAAACAGACCTTTTACCTTCATTTCCTTTGGACGCCAAGCAGCTCTATATCCTAGTCAAGGAGGGATACGTTGAATATCCCATATTGGAAGAAGAGGAAATTAAAGATAAGAGTAAAGCAGATGGACTATCTAGGTAAGTCACGGTCTACTTTAATTGAAATTTCCTTTCTATGTATCAATTATGCTTATCTATATAGGTTAATGGCAATCGTACAAGTCCTATGGTTCTCATTAAACTGCATCTTTCGTTTTGCCCAGGGACTCTTTCTTACCACCCTCGAACTCACTACCCTCTCCTTTATTCTGGTCTTTCTCGTGACATCCTACTGCTGGTCTCACAAACCTATGGATATTGACAAACCAATCATATTGAAACTTAAGAAATCCGTGGTTATTATTCGGGAAAATCTTGGTCGAAATTCCGGATCGAAGTGGTATGAAACACCACTCGACTTCCTGTCACGGGATGAGTGGTTTTGTGCTCGATTTTGGAAATACTACGTTCAAATCTTACACTATATACATATACCGCTATTTACTCGGCCGGAGCGACGACCATATGATCGCATCCCAAGTCATTTCATTCCAAACATGGATACCCAGGCGGAGATAATCTGTGCCCCAACAATCCTTCTCTTCAGTTCTGTGTTTCTTATTGCCTGGAATTCCGCCTTTCCGTCCGCGACAGAGAAGTTACTTTGGCGTATCGCTAGTGTGAATAGCTTGGCCTTTGCGTTGATTGCAGGCCCTCTTTCGCTATACTTTCACAGAAAAATGTTTCAACCGGAGTTAGCAAAAGCAAGGGCACAAGCTGCACTGAAGCGGAAAAGAGGGTCTAAAAACAGATGGATCAGCCGTCTTGCCGCGAGGCTTAGGAATATTGATCCTGAGCAGGATCCCAACTTGGAAATCCCCCTTCGTGCTTTGATTCCAATTTCTTTTGTCTGTGCCTTTTATTGTGTGGGTCGAGGATTTATCTTAACAGAAGACTTGATTGGACTGAGGAGCTTGCCGGAGAGTGCGTATCAAACTGTCTCATGGTCAAAATACGTACCGCATTGGTAATTTGTTTGGGTTCGAATTTTTGTTGATAAGTGTAGCTTATAAATTATACAATTATAAGTACGTGCGGTTGTAAGGCCTAATATTGATAGAACTTCTTACCCACCCCATTCGGCCACAGATGAGGAAAACCGTGGGCAGTACCCCATTCTTGTTGGTCGTTTGCTGCCTCATAACCTTTACGCGCGACGCCCGGCCCCTGGGCAGGCTTCCGTACAATTTCCTGATGTACGCTGACGGCAGAGTGTTGTCGATCTGCTGCAGGTGACCGTCTTTATTCGATAATCTCTATTCTGCTCCCACTGCGCGAAGATGATACTGTGGATGAACGCTCTCTCCCTTGGGAGAAGCGGGTAAAAAAGATGGATTTTGCCCGGAAGGCCATTAGTCACCAAAAGGATGCTCAGTGTTTAAATATTCCGTTCGTTGTATCAACTTGGTCTGTGGGGAGACACGGGAGACAAATTGCCAGCCCCAAGACTGAAATTGGTGGTGTTAGGCTGCAACGACGCTAAGTCATGTGCTCCTACTAATGCTGAGGGTTACATCCAGTGGTACGTCATAAGTTTCGACTGTGCTTTACAGCAATGCCCAAACTGACCCTCTGGCAATTGATTAGACGGTCATCTTTCCACCCAGTCTAGCTTCATCCGTGCTGACGTGCGTGGTCCGGGGCTGCAGATGTGCATTGAGATGTCCACTCAACTATTCCAACTCTTCGACTGCTCAAGTATCCTATCACATCATGCAAGAGTCCATCATAGCATATCTGGTAGGCATCGCCAACCTCTCAGCAGCGGCGTTGGACGCGCAGCTCGTCCTTTCTCCGATCGCCGAGGTCACGAGTGTGTCGCCCCCGCACGGCGATCACAGTATCGATGGGAGAATATTGGCTGCAATAAAGAACTACGGGGACCCAGTCGCCGCGTATGTCTCGCTCCAGAGTGAGGATATTCGAGCGGAGACTGAAGCGGTACTGGCTGAGCCGCGTCTCTTGCAGATAATGAGCGCAGCCAAGCCAGAGTGGATGACTAAGGGAGACAAAATGCGACTGCGTAGAAATGGGACAAATTTCATGGATATCACTGAACATGAAGAGTTTTATGCGGAGCAGGTGCACGATGCGGCGACCGAGAAGCCAAGTGAGCTTTCTGGGGAGCATTCCAGATGATCAATTAACAATGTTTGCTAGATACCCCTGAGCTGATTCATGAGAGAATTATCCGATATCTTTTCCCCTACATCGATACAGGAAGAATGCTCGATGTGCTTAAGCAAATAACGGGCTATTATAACCGTTATTTCGATGATATCCCCAACCCATAAAAGCCCATCTTACCAGCCTCTGTGATCGCTGTATTACGACCTCCTACTAGTAATATAAAGTTCAAATTCAGAATCTAGATTTTTTATTAGCTATATAAGTATATGTTTCAATTTTAAATAAAATCCGATCGGTAGAAGTTGAGATATTATAGAAAATGGGAAAGTTGATATTTTAATGTTAGATATGATATATAATTAATTTATGCGAAAGTACCACCACTTTCTAGAGAACATCTGTAATTTTAAAAAATTTTAAATAAACGAATTTTCCGTGTTTTTAAATATGATGTAGAGAAATAACTAGTAATCGATTCTAGATCGTTTACACTAATATAATATTACATCAGGGGTAAGGCTTAGAAACGGTGCTAAACATAGGGTAATTCCAAAATACCCTAAAAAGGGGGTCAACTTGGCATATTGGTATTGTTTGGGGGCTAATGGGCCCCTATTAAAGCCCTATAGGCCCGAGGACCGGGCCCAAAGCCCAGCCCATTTACGGGTTTGGTTGGGTTGGGCTTTGGGCTTTGTGGGCCGGTGCGGAAGTCTAGAGGTAGGTAGCGGCATAACTTCTGTTCCAGAAAATGGACTGGACCTTGTGCATCTGGGCCCATATGAGTTCTGCTTGTATCTCCTGCCATCCGCTTTCTGTAGACATTCCGTACATGAAAGCGCTGTTTACTTTGAATATATCGAGCACATAGCGCCAAAACGTCAATGCACCGGCAGATGCTCATACTAGAATGGCACCAATCGAAAATCGGTTAGCAACAAGCATATCGGCGGCCGAGTCTGAAGTCCCATAATACCCCACTGTCTAAATTATGATAGGCTACAATAATTGACATTTTGCAGCAGGTATTCGAATTCCAAACTGTAGTTGACGACGTAAAGGATAGCTATTTTCAGTCGCGATATCAGCGCTTTGATCATGCTTCTGATTCGAAAAAGAGAACCAGGACGACGCAGGAGGGGTGAAGATATCGGGGGTGTTTGGGCGACTACCATATCTTTGGGCGACTACCATATCATTGGCGCGGTTTATATTGAAAAATCACGATTTTGTAGCTACAAACCACTTAATAGCCGTGTTACGGGACGACCCCCACCCTCGCGGGTAGGGGGGTGTCCCGCAGCCATAATGCAATTAACATCTCCAAGGTGGAGAAAGGAGCCCTAGAGAACCCACATCTTAAATTCTCACATAGCGCTTCCTTATCTCCGGCTAACACCCGTGGACCGAACGACTTTAATATTGTAGATACAGCACAACCAGAGTTAACGTGTGATCCTATGTCCAAGGACTAATGTGTTTTTCTTTTTCTTTTTTCTTTCGTCTATATTAATCATATTGTGAATTGCTATTCTCGTGTAGCATGTTTCTTCAGCCTAGAGGTCTCTTCAGGAGACGTTTTGAATTTGATTTGGACATCATAAGTGTTAACGGCCTACGCCAAGAGGTTAGTAGCCTCTGTAAACTTAGGGACATTACAGCAGGCCGCCCAGTTTCTCGTAAATATTTTCCTCACATTGTCTTTCTTATGTTGATTCAAGACACTAAAAACTTTTTTTAAACCCCCTTCAAATATATTACCTTGGTAAGCTGCTTCTCTGAAGAAACGGCTATTAGCTCTTTTACAACACTGCATATACCTTTCATCTCTATTTCCCAATTCCACATTGATCCCAGGGATTCCCTTAGATATCATCCGAGGGTCTAACAGTATGTTTGATTTGGAGTGGAGACAGGAGAGCAAACCATAAAACCGGCCTAAAACCCTAACTACTAAGGCGGTGATTAGGGCGGTCAGCCAAAAAGTTGTATTGTCCGTACACGGAAGTAAAGGCAAACAGTCCCCACATCACTGGGGACGCTATAAGTAGGCTCTCAATTCCTTCCCGACATTCGAATTATTTTCCTCATACTCCGCGCACATCCTCACTCCAGTATCTTTCCCAGTCTTGCCAAATCTACGCGTTTTGCTAGGATTCACTATGGACTCGAAACATCCCGACCACTCCTCGGCATCGGCCCAACAAACACGGCTTGCCGAAGACCATGAAATTTCATGGCTGGAACGCTTTTTGAAAAAGATTCGGTTCTTTGATTTCAAGTATAACTTTATGTATGAGCCCCTGAACATTAATTTCCATTATGGACCACTCATGTTGTACTTTCTAGCTACATGATCTTCCTGGGCTTATGTCCGTTTTTATATGAGTATCTCATCTGTCGTAAATACTGCGATATAGACGAGTGCCGGTCTCAACGTAACTCCGCGTCTTACTACTCGAACATTGTGTTATTTCTTTACTTTGTCCGTATGCGTTACCTACGTTGGTCTTGGAAAAGGCAACAGGCAATCGAAAACGCAAGTGCTGCACCCAGCTAGAGAGAACTGAGTATCCAGCAAAGGGGACGAATGGGATTGATATCAATCCAGGGGGTATCAGTTCTTGGACTGGCACAGAATCGGTTTTTCTTTTCACTTTATTATCTTGTTCTTTCTTTGTAATTAATTAATTCAACGATCTTGCACTCCCACAATGCCACATGGATCTTTTATACACTCCCTCTAGACAAATCTGTAAACTATGTTATATTCAGGCCGTATTAGATACTACGATAAGGACATAAGTTTCAATGCCCCAATGAATTCTATCTAACAAGAGATGAGTCCTTCTTATGCTGGGTTGCGCAAAAGAAAAACATGATCCGATCTGCATCCTCCCTCGAACCATCCATCTAGTTTCTACTAGCGTCGACCGATGCCATTTTAGCCTGTGTCGATCTTCAGCTTAGCGAGCTTGGCCCCGGGGCAGGGGTCCTCTTGTAGGCGACATGTGTTTTTTTAGCGCGGTGAATGACCCGCTTGTCTCAGTCTACACTCCACAAAGACATACATTTACAATATAGATACAATATAGATACAATATACGACGGACTGCCCGGGAACAGAAATTTGGCCCCCAATTCTGTAGTTCCTTATGCACCCTAGACCGTCTCCGATTTTGGAGATTGCAATATCCATGAAAATGCCCAGGTGTAATCGCAAATGATTACCATTAACCTAAGCAATCCTCCAATATTCCCAGGGCGTAGCTCTCTGGTCTCTGGTCCATTTCCAATATTATTGTTAATTCGATTTCTTCTCAAAATCGTATTCAACGACTCTGTACCTGGCTTCTTTACTTTGGTAATCGGGTATGAACGAGCCTGTGGAAGAGCAGGAGGAACCCACAGGGGGCCATTTGTTGTATATATCTTGACCCTTCCCTAGGATAGTAATTGGGGTCAGCGATCTCTCATGTAGCGGCAATGAACACAGCAATCCGGCCGCAGAGTACGAAGCAACAATTCCACATCCAACTAACTCCACACCTTAGACCCATTTGTGCCTGTGCTCTCTATTCCGAGTAGAGGAGGTCTTTGAGTCGAATTAAGTATAAATTCCCGGCCACGGAACATGAAATCCTCTTCTTTCAATCCATTCCAAAGCAATCCCTCTATCTCTCTCAGAACCATATTCACAATCAGCCGAAGATGAAGTTCTCTTCGGCTCTTGTTGCTCTTTCTGCCTTCGGCAATATCGCCTTTGCCGCTCCTGTTACCGATGGACAGCTTCAAGCTGCCAATCAAAGTCCAAGTCCCGCAGGAATAGCTCAAGCCCACCTTGAAAAGAGGGCGTTGAGTTGCCAGAGTATCGCAAGGGCGATTTGGGTTACCCATGGAGTCCTCGAGGCAGCGTATGTTTTCACTTTGATCACTCCTGGTTATTGGCTTGGCAAGATGAACTAACATCTTTCTAAACCTCAGGAACATTTTTATCACCGATATTGAAGATTATGTTCAGGGACTGTGCGAAAGACAGGAAGTTGCGGGATGTGCTTCTTTCATCACCGAGTTTAGGGCTGCGTTTGATCTAGCCTTGAAGCTCACGTCGAAGGTCAGTGCCGGTGCTGGTATTGCCGATGCGACTGCTTCATACTTGAATACCAATGCTCGCCGATCTCTGCCTCCAAGCGAGTACGACATAGAAGCCCTGAAGATGTTGAATTACTCTATTGCTTCCCATGAGAAAGTTGCCAATCCACGCATTGGAGCTAGGTCCGATGACAGCCGGCCTGCTTTGGCTCATCACTATCGTCTGAAGGGAGTGAGAGAGCATGATTCCGATGTCAGTCGTGATTATGAGATCCATCACTTCGAGGATGGCGTTGCGCACCTCCATATTCCCCTCGCTGGATCCGGCAGCACCTCTTCTGTCAACAAGCGACACGATGGACCGGGAGTGAAACTCGCTTTCCAGCATGAGGCGACCGGCGTCGATCCTAGCCTCTTGTCGGGATGTGCCACTGCGGTCGCGAGTAAGTGGTCGCAATATACCTCGCAGGGCCATGCCAACATGTTCGGGTTCGTGGAGTACAAGAACAAAGAGCTTATGTACTATCGCTCCATCATGGAAGGTAAAGGATTTGGTGAAAACTATGAAGATGTCATGGCCTGTGGAGATATGGGCCACTTGGTTGGCACCTACTTGGGAGAACCTGAGGCCTGAGTAAGGCTGAGGAGATGTTTTGACAAGTCCCGGTCCCGCGAGGATCCGGAAATATTATTTGTATAAGTTCAACTCTTGGGTGTTCCTATAAATATTAGATTGTCAAATTATTAATTGCATTATGTGCCTTTTGGTGATCTCCCTGAATATTTGCACGTTTTTCAAATGATTCTCGTCAGACGAAACCGAATCTTAGATGATTCAAGTTAAGTGATTTGTATCGTTCCGTAGCCAAGAGGAGAGAGAAAATGCCGAATAGATTATTAGGGTTTCCACTCCATCGGCTGCTGGATATGGGGCCCTCACTCTATGTCAAAATCGGTCTTCCTCGCGGTGTAGGACGCTTATTGGAGGGTTATAGATATCCAATTTTTGGAATTTTCCACAATGCAGTCTGGTTTGAGACATAACATTGACTGACTGGACAGGTATTATTTCGAAAGAGAGACTCACTAGCATTTAGATGTGGAGAACATGAGCGGTTGCAGTATATATTAGCTGAGGTAGTTCAAGTTTTTAGGGATGATGTTGTACACAATTGTAGTTGTCTATATCAAAATTCAAATTGACCTTGTTATCAGGGTTATCCATGATGATTACCAGGCCCACTTGGTAGGGTCATTCTCCCAACCGGACTCTCTGGGTGGCCTAGTTAAACGCCAGAGGACAAAGGTCATATCGGAAAATTTCTCGCTGGCATCGAAGGGGTCGGGGTCTCGGAAACCTGCAATGTGCCTAAAGATAGTTAGCATATTCTGTTTTGCAATAAGTGAATATCGTATATCACATACATATCCCCGCTTGACTCGTCGTAAATAATGTTCTGCAAAAGAGGGAGCCCTGGATGCCATCCATGACACTTCAACTCTCTTAGGTTTGTCAATTTCACTCTTAAACACGCTAAAGGGGATCCTGTAGATATACTCCCAGATAAGGCGGAACTTCGTACAGACAACCTCGCGTAAACGCGCCGATTCAGGCCTCCAGAACTGATCCGTATCAAGTGGCTTCCCCCTGACCATTTCCCACACAATATGTGTTATGTAGCCGCCTGGAATCACGCCGTTATTGCCTTGCTTTCCTTCCTTGTAGGCGAGGAGAGCTGGCACCACAGTGCAGTGTTATTCACTGAGATCCTTCAAAGCTTGTAGCTCCAAATGCTCACGGGGTGGAGCTGCCTGTTGTTGTCGAAGCCGTGGGAGTTGGGACTCTGTTCCGGGGTTGGGAATCTCTAAGTAAATTCTCATGAATGCCTTCTTGTTACTGTCTGTCGCACTGTAGCAGAGGTACTTGGACACGGCGAAGGAAGGTCCACTGCCCAGCTCAAGTTGACGGCTGGTCATTTTTTGGAGATCCTTGCTGAGCTTCTCCTCGAGAACCCACTTCTGAGGCGAGGGAGTAGTGAAGGTCACTTGTGTGCCTAAGCAAACATCTGAATATCCGATAATAGACATATTGGTGAGGAGATTTGATGATAAGAGTGTAAAAAGAAAGGGGAAAAACTGATTAGAGATCAAAGTTTATGAGTAGAGCCAAGAAAATGAAAATGAGAGGTGGAGGCGTAATAATGACTTTGTTGAGTTCTTAGCCTCGTGGATCAGGCACTGAAAATCTTTATTCATTCCAACCTTGAAAGTTTGTGTCAATATTATATTGTTGTTTGATCATCCTACGCAGCGGTATAGGCGCCAGCTGCCAGAACCCTATTTCCAGTAAATGTGGATGCCTTAATTTCTAGTTTTGGCCTGGCGGCCTGAATTAAAAACGGCAGAAGAATTAAAAGACCTCAATTACTGTGACACTGCCCTTGATAATCAAAGTAGCCTGATTTTGCTGGCGTTCACAAGTGTCAAAAATGAAGCTTTTCATCTCATACAAATCCACGTATGCAGCCATTTCTCGGCGTTGAAGCTTTTTCAGTACATAATCGTTTCCTCTCTTTTTTTGACTTGCAAACCGTCCAAGAAAGTCGGAATATCTCCATTTGTATGGAGGCCAAAAGCTTCATTTTAGGATGAAGAATTTACAGTACATTGTATGGGGCGGTGTAAGGAGCGGTCAACAACCAGGCCAAAACTAGGCATCAAGGCATCCACATTTACTGAAAATAGGGTTCTGGCAGCTGGCGCCTATACCTCTGCGTAATCATCCTATTGATACCTAATTGTGCAGGCTTGTGTGCTTGGAGACTAGTTAAGCGCTTTATTTGTCAGATTTAGGATATTAATACCTTGCCCTTTATATATTGAATGGATAATGATTCATCTTCCTCTCTGCACCCGATCTCTACCTGGGTATAGCAGAGGCTATAGCAATTATACCTCTTCCGGGGCTTGTACGACCACATCCTTACTTAGTAGGAAGTTAAAAGAGGATTTCCTAGCGGTGCAAAAAGAAAAGGTAAAAACATACAACAGTGAGGATTCGCTGGTGGTCACCCACCCAACTACTAACTCACCGGCGTGTGGCTTAAGTACGGCTGAGCGGACGGGAAGCCCTGTTTTCCACACCCTATGGTCGTATGTGCTAAATTATATATGAAAGAGCATCAATCAGGTCTTCGGGATTACGCGGACTAGGTGAGGATGGTGAATGCGCTATATATAAGTGTGAGAAATTAGGGTGAGAATCGCCGAAATTGTGAAGCCACTAAATTGACCTGCTCGACGCCAACACGGCACTCGGCCAATTCTCACTCGAGCTGAACTCATTCGATTAATCGTGCCAAGCGCCCAACACACACCGAGGGTGGTGTTGACTGGAAAATGTGTTGGGCGCTTGGCACGATTACTGGCCACAAGTGTATTACTCTACTAGGTTAATTCTCGAGGCGCCTTGAACACTGAGTGGCGAGGAAATCTGTATGGTTACTGTCGGCGATCTATATGACAATTACGTGAGAACGAATTAAGAACGGAATAGGAACGATGTAATAAGGGCTGATATGAAATTTAATATATAAACCGGGGCGGATCAAACGGAAATATTATGTTCCAAATAGGCAATATATAACTCACGTCAGATTTAACCTGATTGGTTCATTTCAAGATCTTACTTTCCGATAGCATGAACCAGGAACCTGTTCCTACCGTCTAGGTTACATCCATGGATATTGATGCTCGTTGACTGGGGGCCATGGGGGAGGGGCCATATAAAATTGTCTCTTCCCAGTCTCATTCTTTTGTGTCTCATTTCGTTACTCAGCTCACATTCTAGTAAACTTCGCAATGAGTGAATTACCTGACTATGTGCTTGATCCCGATGCTGTCCTGAAAGACACCAGTGCCTGGCGCCATGGTAATGCTCCGGATTATTCCAAGACTAGGGTCTTCTATGAAAAGAGTACCTCCCTCTTGTTACTAGTCATCTGAATTCTATTACTAACATCATACAGCCAAGACAAAGACCCACGAACCCGGCAGTCTCCCTTTCCTAGTTGAAAATCTCGTGAAGAACTGGGAAATCGAAGCCTCCTTCAAAACGAATCTCTCCGACTGGCGTACCATCGATCACGACGTATACACAGTTTCCGTGAATGGTGGTGAGCGACGAACGGGTGATCACATGTTAGAAGTGGGGACTTATAATGCTCTCCTGACCGCGAGTCAGTATTATGATCCTGCACAAAACACTTTCAATGATTCGCACAAGTCGTTTAAGCGGATGATGCCAACGTTTGCTTGGGAGGTACTTGAAGTATACTCTGGTCCCCCCGTTGTTGTCTGTCGGTGGAGGCATTGGGGCGAGATGCAGCATGATTACGTTGGATACAATAGGTATCTGATCCCTACTATGCATGGTCATTTGGTTTTAAGCTTACAATCCCAGCTCCGGCGAAAAGATCAAGATTGAAGCGCACGGTGGCCCTATCGACATTGAAGGCCTTATAGTGGCCAAAGTCAATGATAAACTACAGGTGCAAAGTCTTGACGTCTGGTACGACCCTATGGCAATGTTCCGCCAAATTAGCAGAGAGGGCCAGATTAGCAGCGAGAGCAGTAGCAGCCGATGTCCGTTTGTGCAGGGTTAGTAACTTACCCAAATATGACCAGCTACAGAAATTCCACGATAGCTGAGTTATGAAGTGTCATGGAAAATACCAACGTATAAGCTATACGCTGAAGGTAGGCTCGTGGTCGCAATAACCTTGTAGTCAGCCTTGAGAAATGCTGAGACGAATGACTTGCACGGACCTGGCGAGGCGCCAGTAATCCGCCACGTCTGTGCTAATTTGAATATTGATTATAATTGGACTGTGGGAGGAAAGCAATGCTAAATACGGGGTATGGCCCGACAAAATGCGGGGCGGAGCCCTAATAAGACGGGATGGGACACTAATTGTACCATAGGGCCGGCCCTATACCCCATGTGTCCAGATGAAAAGTAAAATACAATTAATCATGCAACCGAGCTTCTTTCATTGGTCGAGGTGGTACACAGCCTTGTCGAACCTACCCCTATCACAGTGGTGAGAGTCAATGAGGCTGAGACCGAGTTACCCCAACAGCCAAGGCCAGAGGGTAGAGCTGGGCATGGCCGATGACGCAAATAAAAACCACCTATACAGCCTCGAAGCTAAGGTCAACGTGGCACTGGGTGTGGTCCTGGGGTGGTACTAGGAGAGATGTAATGAAACTGGAGCAGAAAGAGAATGGAGAGAAACTTTATTAGAGCCTATCGATCAACATACTGCATAGGATAAACTACAGTATCCTTATTAATATTTTGAGTGATGAAAACATATCCTTTGGGATAATCGGTGCAAATAATGGAATGAGCCCCCTAAAAGTGAAGAACCGAAGAGCTAGAGACGCGAACTGTTCTTAGCCTTAGCGTCTAACAATTGACCAATATGGGGATCAACCTTGCCGAACATGGCAATAACAGCATCCTTGAGCTGATCAGGCACTCCTTCCAAGGTCTCTGAAACATTTGACACCCACTGCCTTCTCTCGGCCTCATCAAAGACCCTGTTCCACAGCTCCCGTGGTTGAAGGAAATCCTCATCGTCAACCACGATCTCATTCTGGCCGAGCATAGCTTTATGGGCGATACGCTCAGTGTGTCGAACGTTGGAAACAACCTGGCTGGGAATTCCACTGCCCAGGGAGTTTCGTACATAGTTTGGCTCGCCACCATAGTTTCGGGTCATAGTTCCCATGCCATCGCGTTCGAATGGCGCGAATACAGGGCAGATTGCACGATTTGACGGAAACTGGGTGTAGTTCACTCCCAGACGGTATCGCTGGGCGTCGGGGTAAGCGAACATGCGTGCCTGTAGCACTGTACAGAAAAGAATGGTTAGTAATCTGTCCCACCGTGATGACACAATTAGAGCAAGCTTACTAGGATCAGGTGTCATTGCAATCCCAGGGACCATGTTGGAAGGCGAAAATGCCGCTTGTTCAATCTCGGCAAAATAGTTCTCGGGCTGGTGCGATTGTTAGCATTTGCTTCCTGTCTAAGATCAAGAGCCACCCACATTCTTGTTCAGAGTCATTTGACCAACTTCGATCAAGGGGAAGTCCTTGTGCGGCCAAACTTTGGTGATATCAAACAAAGCACGGCCGTAGGTTTCAGCCTGCTCGGGCTCCATGACCTGGACGTAAAGTTTCCAGGCTGGCAAGTCTCCCCGAGCAATGGCATCCCACAAATCCTGATTGTGGAAGTCGGCGTTTGCGCCAGCCATGCGAGTAGCTTGCTGTTCCGTGAAGTGTGTGATATCCTGGGTGGGTCGGAAGTGGAACTTGCAGTACCGGAAGCCACCATCAGCTGACACCATCTTAAAGGTATGTACGCCGAAGCCTGTCACCCGACGGATGGAATCAGGGATACCCCGAGTGCCAAAAAGGTGCATCAAGGCATGAACACTTTCCGGTTGGTTCGCATGGAAATCCCAGAACTAAACGGTTAGCTACATTGGTAACGAAAAGCCATTGATTAGCACTCACCATGGTCCAATCGGGTCGGTTGGTGGCAGGATGTCTCTTGTGGCTTCTGTTGAGAGAAGGAAACCTGATAGGATCGCGGACAAAGAACACCGGCTTCGGGGCATTAGAATATGAGATATGATAGTTGAGGGCGAAACTTACAATGTGGTTCCCTACAATGTCATGATTACCTTCCTCCGTGAAGAACTTTACAGAAAAGCCTCGCACATCACGAACAGTGTCTGCACTGCCCTTTTCACCGCCAGTAGTACTGAGACGGAATAGAACGGGGGTTTTCTTCCCAACACCATTGAGGAATTTGGCTGAAGTGAGGGAAGAAATGTCATTTGTAACCTCGAATTCTCCCCAAGCACCCGCAGCTTTAGCATGGACAACTCTGTTTAGCGTTAGGGCGTGGTTTCCTTCCAAAGATCAGGTCGAATAGACTCAAACCTTTCAGGGATACGTTCGCGGTTGAAGTGCGCAAGCGTCTCAAGCAGAAGCGTGTCACCCAGTGTCGTGAGGCCACCGCCGCCGACAGTAGGCAAAGTGGTGCTGACGGATGGGTCTGCAACTGGTTGGCCTATTTGGTGTCAGAATGAAAATAGTTGGTTTGATATCTTTTAGGACTGTACCTTCTGCAAATGTGAAAGTGTGGTTCGGCATTGTGGATTGTTTGTCTAGGGATTTCAACTGATACATTGTAAATTGTCTGTTTTCTGGGAAACAACCTGGCTTTTATTGTGTTGGTCCATTGGATCTCCATGTCGAACCAAAACCTTGCCACTATCAACCCCCCATGAGGGAGAGACTCCAAAATCTCCCAGACACCCACTGCATCTTGACGTGAGGGGATTGGAGAGATAACCAAAAGAGTGGTAAAATCAAGTAGTTTGAGACAAAAGCAATTTATTGACAAGCCTCATAGATATCGGGCGTCGGAAAAGGCGGTCACGGCACTATGCCCGAGCTATTTCCGTCTTCGGCAAATTCCCGGCAAAACAATGCGGCGCTCTGATTGGTCAGAATATTTTGCAGCCTTGTGAGGGGAAGGGTTTCCCCTCATGAGGGGACGAAAAGGAAAGAGCCACACTCGTCAGTGACAGAGTTTCCTTTCCTTCTAGAACGTCTCCAACACACGCTAATGCAGCTTTAGTTACATGCAAGCTTCTCCAAGGCTATCAGCCCTACCACTTCAATGCTTGGCTTGCTTTCATGTTTTTCGGCAAACCGGCAAGTTTGTTTGGAGACATTACCATGAGCGGAATACCATGAAGAGGGGAATATAAAATCGGCATGATGCCTCGTCGATTTTTGCTCTATACACACACAATCTTACAGTCTCACAGACACTGAACGAACCTCACTCTCAACTATTTTGTTATCAAATACACCAAATCTTCAACCATGGCTTTCGTTTCCAACGGCTCTGAGTACGACTTCATCATCGTCGGCGGTGGTACCGCTGGCAATGCAATTGCTGGTCGCCTTGCAGAGAACTCCGACGTCCGAATTCTGGTTGTTGAAGCCGGTATCCCCAACCCGGATCAAATCGAGCAAATCACCACCCCGTCGAAGGCTTTCACCCTTCGCGGAAGCAAGTACGATTGGTCTTACAAGACCACCATGATCAAGCGCGATGATTACGAACGTGTTGAAAAGCCCAACACTCGCGGAAAGGCCCTTGGCGGCAGTTCGTGCGCCAACTACTTCACCTGGATTCCTGGCTCGAAGCCTACCTTTGACGACTGGGAGGCCTTCGGTGGCCGCGACTGGAATTGGGACTCCTGTGTGGAGTACCTCCGCAAATGTGCCACCTACCATGACGACGAGAAGCTGTATCCCGCCGAACTAAGCAAGATTGGAACAGGTGGTCCTGTGCAGATCTCTCATGCAGACTTGGTGCCGGAGATGCAACCGTTCCGTGATGCACTCACTGAGGCCTGGGTTTCCAAGGGCGAGCCCCTGAGCGAGGATATCTACTCAGGCGAGATGAAGGGTCTCACCCACTGCGTTGATACCATCTACCAGGGGGAGCGCCAGGGTAGCTTCCTTTACCTGAAGAACAAGCCGAACGTGACAATTCTTTATGGCGTTCAGTCGAAGAAGCTGCTCATCGACCCTGCCACGCGCATCTGCTCAGGTGTCACTGTCATCAGCGATGCTTTCGATCAGGAGATCAGCGTGTACGCCAGCCGGGAGGTCATCCTGTCTCAGGGTGTTTTTGAAACTCCTAAGCTTCTTATGCTGAGCGGAGTCGGCCCAGCAGCGGAACTGGCCAAGCACGGAATCACTCCAATTGTGGAATCCCCTCACGTCGGCCAACATCTTCTTGACCACCCCATTGTGCCTTTCGTTCTTGAAGTCAAGGATGGGTACAGTTTGGATGCCCATGTCCTCCGTCCCGGTCCCCTGAACGACAAGGCACTGGCCACCTACCAGAAGGACAAGACTGGCCCTGCAAGCTCCGGATTCCTGGAACTTGTGGGATTCCCCCGAATTGACGAACGCCTGGAGAAGTATCCTGCCTATCGCGAGGCCAAGGCTGCCAACGGAGGTCTTGATCCTTTCGGCCCAGCAGGACAACCACACTTCGAGCTGGACTTCGTCGGCTTGTTCAGCACCGCATTCCAGTGGCATTTCCCTATGCCCGAGAAGGGCAGCTACATGACCGTCATTGTTGATCTGCTGCGACCCCTTTCCGAGGGTGAAGTTACCCTGAACAGCTCGAATGCACAGGTTCAGCCAAATATTAACCTCAACTTCTTCGCCAATGACTTGGACATCCTGGCCATGCGTGAAGGCGTGCGCTGGACATATGATCTTTTGACCAAGGGTGCTGGATTCAAGGACATTGTTCTCTCGGAGTACCCCTGGAAGATGCCCCTCCATTCCGATGACGATATGAACCGGGCTGTTTTGGATCGCAGCCAGACTGGATTCCGTAAGATGACCCCTTCAAGTGTGCGAAACAGGTCTAATCATTTACTTTATAGATCCTTGCGGTACGGCACGTCTCTCCAAGAGCATCCACCAGGGTGTTGTTGACTCAAAGTTGCGAGTTCATGGAGTGCGCAACCTCAGAATCGCAGATGCTTCTGTCATTCCTGTGATCCCCGATTGCCGTATCCAAAATTCGGTCTACATGATTGGCGAGAAGGTTGGTAATAAATCTGCGGGCTCTCAGAATAGGACTAACATATTATCTAGGGCGCGGATATCATCAAAGCCGCACACAAAGATCTATACGAGGCTAAGAACATTCCCTACCTTGTCTCCAGCAAACTTTGATCTGTTGTGGATTGCCTATTGCCTCACATTGTGTGTGATTTCTTTAGCATGTGCGCACATATATTGTTTTGATCGACAGCTTTTCTTATTTCCCCTAACCCTATAATCATTATCGCGTTGAATATAAACTGCTTTATTAATATATCGATTCTTGGTAAGGCACCGAATGGGATAGTATGTATGGAATCGGCATGAGATGTCTTGTATTCGCGAGCTGTGAAGAGGGTATCGTATAACAATTTCTTTTTCCGGATCTTGTTCCATCATGTGCCTAGAGTAGCGGTTTCCGATGTCTAGGAAAAACTACTAAAATGAACAAAAATAAAAAACATACAACAATGAGGATTCGCTGGGGGTCACCCAACTAATAACTCGGTGTGGCCGGGGTTAGAACGGGCGCCGCTTTACCGGCTGACAGTGGACCCACGCATTCAATCTGACTCGAGCATATTTTTGGAGAGTTCTACCTACTCTTATGCTTCACCTGATATATAATCGATAAATCACTTAGCCATCCGTTTTGTGATCCTATACACTGACCACTCTTTTTGTTGTTTGCCCCTTAGGGAGTACATCCATTAATATATGCCTCGACGAAATGATGACGTAGGCAAATACATGGTGCCATTTGCGCTACCTAGGTATGGTTATGATCCCGAGGTTTCTTCCTGACCTATGTCGAGGAAGAGAGAATACTACATACTATTACGGACTATACAGTTCAGGCTTTACGCTGAGCAGAGGTCGAGTTCCTGAATACTTTCGGTTTGCTATTCTCATACTATTCCACTATCTTGTGTATCAGTTTGCTAAGTTTATATCTTTCACCATACCTCGGGAAGCTTTACGATGAAGTCACATCACATTTAAGTTCCCGGTCTATCCGAGCCCTGTTCAACCCTTTTCTGATATGGGCTGACCTATGTGGATATATTACATAGCTCATGTTAGGAGATGACTTTCGCACTTCTCTTCTTCTCCCTTTATTCCAAATATTCGAGATCCTTTGACATACTACGCACTTGTACGTCTAGGGTCAAGGTCACTGTCAATAATTTCCAGTGCATCAAATCAAATATTTACCCCTCCACGAGTACTGACTGGGTTGACTGAAAGAGTGGATCGTTAGGTTTGGAAGGAGAGATTTCGGGGTAGTCTCTTGAGAAAAGGCTAACTAAATACAGTGACAGATCCAAGTGCTTTCGGTGATTGATTCAATTCAAAAAAATGTCCGATGGGTTTGTTCAAAATGGTAGCACAGCGCAACAAGAACGGCCCTCCATATGGAAGAGGATGGTAGCTAAATGTGGAATTGATGCTCCACTTGTGATTTTGATGCTTAAGTATGTTATTGCGTATTGTTATCGATATTTGCCCGTTCTATCCCACTTGACCTGGAGGAGATTCTGGTATTACATGCGTGCTCATACCACAAATTTATATTTCAAGGAGAAAGGCTAACGTCTCAACCAAAGAGGAACCGTTGCACCTACAGTTGGTCTTGCTATGTATGTACTAATCCTATCTACTTGAGATGAAACTAACGTCATGAAGGTATCAGGCCGACTCTGTTGCACGACATTTCTCGACAATTGGCTATCTCATCCCAATCATGTCCATCCTATCTATCCCAGTACTACCTCGGGCACGATTTATTCAAAATCTTCTTGTGACCTCCGTAAGGCCTGTATTATGCCTCTGCAAAATTCTGGTAACTAATAGGTAATGCTTTCATAGCTTTTGACGTGTTTAGCAGCCGCAATCTCCCTCCTTGCAATGTGGTGTGCAGTCAAAGCACGAGAAAACACGACTCATATCTCCGAAGCGCATTCCAACGGCCCAGTTCCTGGTTCTACTGTCAGTCCGTTCAATGCGGCAGCCAGCGTCAATATGGGAGTCTGGCTTTTCTTCGAAGTATGGCTAGCCAACACGTCAGTCATCAAAATTCGACACCCGTCCCTCTATTAATGAGAACAGATTCCGTGCATATCTCCCTCAATATTTCCTCCCTTCCATCATTTTCTCCATTTTTATCAACGTGACGGCAACCTACGGAACGCAATACGCAAATATGAAGCAAGCTGAATCTCTGAGTTAGTTCCCTTTCCTACTATAGAAAACGCACTAATCCCAAAAATTGACAGTAACTCATTTACTTGAAAGCTTTTTCGTTGGGTTCGGAATCTCTGCAGCCACAAACCTCCTCATTGTTCCACTCACATCTCGAACAATTGTCATGAAGGTAATGGCTGGAGAGATCCTGGGATTTAAGTCCGCTTTGCAAGCGCAGAGTCGATATATGACGTCACTATCCACGCGTAATTGGTTTGGCGGTGCGCATGCATTAAACGACCTTGATAGAAGAGACGACTCCTGCAATTCTCCCTCGGATACCACCCCGTGGACTGAGGCTGACGCGTTGGAGAACATCTTAAGTCAGGTTACAGGACTCCATGCAAAGTCAGAAGCGGAACTTCGCTACGCGAAGGTTGAGATGACATGGGACAAGTTAAATGCGAAGGATTTGGAGACTATTTGTCACTTACAAAGAAGGATCTTGCACCCCATTTTAGGCATGAAGTCCCTCAGTCATGCCGCGAATCGGATCGAGAAACGTGGTGGTTGGGATGCTGTGAGTCGTCTAAAGACCGGTCGCGGTCTGACCGAATCTGAATATGTACAGCTCCAGGACAGAGAGAGAGAGCAGTGGTATTGGATACTTGACAAGGTGTGCGGCTCTGCCCAACGGCTTCAGGAAGGAATGATACTAGGACTTGAGGAGTCTTTGTATAATCTGGGCCTGGGGAAACGGCCGGCATCAACTGTGAAAAGCGATATTGAAGCAAATGGTTTCCATCACACATCAAGGGAGAAGGACATGGTCTCGCACCTTGAGAGCATGATACAACAATATCTTGCAGAGCGAGAAACAACCCTGAAAGAGTGGTGTGCTTCCAATGGCTTGGACCGTTCCTCACAACAGAACGACGCGGCACAAATGGACGATGGTTTGCACCAACAGCACTTGGCTCAGCTGTATCTGGTACTAAATGTAAGTCTCCTTATTGAGTTTTGACATTTTAACCATAGGGTTAAACGAGACATACTGACGACACCATAGCTAGAGTATCTGTCCATTACAACTGCGCAAGCTATCTTAGATCTTGTCAAGTTTGCTGAATCCAAAGTCAACGACGGGACAATGGGTAGGAAAAGGCTCATCTTCCCAAGCTGGAAACGACTTAGGAAATGGGCCCGAGACGCAGTATCTCGAGAAGACAGCAATTTGGATTATCAGGATTACAGTACCCGGTCCGGGACTGTCACGGTCAGTCTTAGCGGCCTCCTCCCAGCAAGCAAGAACCCTGAACACGCTCCCCCGGTGTCAACCTGGGAAAAGGTATCGGATAAGTTTCGTATCTTTATGAATATGTTTGGCTCTCCGGAGTCAGCATTTGGCTTCCGAGTAGCAACAGCCACCATGGTAATTGCAATCACTTGTTTCCTGAGGAATTCTCAGCAATTCTTCATTAAACAACGCATCATCTGGGGTTCAATCATGGTCGCCATCAGCATGACGCGAACAGCGGGTTCGGGTATTTATGGGCAATTCCTACGATTTGGCGGGACAGCACTCGCGATGGTTGCATCTTACATTGTTTGGTACATTGTCGATCAGCACACCGCGGGCATTATCGTCTTTTTCGCCATCACAATGTTCCTCTATCACTACCCATTGGTTAAACACCATGACACCATCGTCGTTCCCATGATTGGAATGGTCACAGTAATCCTGATAGTGGGGTATGAACTCCAAGTCAAGAAAATTGGCATTCCTCTCTCGATTTCCAACGGCCAAGTCTTCCATCCTCTTTACGAGCTTGCTCCGTACAGGTTAGCCACAGTACTTGGTGGTCTAGGTGTTGCATTCATCTTTACATACTTTCCGTCAGTCATCACAGTTCGACACCAACTTCGAGAAGACTTAGGGACTTCCCTCTATCTGCTGGGCAATTACTATTGCTCTGTGCATCAGACGGTTTCGTTGAATATCAGAGGGGCAGAAGGGGATCCAGGGGACAAGATGAGCCCGGGTAGACGACTTCACAAAGCTCGAAGTCGACTCTTCACCAAAGAAATCATTATTCTCGAAGGCATGAAGAAGCACAAGAAATTCATGGCTTGGGAACCCGTTTTAGGTGGGAAGTTCCCACAAGCGTCCTATGACAGGCTCATTGATCATACCCAACGGTCAGTTTCATCCCTACGCAGTGCTAATCAACTCATTCTTACCACTGACAAAATTTAGCATGCTTCATTTCACAACCATGATATATCACGTCGCTGAATCTTTTCCAAATTTCCCAACTCCCACTGGCGTTCAAAGCAATTCAGATACTTGGTTGAACGATTTTAAACAGCTCGTCATTTCTTTAGAGCTGAGTTCTCGAGATATATCGGCCGCACTCTCCATGATCTCTACCGCCATCTCAACAGGCCGACCATTATCTCCGTTCCTTACAGCTCCAGAGCCAGTCAATCTATATCAGTTGCTCAAGAAGAGTGACCGTCACATCCTTAGCTCGGCGAGAGTGTGTGAGCCGGGATACGCGGCCTTTGCCGTGATACAAGTAGCAACTTCACTTTTGGCGGATGATCTAAAAGGACTGTTATGTGAGACAAAGAAGTTAGTTGGAGAGGAGAACTTCGGCGTTGATGCTTTGACGCTCCGTGATCAAACCTAGGCTGGTAAACGAATTGTGACAGAAATCTGGCAGTGCAGCGATGTGTGGTGTTTTCACTATGTAACTCTCTAACTAATATAATATGACTGCATATAATCAATAGATGCATTTTCGTAGGTTGCCTGCACATTGGCCATTGCGAGGGATCAGGGTAAATTATATCATATATCCACCTAGTCGAGTGTAGCACATTGAAAAGCACGAGTATAATTTATTATACATTTTCCACAAGCCCCCTTTCACCATCCTCTACATTTCTGCCTAGGCATGACATTCCACAGAAACGAAGAGAGAGGAAAGATAATCAAATGTCCCATTTTGCGCTATACCACTCAACTCCTGGGTTCGCTTTACATGCCATTTCTCCTGATACAATGAATTTGTTAGGGCCAGACAAATAGACCCAGTTAGACCCTCCAGGTGATTCTCGGCAGATAGAAGACAAGTGTTCCTCGATATTCAGTCTAGATCTACCATTTCCAGTAAGGTGGACATGGACTTTGAAATCTTCTGTTGGGTCCGCTAACCAAATCTGCGTCAGTAACATATGGGAGTTGAGGGCTATGGAATTTGGTTATACCTTTCAGGAACGGTAGGTCGGTATAGTCTTCCGCTTTCACGCTCCAAAAAACCAAACACCTCTCCCATCTAGGTGCATTTTTGGTTCCGTCGGTGGTTCCTACTCCACAGGAATCTGTAATAGCAGTCGATTGCTGTCTCTTCCTTTCAAGAAAAGCACTGGCTATGGCTATAGCCCCACTCACTCCAGTACCAGCGACAAAGCATATCGCTGTCCTGTAACGCCAGGGATCTGCTTCGGAGAAATAAGGCCCTTCAAGTCGCAAAGAAATTTCCACTCCCGGTGACGGATATGTGCGTACTTGACTCTTGTTGGAAGACTCGATAGAAGATGTGTCGATTGACTGGTTGGTACTGAAATTGTCCCCGGATGTTGATAATGGTCTGTAATTATCCGCGAGACCAGCTAGTTTATCTGTCCATTGTAAGGTTGGCTGCGCTGATTTTTGGAAGAGCCTGAACCAGGTCGGCCGCTTTTCGTTCCTAACCTGTCGCCCTGGAAGGTTGTCCGTATTACCGCGCTTACGAAAGAGAAATTGGATTGAGATATCATCTCGTGACTCGGAAACGACACTTTTCTGAGAAGCAAGAGGGGTGATGGTGGTGAAAGGATGGAGCTCCCGGACGGAGGATTCTGAGTGGCGAATGTAAAAATGCGCAACTGGGGACTTACACGCACAGCCGTCGAGTCGGTGCCGAGGGAGTAACATATTGATGCTGAATTCAAGTTAGCTCGGTCAGCTTGAGAATATGAAGACTCCACGTACCAATACCATCCTTTTCCTAGATGGACCACCTTGCCCGGCACGCACTCTCTCAACTCATATAGTCGCATACCCCAGTCGAGCACCCACATCGCTAGCCCAGGAGCCACACAGTAAAAGATCGTACTAGCGTGTAGACAGATGGCGATGACGGCTACGATGCTCAGGAGGTGAGTAAAGTAAAAGAGATTGAAATGTTTGGCTCGAATTGTTGGTAGCGTGGTGATAAAAATGAGACCCATGATCATGGTGGAGACGATACCGGTGAATATAAGGGAGGCTCGCCAAATACCCAAGGCTGACAAGTTACCCGGCCAAGTCTCGTGGTATAAATACGTTGGGTTTAAGACAGGGTATACCGTCCGAAGCTTCTCTGAGAGCGAGTTGAAGGTGGGGACCCAGGATACATAAAGGAATCCGTGAACCAGTACAAGGGTGAAGAGAGTATATGCCGTCAGCATATGAAAAGTAAGCGTGGTTGAAATGGAGAGTTTGAAGAAGGAGGCAAGTGCGCTGTGTCGGGAGACGGGGATGAGGACCATTCCCATTGTGACATCGCAAAGATGACCAGTCAGCGCAATCGCAGCGAGACGGTAGTTTCCCTCAAGAACGCCATTCTCTCGGCCCCTATCCTCGAAATAGTCTCGCAGGCGAATCCACCAAACACCTGTGATAATGCTGTATAGGCTGATAACCCAGATGAATCCAAGCAAAGCACTGATAGCCAGGCGTTCACCCACTAGGGGGATCCTGCAAGCAAACAGCTGTCGCTGGAGAAGGCGACGCAGCTGAGGTTGAAAAGCGCGAATAGTGAAGAACACTGCGGATATCAGTACCCAGGAATACCAGATCACAACATGTAATCGTGCCTGGAGAGGAAAAAGCCATTCACCACATGTACCAGCATAGCAACGATGATCTGATCGAAATGTCAGACCGAATGAGAGACCAAAAGTAAGCAGAAGACTTCCTGTGAGAGGATAGAGACAAGTTCTAGGTGTAATCCTCGTCATTCCAACCAGCTGCACAAAGAGAAGCTTATAATTCCGTTAAAAATAAAGCCAACATCAATTGTACTAACAAATATTGCTCACTTGAATACCAATTTTGCGTCTAACAATCCCGCGCAGCGGGCGATTAAGTGTTGTGAGCAGAGGCCGGGGCAGACCAGCCTCGTATAAGACACATCCATTTTACTTCGCTCTCGTTACCGTTCTCGCTTTCGGTCCCGGCATCTCCTTTCACTCAGAACTTATCTATGCACCATGTCAGTGGGTTCGTGACTAGGTATAAATGGCACTTTGCGCTTGTCGCTGGGCACAAATTTATTTGACACGATTTTGGATATATATATCAGGGAAAATGCACATATATATTTGAGTAATGTTCTATCCATGCATATAGGTCGGATCGGAACAATGTGGTTCCAACCAAGTGCCTGATTGTGCCTGAGAATTTAGGTTCCAGTTTCACGTGAGCATCTCAGTTGAGATTTTAACAGGAGTGTTCTTGATTGGGTCTAATGGAAGATGTCGGATGATTCGAGTTTTTGAAATCGGGAGCAAAGTTGTAACAGCACACACAAGCGCCAGCCAGATACTAATCCAATCGTGCGTATATGTTTTGAAGCAATGTATAAACAAATTTTTCTTTCACAACGGGCAGGGAATGTGGGGGTATTGGGAGTATTATTGGAATTTGGAATCAACATTACATTTGTATGACGCATGTGAATTCATTTTATGTAAAGATAAATGTCATCTATGCTGTCACAGCCAATCCATCTTGTACACTAGGCAATATAAAAATGGGGTCCATGAGAGTAGTGGCTTGGTAAGGCTGACTAACCAGGGCCAAAATGCACAATACTAATCTCCGAAATATCCAATTGATGTCATTTGATTCAAATCAGTCCAATGAGGATGTTCCCGATCGATCGAGAGAGATGTGCACTCTATGGATCGTCGGTACAAGGAATACAACATAGATCCAATGCTAGACGCGTGTCGTGGGGCGTAAACCTTTATGTATAAAGCAACAATAAAGCAATATAAACCTGACTATGCTTGATAACCTCAGTATATCCCCAGGTTGTATAGCTTGACATCGTTGTTGATTGTTCCAGTTGTAAAGCTGTGTGACTCTTCCGTGGTCGAATAAGTAACAAAAATAGTCGGAGACTCTTGTTGGTTAAGACGGGCTCCACTTGGTAAAAACTTCTTACGCATCTAATCTTGTTTATTTTTGTTTTAGCTTTCTGTTTATTTGTGTTTTACTCTTGTCTTGAGGTCATATACTTGTTGTCCCCAATTAGATGTGATTCATAAGGCTTACGACCACCGTTGCCATATCACACTCCACTATAGCAACCATCAATATCTTAGTGTAATTCTACGAGAGGCAGGCCTTTTTCAAGATTGGCCTTTGTTACTAATGTGGTTATCCCTTCTAAGGCCTTCATTTAGCGACTTCTTTTCCCTTGTCTGGAAGTCGGCGGCACTGCGGTATACCAAGCATAACCGAGTTTAAGCTTCGCTATTTCTGTCCAAAATCTGGACAGTACCTAGGTACCTCATTTTGTATACTCCCGCCTAGTAACAATGGTATTCAATCAGAGTTGCGAAGTCCCATGGTCCTTTGTGGAAGAAGTATAACTTCATCCGTTCCATCCGAGGGCAGAACGATCTGATCCTCTCGGAGAAAGCAATTAGGGGATGATCCATGGAAGAGGTGATTTGCCACCTCCAATAATCGCTAACCTGCACCATGGATTGCAGGTTCAAAGAGGTCTTGAGCAAGGGTCCACATCCTCAGTCTCGGCCAGTAATCATTGTCCATATCCAATTCTGGTTTGTAAGTGGAGCATGGTCTTTACTCCACAATTCGATGAAATGGATTTCTGTTCAATGGGCGTCTGCTACGTCACTGCCGGCTGGTTCGGACCTGCAATATTCAACCGTCCGATACTGGGGCATTGTTCCACTGGGTCTCATCCACGGATGATGCTAGAATGCCTGACAGCACGCGGTTTCTATTTTGGTTATTTGTTTTTGGCTTGGGGAATTTCGGTACTTGCTGGAGCATATATTTATTTCCTTGATTCATACTGCGGAGCTTTAATTTCACGCATGTTATAAAGATTCGTATCTGCTGCAACTCTACTGGCAGATTTCAAGTTTGAAGATATTTTAAACTAAATCGGTTTTCTTCTAAAGGGCATTGTCTTCATTCGCTAACTGACCAATCCCTACAAATCCGCTGAACAGCAATCATGATGAAGAACATCATCACTATCGCTGCCTTCGCTGCTGGCACCAACGCCCTCGTTGGCCGCAGTGACAGCTGCTGCTTCCACCTCACTTCTTCTGGTGGTACCTCCGGCCAGCTTGGCCAGCTGAGCGATGGCCAGAACCGCATTGGCGATGATAGCCTGTCCCCCGCCCAGTACTGCATCGATTCCAAGGGTGCTATCACTGACTCCGAGGGCCGTGGCTGTATTCTCACCCGTAAGTGACCATATTAAACACTTATATCACATACAAGGCACATCTAACTGTGTAATAGCCCCCACTACCCAGTTCCAGTGTGACGAGGGTGCTGCTCCCACTCCCGGCTTCTCTCTCGGCCCTAACGGTGAGCTCGAGTACCACGGTAGCAAGGACTTTGTCGCCTGTGCCACAGGCCAGAACGGTGGTCTGAACGTCTACACCACCCCCAACGAGTCCGATGTCACCGGTTGCGTGAACGTCGAGTTGACTGCCGACTCCTGCTCGAGCTCCGGCTCAGGTTCTGGCGGCTCGTCGTCATCTGCCAGCGCTGTTCCCTCTTCTTTCGGATCCTCCAGCGCTCAGTCAACCCCCTCTGCTCCTGTCTCGTCTGCTCCTGTTACCCAGTCCACCCCTACTAGCTCTGCTGCCGTGTCTCAGTCCACTCCTGGTTCCGGCTCTGGTGAGGGATCCGGATCTGGCTCTGGCTCTTCTGCCCCCGCTCCCTCGGCCCCCTCTGAGTCTCCTCTCTCCGGCTCTCCCATCACTGTCGTGAACACTATTACTGTCACCGACTGCAGCTGCTCCGCCACTGCCCCTGTTGGCGGTGGCGATTCCGGCGAGCAGCCCTCCCCTTCCGCTACCATGCCTGCTCCCTCCGGCGGCGGTAGCGACAGCGGCTCGCAACCTACCGGCTCTGTCCCTGCTCCCTCTGGACCCCAGCTCTCTGAGTCGGCTACCGCTCCCGCTCCCTCCGGCGGTGGTTCGCAGCCCAGCGGTTCCGGCAGCGCATCTGTCCCCGCCAGCTCTGTCTCTTCCACTCCTTCCGCTACTGAGTCCTCCAGTGGCTCCTGCCCCACCACCCTCACCTCCGGCAGCTATGAGTACCCCCACCTGATTGTCCCAGTTGACTCTTCCTCGCCCGACACTGCGGCTGGCACTTCCTACAATGGCACTGTGAGCTCCACCATCTCCAGCGCGTTCAACTTCGACATTCCCTCGTCCGATGAGGGTAAGACTTGCAGCCTCGTCTTCCTCTTCCCTGAGCTCCAGGATCTCGAGACCTCCTCCTACAGCTTCAGCGGTGACGGCAAGATCGACTTTGCTAAGCTCTCTTCCGCTGTCGAGGAGTCTACCACCTTCAACAACATGCCTTCCGTCTCCCAGGACCTCGGCGACATCACCGTCTCCCCCGGCAACTCTTACGTTGTTTCCACTTTCCCCTGCCCCGCCGGCGATAAGGTCGCCTACAAGATGGAGAACTCTGGTAGCACCGACCTTAACTTCTTCGAGGACTACAACCCCTCTCCGTATGTTCCTTTCTCTTGTTTTTCTACTTGGATCCCAGCTAACGATCTCTCTAGTCTCGGTCTGTACATCACTACCTGTTAAATTCCCACTTGTGAAACTGGTAATCTGCCACCTTGAACATAAAAACATCTAGGGCCTTTATCATGCCTTTTTTTTCCTTTGACGCTTCACGTTGGAACGCTATCTTCTTCTGATCATTCTTCTATATTTTGTCCATTTGATTCTACTGAAACGGGGTCCATGGGGAAGTAATGTTTCTCAATGGACTGAGTGCCAGATATAGTTGATTGAGAACATTGCCATATCTGGTTGATATTGTTTTTAATTGACACATACACAGAGTGTCGACATTCCTTCGTCTTGTATATTAGTACATTAAATTCACTCCTTTAAATTGCCCTATCTTTGCTTTCATAAGGCGGTACTGAGGAGTTACATGGCGGCTGCCGCTTTGGACCTCTAGTACTTAGGTCTGAAACTGAAAACTATCTTAGCTCCACTCATTACAGAGTGCCAGGTTGCTCGTTGTAGGATATTGAAGCGTTGTGAATCATGATACTTTGAGTAGCTGCCAGTTCGAAGTAATTATATTGTTAGTCACGTAACACTAAACGACAAATTTATAGCCTAATACTCGAAACAGTGCCAAGTGCCGGGCATCACTTTTTAGAAGTCAGAAAGCATAGCGAGGTTCTCGATTTCTTGTAAAAGAATGCACAAGAGATTGTAACTAACAGTAAACAGTATGAGCTCAGAACGATAGTAGTCATCTAGTATTCATCCAAAAAGGTACCGCTTAATATTTTCAATTCCCTGGATATCTCCCTCGGTCGAGTTAGACTTCTCCTTCTCAACCCAACCTTCAGTATAACCGCCTCCCAAATCGACTTGATTATTTTGCCGCTAGGCCAAAACCCCGGGCCTCAAGCACCAAGCAGTAAGGTACTAAGTCATGTAACTGTTGGCCAATAGGTGTGTAATCCTGCGTCAGCCTTAACTAGGTCAAAAGATCATAGCAACAAACAGAACATCTGTTTGTGGCTGCAGCGATATATATTAGGCCCGAATCTCCCTTCGGGACCACTTGTGCCGGCAAATAAATAACCATCTTCAACGCCAACCCTTCTGCAATAAGAAGAGCTACAACAAAGGAGTTGGGCCTAGAGACTGAAAGTCGGTATGCTTTTCGACCTCCGATGCCATGTGAGTAGAACGAATGAACTGAAAAAAAAAAAAAAGAACTTTGCTGCAAATTTTTAAAACAACAAAATTACTTGAATATTGTTGACGAACCTCCATTGAGCTAATAATAAAAAGACATTAATGGATCCTGGGCCTCCACAACCTCCTCCCCCAGGTAAATAAAAGTATACACCTTCCTACCAGGCGACCAAAAGCCAGCGGGAGTCCAAATCTGAACCACGTAAAAGGTTGCAAGATTCTGGCCGTCGGGACTACTATCGCATCGCTATGGCCACTCGTAGATCCATTTCTGTCAAGCTTCCCCGTAAGCACCTCAACGGCCTCTAACATAATCTTGACTGTCACTTCTGGTTGACTCAGAAACGGCGAATGGCTCGTCTGAAGCTCCCTATGTTCCACGCTACCACCCATTTCCCTTGCCATGCCCACCTGTATGCGTTGTACAATCACCGGCAAGCCCCGATCCTCGACGGTGCCAATATACCAAACAGGTACATCCTTCCAACCGGCGTATGTGTATTCCCCGCCCTCGAACAATGCTTTGAGGCTTTGGGTAGTAAGTTGCGAAACCCAAAATTCCGCCTCGTCTGCGGGCAAGTCGTGATAGAAGAGCTCACGTGGAGGAGCAACAAGTTCGGCATATCCGGTCACGTCATTGACCCGCCAGGAAGGAGGGGGATGGCCGAAAAAGGGATCCATGAAGGAAAGTCCACTCAGCGTAAACCCAGAGGCTATGAGAATCAGACCAATGACGTAGCCCGTTGTTGAAGCTTGATTTTGGCTTTCGGTGAAGTCTTGTGGCTTCGTGAGACCCTTGATAGCACTATTGCCCACCATGCCGCCATAGGAGTGCGCAATGACAACGACATTGCGTCGGTCGGTTGTCTCCGTCAAAATAGCTTCGCGTGCAGCATCGAGATCATCTTTGAAGGTCGCAGCTGGGTTTCCCGTCGTCGAAGGCAAAGTTACCGTGATGCATTTCAACTTATGGCCTTGGAGGAGCTTGGTGACCTCATTGTAGCATATAGGTTTATGCCAGGAGCCAGGTATGAAAACTAGCGTTGGTGGATTGGACATCTCAGATTATAGGTGATAGTGATACTCCCAGAGGCAAATGCTTTATTTCTGCAGGATATATCCATGAATGCGGCTCAGGCGGCTCCGATCGGATCCGATGCCAGGGGCGGCTCCGTTCTCCACAAAACAGGCTCTAGGAACGAGCATTCTATCATATCGGAATGGGATCTTATTCTTATATAAATTCTTATATAAATTGCTGTTGGAAACTTATATATCTTCATACATAAATTTCGCATTTTGAGACACACTGCCTTCTGTGAGCTAGCTGTTGCGATTGACAATCTTTAGTCCTTTAAAAGGAAGAAAATCGTCTAAATCATGTTGTCCCTTTTCCTGCTCGCTATACTCATTTCCTTCTTTTCCTCAAAAATCATCTGGACCGTCTACTTTCATCCACTTTGCAACCTCCCTGGTCCTAAAATGTGGATTGCATTTCCTATCATCCGCTTTATCGTCCTTTCCCGAGGTCAATTAGATATCAAAATGCGAGATTTCCACGGAAAATACGGTGAAGTCGTTCGCTTTGGCCCAAACGAAGTCTCTTTCATCACTGCTCGGGCATGGAAAAACATATATGGTCATAGCCATCAACAACTACCAAAAGTCTTGCATTCGACGAGTAACCCGTCTGACATTGTTAGCGCCAACAATGCAGATCATAGTCGTCTTCGCAGGTCCTTGGCACATGCCTTTTCTGCGAAAGGCCTGCAATCCCAGGAACCCATAATTACCAAGTATGTGGATCTCTTGATAGCAAAACTGAAAGTCCTTGCCGCCTCATCCGTCCAGGAAGTCGACATGGTAAAATGGTACAACCTGACTACATTTGACATACTTGGAGATCTCGCTTTCGGTGAGCCATTTGGAGGACTAGAATCATCTGAGTATCATGACTGGGTTTCGACCATTTTTCAGGCTATCCGCGGCATGTCCCTTGTGCAATTCAAAGATGCCTATCCGCTTCCGTTCGGGATATTGTCCCTTTTCAGCTCAAACCGCCTGATGAATGCACGGCAAAGACAAATCGAATTTAGCAGATCCACTGTGCAGAAACGTCTCCAGATTTCAAGTCCCAGAGAATTCACAGACTTCATTGGCAGCATGTTGCGGCAACGCGGAGAACCAAGCAAAGAGATCACCAACAAGGAGTTAGAAGCTAACTCTAACGTTTTGGTTATTGCTGGTAGTGAGACGACGGCTACTTTACTTTCTGGGGTCACTTACTGGCTGCTGCAAACGCCGCACGCCATGGAAAGAGTCACTCGGGAAGTAAGATCTGCGATACAAACTGAGCATGATATCACCATCTCAAGCACCGCAAATTTGACATACATGCTCGCGTGTCTCAAGGAGGCATTCCGAATGTATCCGCCGGCTCCCTCTGGACAGCAGCGGATGACGCTTGGACCTGAATCAACTCGAATTTCGGGCTACTTCATGCCCCCAAATGTAAGCAACGAATGTCATTTCTTTTTCGATCGAACAAAAGCTGATGTTTAGCAGACAAAAGTCTCGGTCCATCAATATGCCGCATACCGGTCAGCCTTGAACTTTTATGCCCCAGATCAGTTCATACCCGAGCGTTGGCTAGAGAATGCCAGAGACAATCGATCCTCGCCTTTCTATAACGATAATCGGGACGTCCTACAACCATTCTCAGTGGGACCAAGGAACTGCATTGGGAGAGAACTGGCATATAGCGAGTTACGAGTGATTCTTGCACGGGTGCTTTGGAGTTTTGACTTGGAACTTCATGAGAAGAGCGGGAAATGGCACCAGCAGCGTTCTTACTTATTATGGGAGAAGCCTCCGTTGATATGTAAGCTAAAGATGAGCGAGAAAGAAATATGGCGAACAGCTCATGAGAAGTAGTTTGTTTTCAATCAACAGTCCAAGAGAATAACTGGATAACATTTGTTTTGAGCACTCCGCTCAAATATATATATTCACGTGATTAAATCTCCGCATTTACTCTACTCCTACCCAAGATTTGCTAAGCTTCCACAACTCCGTTTCCTTTGTCTCGTCAAATGCCCAACTACCGTATCCATATTCAAGTGCATCCCCATCCGAAGGAGTTGGAAGAGCTGCTATGGATGCTCCCTCCAAGTACAATCCGCCTTTCCCTTCCAGTTCACTCGAGACAGAGCCATAGATGGTCGTTGCACAGGCCTGTTCGAGACTGGATAAATAGGCTAGCGCGCGTTTGTCCTGCATCACTGCGCGCATTTCATCCTGGGAGTGTTTCTGGAGGTTGGGACTCATGAAGGCCCCAGGATGTAAGCTATAGCTATGAAGTCCTTGTGATCCATACAAGCGCTCGATTTGGGTGGCCATATATATATTGGCTGTCTTACTAGCCCCGTAAGCAAGCCAACCATTGTAGTTCCCTTCGAAGTTGACATTGTCCAGATTAATAGGACTGTAACGGTGGCCCGACGAGGAGACGTTGATAACACGGGAATGGAACGTGGGCGTTGAACGTGCGGTTTCCACTAGGGTATCTTTCAATAGGTAGAAGAGCAGGAAATGCGACAGGTGATTTGTTCCAAACTGTAGCTCGAAGCCATCTTTGGTAAGACCCTCCGGGGTGTTCATCACCTATAACCATTCAATAGTGAGCTGAGGTTCTTATGAGGACTTTGTTTTCAATTAGCTTACCGCCGCGTTGTTGATAAGAATATTGAGTTTGGAGCTCTCTTTCAGAAACTCCTCAGCACATGCCCGAATACTCGAGAGGTCTGTCTGGTCCATGAAAAGAAGCTTCAAACGCCCAGTATCGAGCACCTCAGCCAGGGCCTCCTTCGCCTTTGGAAGATTCCGGGCTGTGCCAAAGATAGTTGCTCCCGTAGATGCCAAGACGCGCACAGTGTCAACGCCAATTCCAGAAGAAACGCCGGTAACCAGGATGACCTTGTCGCCCCATTGGTCAGTTAGACCTTCATCTTGGATGATTTGACTTCCCGTTACTCGTGAGTCGCCCGGGCCGTTGAGAACTTCCCACCGATTACGCTCGGCATACCGACCCGAGAGCTGAAAAGGGACCTTGGAAACCATCGACATGGCGGACCAGGTGACAATAATGAGTAGAGTGTGAATAACTCAAGTTTGAATGTCAAAAGGTTTAGGCAGGAGTAGGTTGGGGTCTTATACACAACTTTTCCGTATTATCCAGGGGCGTCGGACGCGTGTCTGTGCTGCAATAAATAAAGGTCATTGGTGAGGTAATATGGGGACTGCCCAATCGGATCGAACTTGTTACACCTTGGGGCTTACCAATTAGGAAATGAGACATGCATGAGGTCTGGCCTAAAAACGGCTTAAACTGTTTTTTTGGAGGCACAAAAGCCAAATGTCAGTAGATCTGTAATTGTTATTGATTGAGGCGTAGGAAAAGGTCAGTATAATGCTTGTATGTCGTATATATATGTTACAATATCTGGCCTAGATGCATCAAAGTTAGGGTTGGATCTCTCTTTTGAACTGATCAGGTCAACTTTGTATGGTATCCACAGTGAATGTGCCTTTGATTGGTCTATCGGTGTTAAGCTTCAACCCGACCCGCTTTTATCGGCGATAATTGGACATGTGCGATGTATGAAAAAGGAGATACAACATAGAAACATTACGGAGAATGAAGATTGAGATATCCATTCAATCGAATATATCATAGGTGACATGCATGGTGACACTTACGGTGAGTCATCAGAGAGGCCCATAGCCGTCGTAGCTGCGGCATAACGCCGATGACTTGTATTATTTAGACCCGGATAGATTCAACCCTTAAGAACATCAAGATCTTCTTATCCTCTATAATCAAGCCTCATTGAAAAGAGTTCGAAATGCCTTCCCACGGTCAGTACACGACCGAAAAGATCACATATCTTTCTCACGGTGAGACCGTCAGTGGAATCCACTTTCGTCCGACAAATGTCACGAATCCACCCAGTGTCGTGATCACCGGCCCATATTCTTTTGTGAAAGAACAAGCGCCGCTGCAATACGCCACTCGCCTCGCAGATGAAGGCTACGCAGCGTTGATCTTCGACCCCCGCACTGTTAGCGAAAGCACCGGCCAACCCCGACGACATGGTCGCAGGACTTGACTACCTATCGACACGCGGGGATGTTAATCTATCCCGGTTCTTCTTAGTCAGTATCTGCCAGGGCGGCCCCGAATCCCTAGATGTGGCATCCTACGATGGACGGAGCGCAGGTGTGGCCTCAGTCTCGGGATACTACCGGGACCATGAAACCGACATCTACATGATCTGCGCTGGGTGTGTTGCATGGACGCCTGGGGCAGATATCGCGGCAATGAAAATGCCGACCCCCGAACAGGGAGAAGCCCTGTACAAAGCACGACTTGGGCGAGCTCAAAAAGCCCGCGAATTGTACGACAAGACTGGGGAAGTGGTGTATCAGCCGCTGGTTGATCCGAAGCCCGCTGGCCCTGATACTGGGTCACTGGCCGGCCTTCCGGGACCAGTCGTTTGGTCGTGGTATGGGCCGTGGACACTGAAGGGATTCGAGAACCGATACGCGGTGATGAGTGACCTGGACCACTTTAGATATACCACCGTTCCTGGTGTGGCGAAGCTGAACAAGCCAGCGCTGATAATTCATGGTGACAACTGTATGAATGCGGCTGCTGCTAAGCGCCATTACGAGTCAATTCCCACCAGTCGAAAGAAGTTGATCTGGAACAACGAGGTTTCCCATTTCCAGCACTATGACCAGCCGGATTGTGTTGATCGCAATGTCGGGGACATTGCGGCCTAGTTTGCGGACATTGAATAGAATGCAACTCGCGATAGGTAGATCTTCAATTATTAGGCTGGTTCATCAAATTCCAAAAGCTGGCGTCTGAGAATGCCCCTTCGAAATTCCAACTATTTGTAACGCTCATAGTAAGTGGGTCAAAAGGCAAACTATTCGGTGTAGTCATGAAGGGAATTGTTGTACTTGAAATGTGATCATAGAACAAGTCATGGATTGGACGCGGAGGTAGAACGGCGCCAAATGAGAGTTCCGACGGTGCCCCATAATAGACACCAGTGTCGCTGTTAGGAGGTATCCATTCTGGTTTGCTTAACGATGCTCTATCTTCCTCGGAATTTTCGGGGATGTCGAGCCGATGGCTTAGGCGACGGTACAAGCTGCAGACAACGCCGTGTGCTGACTTTGCCATGGAATTAGATTGACCAATAATGCCCAGTCTTTGCATCCCCCTTTCAACAATGTGGATACACTCTGCTCGTCGTTCGTGATCCTCATTCGGAAAGACAAGGCAGAGCGCTGCGAGGAGAACAATCGCATCGAAAGAGGCGTAGACTGGATTGAACACCTTGCATTGGTGCGGCTGTGACTGTTCAAATAGTCGTTCCTGGGCACGAAGAATGCATATCCCAGCTTTGATGGCTTCAGTCCGACTGTTGGCAACAGAGAATATGTATGTTCTATGAAGTGCGAGAAGAACAAGGTGAATGAGCGAGGACAGTGTCTCTCTGGCCACAGGTAGCCATTGACACCCCGGCAGTCGATCAAACTTCGTATCTGGGTTCTCGAGCCGACACCAAGAGGGTAAAAGTTCGGAATTCATGTTGATTGCAGTGTGGATACGTTCGACCGTGGGGTAGTCTTGGAGGGTGGCACCGTTATGTTCCAGTTGGTGGATGTCCTTGAAGTATCGATAAGCCACATTAAATCCAGCGAGGATAATGTCAAATGGTCGGGGGAGGTCAGTTTCAGTTTGCCAATGCGAGAATAATTCTCGCCGCCTTTCGTCATCCTCTATAGTGCGAGCGAAGCGATCTATTTGGAGATCGGTGGTAATCGGTCGACCGAGAACGACAGCCATGTGGACGTCCCAAATATGCAAGACCACCCAAATTTTGTGACCAACGAGACTGATATTTTGCCTATCTTGACTGGGCCCAACTGGAGAATATCCAGCCATAATTCGTCCAGTATGTAGACCAATTTCCTGTGCATCGCGGATTGTTGCCCCAAGTGCATGCCAAGCTTCAACGACCTTGCCACTACTTTTCAGAAATGAGGCACGTAGCAAACCTGCTTGGACCGTGGTGAGTGTGATATCCTTTTTCCCAAGAACTGCGAGTAGCTCAGCACCCGCATCGCTATATTCAGCCGCAAGATCATGGAAGGTCATGTCAGCGATGATGATGAGAGAATTGATCATGTCGTCATGAGGAGGGTGAAAAAGAAGCGCCTGTGCGAGGACTTGAAAGAGTAATGCCGGAAACACAATGGTACCCGGCGTCAGCCTTCCAAAGCCACCTTGAAGGTCAGAGTATGAGATATTTCCCCATCTGTCTAAGTCTTCTCTGAATGATTCCTCGTCAAGCGGGTCATACTGCCAATTTATATCGGAAAAGAAGGTTTGGATCAAGATCTCGATACAGGCCTGCGAGGGCAGCTGGCGGACTAATTCTCTGTACTTGCGGTCTGCATCGCCTAGGAACTGGGGCTGGTTTGTGATAGAGGAACTAATCATGCTGGCATCCTGACCTCCATATAGCTCTGCTGTCCGTAATAAGCTCATGGAGTTGTGATTGCCGTGGCTGGAGTATCCAAAATCTCTGATCTTGCCCTGAAACTCGCTAGTCCACTCATGGCCCGGTCTAGCAGGTGGGTACAGATGCACCGTATTGCTTATCTCGGAGTCAAGACTCACACCATGACTAATTTGAGCGGGTTGGCGGCTCTTCGGTACAGCATCATAATGGCAAAGATCCTGCGGTCGCTAATCAGACTAAAAGCAACATCGCGTCTAGAAATTTAAATACCTGCTTTTCTCGCTTAATACAGTTGCAGCATGGATACTGGCGGTCACACTATTCAATCTTTATTAGCTTTCTTTAGCGCTTTCGTTGGGGTCCTTACTTTTTGCTTGCGCCGGTGGCATTCTGTACAAGAGATGACAATTCTCTTCCTTTTGTGAGGTCTATAATGTTCTGATGGAACCATCTCGGCACTGATTCAGATTAGTCTTGGCGCGGTGACAATCGTAAATAAGAGAGGAGAGAGGCAGTAGATCTTGACGGGAAGGGCCATACCGCGTGGATTTTGTCGAATTTGATGCTCTTCCGGGACTACAATAATACAGTACGTAAGTTTGCGACACGTGGTTGATCTAGTGGAAGAGAAACGGGAGAGAATATTATAGACACAGAGTAAAATTGAGGGTAATACTAGCCTACACTATGTACCTAACTAGGAAGTTCCAAAATTTGTTAGTTAACTGAGGCGGTCAGATGACCTGGCAGTTGAGGCACCAAGGCGAATAATTGATTATCGACGATAGGGTATTACCCACGTGATGATTAAGATGTACACGTGATCTGGGGCCGGGATCGTCGATCGCGGAAAAGCATATCGCCGAAAAAAAGTGTCGAGACCAGGCCGCCCTTCGCGACCCCATCTCCATCAAGCTACAACGCAATTATGGAGGGAAATACTCAGGCTCGGTCTGACCATACAGATGGAGGGAAACAGACTGTCTCTGTTCCTTTTGCGGAAAAAAAGACCGTTAGCTCATGGGTGCACCTTCTTGCAGGCGCGTATGTCTTTTCTGGCTGGTACCATCTTGATTCTTCTGACATCCATCTAGGAGCGGCGGAATGGCTACTGCGATAGTGACTTCTCCTCTTGATGTCTTGCGAACACGTCTCCAGTCCGACTTTTACCAAACACCGAATAGGGGCACCAACGCCTCCCCCCAATCAAGCCAGCATCCTCAAACATCACGACCTCTTCAACGATCAAATCATAAAACGCTGCGGATTATCAGCTCCATCTATCGTGCTGAAGGCTGGCGAGCTTTCTTTCGGGGTCTCGGTCCAAGCATGGCAGGTGTAGTCCCGGCGACCGCAATCAAGTTTTATGTATACGGCAATTGCAAGCGTGTCGGAGCTCAGCTCATGGGACACACCGAAGATTCTGCTATAGTCCATGCTCAAGCTGCAATCTGCGCAGGACTCGCAACCTCTACAGCAACAAATCCAATATGGCTTGTCAAAACAAGGCTGCAACTTGACAAAACACAAACACACGCCGGTGGTCCTTCGACTCGACGATATCGCAATAGCATAGATTGCATCCGACAAGTCATGCGAAATGAGGGACTGGGTGGCTTTTACAGAGGATTGAGCGCAAGCTATCTCGGCTCCATTGAAACGGCTCTACACTTGGTGCTCTATGAGCAGTTGAAAACTAGACTCCACCGGTCATTAGAAGCTACCGAGGGAAAGCCAAGGACTCCCTTCTGGGACGAAGTTTCCCATTGGGTCAGTACGAGTGGTGCCGCGTCTTCCGCTAAGCTTGTCGCAGGTCTAATCACATATCCTCATGAGGTAAGTCATTTCGAGGCAATTGTCTTGGTCTCACACTCACTCACATTTCTAGGTTATCCGAACACGATTGCGTCAGGCACCTATGGAGCGTGGCCAGGCCAAATACACAGGCCTGTTGCAGTGCTTCCGTACCATCGCCAAAGAAGAAGGTATGGCTGGTCTGTATGGAGGCCTAGCTCCTCATATGCTCCGCTCTTTGCCTTCAGCTATCATTACGCTTGGCGTATATGAATTTGTTCTGAGAATCACCGGTGCTTAGCTTAAGGCACGACTTTGTACACTATCTATAGATCTGGTTCTTTTTGTTTTTTAGGCGGGGAGATCACTAGACATTCTTGTATTATATTTGGCGTGGCTCATCTCAATTACATAATCTCATCTTTCATTCCAAGGTTGCTGCTTCAAAATATTTCATTTTATAGGTGTGACTGTAGCATATCATGTCGGAATTAACGCGCGGAAGTGATTGTGTACATATATCCATCCATCCATGTGGTTTCCTCATGGCAATATATATCTTGCCGTATTCATGCACACTAAAACGCTCGATCCATTCGATCATGGATTGGCGGAGAGATTCATCTAAACCAAGTTTTACAAACCAGCTAAATTTGTTGTTTTAGATACAAACTCATTTTTGCATTATTTAATCTCATTCCAGTCATTCCAGGGGTTTAAAACCGGCAGAATATCACATTTGAAGGCGGAATAGCTTTCCAGAGCCAATAGAATTATAGGAATCCTGTGGACGGTAGTATATCTGTCGATTACACTGGTATCGTGAAATGTATGGGTCCAATCAATGGTGTTAAAATCTCTGTATTTCAGTATCCCTTCTCCTAGCAATTTATATGGATTACGGATTACTAATTCAAAATTACTGCACAACCTGGATTAATTAAATCCCCGGTATGCCGGTCTGTATGCTCCAACAATATCTCGGTAGGGGCGTAATATCGTGGACTAAGCCTAATTAGGTAGGTAGATTTGGGGCTCATAACTATAGCAGATCAATTTCGCAAATCTCTCAAGGCTTACAAAAGTGTGGTGTCAATTTCAATTAGATGTGACTAAATATCATCTAGGGCAAATGATTGCTCCTTGTCACCTCGAAGCAAAAATCAGGGTCACAATTCCCTCGAAAAGGCGTTTTGTTTCGCGCAAATCTCGTCAGATTTTCAGGTGAGTTATGCTGACTAGGAGCTGCTAGTACAAATGTCATATCACTCCCAGAAATGACAACCTGATAGCCCGATGACTCCACTACTTGGTTTTATTGACTGTTGCCCTTAGGCACGAGGTGTTTGGTTGTGTCTGGCAAACTTGTTTTGGGTTCCTCTTTCCTTGCTCAGCACACTACTATCATGATGGTTGACCTTTTATCATAATTGCTCTCCAGATATTGCAATGTCCTGTCGGTCATTATTACGACTCTGCACTTGCACTCACAACCTCAAGCATGGAGACTCACTATCTCAATGAGAATCAGATTATAACCTTTGCGCCACGCAATCAAACACCATCCTATCAGACACATAAGAATCTCACACCTGGGGTGATGGGATAGACCAGGGTGCAGCCTCGTTCCACCTCGGCGACAAACAAGCTGAAAGTCTAAAATTGGACACGCGCACCACCCGGCTGACCTTTAGCAAATTGCTTTACTGGCTACTCTCAGCCAGCTACTCTGACTCTGTGTTCTCAGCATTTTCCTCTCTTTATTCCCTCTCATTGGCCTACGCTATAGATACTTTTGTTGCATTATGCTCTCGGCCCTTGTTTGGTTCTATTATCCCTATAGCACACACGTCTATCTAGATTGTTCATTTACGCTATAAAGCGGCTCCCCGTCCTCTCTTCTCTGTAACACCCCCGGAGCCGCCTTGACGGTGTTACTAATCGGGTGGTGGGGGTGTCGATCCGAAGACAGGTCCTCAAGTAGGAATGGCAGGAGCTCGGAAGCAGCCAGATATTGCATTAGACCTATGCGTGAGGCCCAACCGTACATGTGTCTGTTGTGGTTGGGCCGCACGCCGAGGTGAGTAAAATATTTTCATCTACGCTGCTGCCATAGGCTACAACGATTGACTTCCCCTCCCTGATCAGTCAATGGAATGTGGTTTATTGTATCCCATTTAATACATTTCCCTCGACTACAAGGCTCATATATTGTGTTTTCGTACAGAAGATGAGCTTCGGTTACAGCGTCGGAGATCTTTTGGCAATCTTGAAGCTCGCTGACGACCTCAAGAAATGCTTCTCCCAAGCACCTAAACAGTTCAAGACAATCTCCGAGGAGTATGATCATAAATCACTACAGCCATATACAAATCTGTGAAATAAATGATACTGATATATGCAATAAAAATAGGGTCAAACGAGTGTGGACCGTCGTTCATGACATTCATGACATCCCCGCCGATGGGTTAAATAAGCAACAGGGGGAGGACGTCCCAGATAATCTTAGAGGGCTGTCGAGAAGTTCTCAAGGATTTGAAAATGAAGCTAGACAAATCAGAGGTTTTGGCTTACACAACCTCCGATTGGAAGACGAAGGCTCGTCAAGCATGGAGCAGGATCACATGGGATCAAGTGGAGATTGACAGGCTCCGTGATAGGATCACGTCCACTATATCACTCTTCAACCTCCTTATGAGCAAGATAAACCAGTGCGACTCCTTCAACCCACTCAATGACTTTTTCGCAGCTTTTTGGCTTGCGGGTTTGAAAGGTTTGGCAACTAACCTTTCACTTTGAGCAGGAGCCTATCTTTGGACATTCGGAATGATATTCGACTTTTACGTGAAGAATCTAACGAAGAATTTTATGAAGGCGCTGGAATCGACCACCTTTCGTGGATCAGCACCATCGATGGCTCGAAACGCTATATCGAAGTATTGAGAACTCGACACGCAGACACAGGAACGTGGTTCATCAACAAAGAAGAAATTCAGAAATGGCGGAGTAATGAGAAGCAGCTTTTATACTGTCCTGGTATCCCCGGAGCTGGGAAAACAGTGTTGAGTTCCGTCGTCATCGAATGGCTCACAAAATCATTTGCAAATGACGACGACATTGCCGCCACGTATATTTTCTTCGATTTCAGACGGGAGCTGAGTGTGTTTGAGATATTAGCTGCTCTTCTTAGGCAACTTTGGCAAGGGTCACCAGGGAAATCACGGACTTGGTCCCAACCAAGACCGCCACGTGAGGAGTCGATGAGGCTGGAGTGGATTCAAAATCAACTTGAGGCTCGTGTGTCGGAATTTACGAAAACCTTTATAATTCTAGATGCTTTAGATGAATGCTCCGTTACTGGTGGTACCATGCGACAATCATTGGATTTTCTTTTCAGCCTTCAACGGAAAGCAAACGTCAATATCCTGGCCACTTCACGGTTCAACGAGGAAATCGCGAATTTGTTTACAACAGCCGGGGCCGCTTTGGAGATTCAAGCCAATGAGGACGACATCCGAGCTTATATTGACCACCGAGCGGCATATTTCTCGCCTTTTGTGGCCAAGAAGCCCGGCCTATCAACATATATCCGTGATGAGATTGTAAAATCGTCAGGAGGAATGTAGGTCGTACATGCATCATCTATTATGAATTGTTGACTGACATCTTCGAGGTTTTTACTTGCCAAATTGTATCTCAACTTGGTGCAAGATGAGATTAATGAAAAGCGAATTCGCAAAGTGATAGAACGATTCCACAACGGCTCTGGAGCTTACGATGACGCTTATGATGAGACGATGAGGAGAATTGAGCAGCAAGGACAGTATGCTCAAGAGATTGCCAAAACCATCTTTGGGTGGGTATTGTTGTCAACACGGGCGCTTTCCCTCCCTGAAGTTCAACACGCTCTTGCTGTTGAAATAGGCGAATCCGAATTCGACGGCACAAACATAACCGACGTTGAAGAACTGATGTCCATCTGCATCGGCTTGGTTACAATTGATGCGCAGTCCAACTCGCTCAAATTTGTTCACTACACCACCAAGGAATACTTTGAGCGGAGGTTAGACCAGTGGTTTCCGGATATTCACCGTCTTATTACCAGTGCTTGCCTTGCATATATGTCTCTGGATGTTTTCAATCAGGGGCCATGTGAGACTGAAGAAGATATGGATGATCGGCTTAGCAAGTATCCATTCTACAAGTACTCCGCTCAAAACTGGGGTCATCATTACAAAAGGCACACCGGAGACGAATCTAGGACGATCGAGTTTTTGGCTGCCGAGAGCAAAGTTCATTCAAGCTCCCAAGTTGTGTTCGGGTCCTCTCGTGATCATACCACCCAATTGTACAAGACTGAACGGGGCCCTGGATTTGTGCGGACATGGGCACTTCAAGCCATTAAAATGAAGGAACCACTGAAGGGAGCCCATTTCGCTGCTTTCCTGGGTCTAACGAGTCCATTGGTATCCATGCTGAATTCGAACACGATCAAAGTTGACATCGAGGATGATGTCGGGCGCACGCCCTTGTCATGGGCTGTTGCATACGGGCACGAGGAACTGTCCAATATCCTTCTCCAAAATGGCGCCAACCCTGATAGCATGAACCAATTTGGGTTCACACCTTTGTTCTACGCAGCTGTCGGCGGCAAAGTGGGTATTATGGAAATTCTGATCAAGGCGGGCGCCCAAGTCAATACAGTTGATCAGAATGGAAGGACGCCACTTTTCCATGCTGCTGCTGGTGATTCATCACACTTGATGCCTTTTTCTTTTGAGGGTGATTGCTTAGCCTCTGTCGAGCTCTTACTTGCCCAAGGAGTATCTGCCACGCAAGTCGATAATTTTGGCCAAACAACACTTTTTGTAGCTGCAAACAATGGAAGAGCTTGGGTTAGGTTGGGCCTTGGGCTTTATGGGCTTTGCGGAGGTCTAGATACGCCCAACTAAATCCTCATCTAAATTATTTTTGATACGAAATAAGCGCAGTTATCAGAAAATAATGCTTGATATCGAGCGAGAACACTATTACAATGAATGGCTGGTAAGGAGTTCCAAAGATTTCTGAATGATTGGGACATACACACTATTCAACCTTCTACAACATCATTCTAATACACCATTCAGTGTGCTAGGAACCGCTCTGCTCCCCAGTATTCTTCGCCGAAACGAGCCGGCGTGATTCTCACTGGGGTCCCTGCATCGTATGCCTCTACCATTTTTCCATCGCCAATATACATTGCAACGTGATAGATAGTGCTTGGATTGCTGAGATTACTCGCGTAGAACATGAGATCCGCTGGTTGCAAATCTTCCTTTTCCACTCGAGTGCCATGACCAGTGAAGTCGGCTTGGGCATCAGCATCACGGGCAATGGAAATGCCATGCGAGTGGTAGAGGGTGTGCGTGAAACCTGAGCAGTCGAAGGCAAATCCTGACGTACCGCCCCAGAGGTAAGGAAGACCAAGGAACAATTTGGCTGTGTTGATCAGATCAAGGCTCGTCGGGTAGGGGATTTCTGACGTAGATTTATAGATGGTAGCGTCGTGAGCGGACAAATAGGCCGTGCCAACATCGGGTACTGCAACTTCAATGACTGATCCTCTCTCCCTCATGACTGGGAGCCTCGTGTCGTAGGTGATTTCTATAAGCTTCGACTTCAAGCCCGGATCGCGGTAAAGTGAAACCGTGGCGGCCTTGTCGATTGCTACAAAAGGTTTGCTTGATTGCAACTTTCCGTAGTGCTTATCAAACGACACTTGGGAGGCAGGAACCCAGCCAGGGTATCCCAGTTTGTTCTTCGGTGTCGCCTGGCCAGGCACGGCCACCTCGTACCAACCGCTTTCATAGTCGAGGATTTCCACCCGTGCACCATACAGCGCCTGGGTCTGGGTCCGGCTGTTACTGGTAAGGTCGCGGTACTCCGTCACGTTCATGGAGCTGAGCCATTTCTCCAGTTGCACCGGGTGTGTCAGTGCCGGCTCATCTATTGCGCGTGGCTTGCTGGGGTCGGTCCACAATGTTGCGGCGACTACATTTATGTAGCCATGCTGCACGGATGTGCGAGTATCGAAGTTTGGGCTTGCATTGGAACTTGGGAGAGCGTTGGTAACACCCAAGAAAAGTGCAAGGGTGACTTGTGTTGCGATGGTTGAAAGCATGATGTTCTTGAAAACCGATTGGGTGCATGGTTCGATAGGCGTGCTATCATGTCAGTTTTATGCATTGCCCTCAACTTGGTGGAGCCTAGCTTTTGATACAGACAATGTTGCATCGGCAGATATCTTTAGTGGCAGTTGTACCCACTCGGAGAATGTCATTTCTCTCTCCGTGCTCTCTCCGAAGGCCCCTCACGCGGGATCTTCCCCATAATACTGAACGATCAGGCTGATTGGCGAAATAATGTCATCTGCACTATCTTTCTGCGTTCTATCTGCGTTGTCTCGTGTTAGCCGTCGAATCATTTTCTGATAACAAGATATGTGTCGCCGAGGTGCAACTCTCCGGACTCTGTCCGAGAAACCGTGCAAGTTTTCATTTGACAAACTTATCGTTTTGACGGAAGGCCACTAGATCAATGGCTTAATTCTTTCTCTCTTATCAAAGTCTCCGGATGATATCTGAAACTCCCTTGGCTCGGTTGCCATCTCCTACGCTTTCCCGTCTCTATGAATCGCTTGGATGCAATTGAGCCACAGTGGCCACCCGGGTCATTATTGCGGGAGGATAACACGAATGACAACCATAGTCAAGCAATTGTGTTCAAGGCACAAAACGCGAAGTCATGGAATCCTCTCAAGCTTCTTGCTATTGGCTCCATGTCTATAGCGCTATGGGTTGCGACAAGAGCAAGAGACATAATGCAGCGTCAAGATATCGACCCATTAGACTTTGCGGCTCGAACGACCAAGGTACTATCGGAGATACCTCTCATAGACGGGCATAATGATCTGCCGTTCCTTGTTCGGCTACAGCTCAACAATCAGATTTATGGAGATAATCTTCCATTTGGTCAAGGTATAGTTTTCACGTTTGCCAATCCTTCAATCAAGACCTAATATTGACGGCATTGAAGGACTTGCATCTCACACAGATCTCAAGCGGATGCAGCAAGGCAAAGTGGGTGGGCAGTTTTGGTCGGTCTTTGTAGAGGTAAGTTCGTTGGTTATTGGACATGCGGTATTCCATGGGACTGACATCGAGACTAGTGTCCCCGAATACTTCATCTTGACGATCCAAATGTAACCACAAATCTTAATCTTCCTCGCTGAAGAGCCCTGCTAACAACCCAATTATAGCATAGCGTTCGTGACACCCTTGAGCAGATTGATGTGGCAAAGCGCTTGGTAGCGGAATACAGCGAGCTGCAGTACTGCGAAACAGCAGCATGTGCTCAACAAGCCTTCAAATCAAAGAGAATATCATCTATGCTCGGCGCCGAAGGACTTCACCAGATTGGTTCATCCATTGCCGTGATCAGGCAGATGTACGAGCTCGGAGTGCGCTATATCACCCTCACTCATAACTGCGACAATGCATTCGCTACTGCAGCAACTACAGTGACCAAAACAGGTAAAGATAGTGGACTGAGTGATTTTGGCCGCGCTGCGATACGCGAAATGAACCGATTAGGCATGATGATAGACCTCTCCCACACGTCTCACCGAACAATGCGAGATACCATAGCTGTGACTCGAGCACCCGTGATATTTTCGCATTCGGCGTGCTATGCGATTGCAAAGAGCTTGAGAAATACCCCTGACGACGTCCTTCAAATGCTCCCGCAAAATGGTGGCCTGATTATGATCTTTTTTGCGAACAAGTTCATTCGACCTGATAGCCCCGAAAAGGCCAGTTTGGAAGATGTGGTGGACCACATATTTCATGCTGCCTCCATCGCTGGCTGGGATCATGTTGGAATTGGTGAGTAGTTCTTGATAGTTATAAGAGCATATACTAAATTGACCAAGGCAGTGATTTTGATGGGACACCTACCGTTGCCAATGGGATCGATGATGTCTCGGCATACCCAAAGCTCATTGAAGCTATCATGCGACGCGGTGCAACAGATGAGCAGGTGCGAAAGCTAGTAGGATTAAATATTCTGCGTGTTTGGGCGGAAAATGAGATTGTGTCCGCTCAGATACGTGAGATAGGTTCACAACCTGTGGAGAGTTATTGGGAAGGAAGGACACAGCCAACTTGGGATGGTCCATTGCCTTCACTGAAGAAAAACAAGAGATAAAATATTCTAAATAAATTCTTTACTTTCAAGTCTTTCAAGACTTTTCAAGTCAAAGATGAAAAACGTTCGATAAGGGGCAATCCCCGCTTCTCATACCGCCCCATTTCTTCCCCCTGTGTACAATGTACGTCTAAAATATGTCTGTTCGTTCAAAGAGCATCCGGGGACAGCGACCACCAAGAGTCGCATCTTGTGAGCCATGTCGACTGTCAAAACTAGCTTGCGATCATCGGCAACCTTGCGCCCGGTGTGTTGGGCGAGACATCCCCCATGAGTGCGTCTACAGGAAGAATGCATTTAAGCGGAGTCGACCCTCCTTTACAGGTCAATCCTCGGGGATGCAGTGAGTGGTTTATAATTTGACCAGTCTGGCCTTTACCAATTGTTTTCTGATGATAATTCCAGACATCAGCTGTCTTTTAATTCTGCATCCATGTTGGAACCCATCCGGCCAACTCTCCCACCAAATAGCCACCCAAATACGGGGTATCAAGGTTCTTCTTCTTTGGACTCACTACTGGGCAACGTGCGCCAGCAAACCATGTTGTTTGGGGATTTGGAGGCAGGTTCGACCCTGCTTTCGGTCGGGCGGGATGATGAGGGGCCAGCTTACTCTACGACTCATTTCATGAACAATGCTTCGACAATCGAGGGAGCACAATTGTTGGAAACATTTGCCAGCTCCAAGATACATAACATCATCGAGCGCTTTTTCTCTGACTGGAAGGGAAACGGACTCGAGTCGCATGTCGGCGCGTTCCTCATTCAGCCATTCGCTGATGCAGTCATTAAAGAATTTGTCACCCTGCAGCATTCTCAAAATTTTCGATCAGATCTGTTAGCCCTGTCCCAGCGTTTGTTTGAAAATAGCAGCCGCGCTGTGGATATACATCGTTTGATGACCTTGCAGGGCTTTATCGACCAGTATACGGGTCCGAACCTTCGCTGGGAGACAATGGGGGTAATCCTCACACTTGTTGGGTATGCTTGCGGGAAGGATTCAACAGCTTCTTGTTCCAAAGACATATGGAGACTAACAAGGGTCGCAGTATTGCCGCAACTGAGTTTCGTGCACCATATTCTCTGTACCGAACAGAACAAGAACGGCAGACTCTAAGGATGAACCTGATTCAATTTGGAAACAAATGTGCAATATTTTGCGAGGCATTGGATGTCCTCAACGACGTTCATATTCTCTTTCTATATCAGACGTTCCAGGTGCAGTCTGTTTTCTACGGAGACCAAAGTACGTGACAAATCTTCAAGTCCCTCCTGTGCATCAAAGTGACAATTTGGCAGGTCTTAAAACGTGGCGTCGACTCAACGACGCAGCCTGTGCTCTACTCGCCGCTGGACTTCATGAGAGCATCCAAGAAGCACGCGATATGCCGTTCTTTCTGGTTGAAGTACGAAAACGTATCTTTTCCCGCTTATACAGTATCGATATCAGCTTAGCGACATTTCTCGGACGACCACCGCGCATGAGCAAGAAATTTTGCTGTATCAACTTGCCCCTTGACATCGACGAGAAATGCTATTCTATGTCGGGCCCTACTCTTGATAGAGAGCTGGAAAGGCTTGACCAGGCCGGATGGAACTCGCAGGGTCACATCCGGGCGAGCGCCGTTATGCGATGGTCAACTATTACGGCAATGATTCGTGAAGAGACGTTGGAATTGCTGCTGGGTGGGAACATATCTAATATGCAACGGCGAATAATGTGCGTCACTTGTCTCGGTTCATACAGCCGATTAGCTGATCGTTTACAGTGACTTGCACCACGAGATCAACGAGGCATGGGAGAACCTTCCTTCCTTCCTAAGGGTGTCATATCACGAACTTTGGGATAGCCAAAGGCCCCGCACAGAAATGGAATGCTTACATATGGTTCGAATCTTATATCTACAGTCTGCATTCTTGATTGAATGGGCAGCATGGCGCCATGGAATCCAACAATCGAGCCTATTTCGATCTGCGTTGGATCTTATTTGCTCGGTCAATGATGCCTTGATCCGACGGGACCAATTACCAAACCTTGGCTTTATATCTCTAGCCTGGAGAGTATGTACCCTGAACAACTGGTGAGATTTTTTTGAGCTGACTGCATAATATAGGTGGCATCATGCGCTCTCCCAGCGGCCGGGGCCCTCGCATTATATCTTCTACAGCCCTCGTCCCGATGTCGGTACAAGGATCTAGACCCACCGTCTCGACGACGGGTAATCGAGAATCTCTCTGTTCTGATTGCGCACATGGATATTTTGCATAGCCCCAATGACGGCAATTTCAAATTGTTTTCTCAGGCCAAGCGCTCTCTCCAGTCTGTTGTGGACATGCTATTGCAGCCAATGAATCCAATTGCAATGGAGGCGTCATCTACACACCTGAACACTGAGCTGCCATCAGCTGATTGGATGGTGCCTGATTATTGTGGATTTGATGGTGATTTCTGGTAAGTCAACACACTCCATCAAGTGGTGCTTTACACACTAAAATTGCCAAAGGGCCAATTTTCCCGATTGTCTATATACAGAAGAGAATAGCGATCATGCACTTGTATGACAAGTACGGTCGCTCTACTGTTGCGTTCTTCTCTTTGTTATTTTCATTATGTTTCTGTGCGTCTGGATATATCATGCCCACCAGACAACTCGACTTCCTCGCCTATACCATTGCGCATACCTTTGTTGCCCACTTCGATAATTCCTGGAACCTCTGTATTCACATCAGGTGTCTCTCCAATGGTATAACAAGCACATACGACCATAGGGTGTGGAAAACAGGGCTTCCCGTCCGCTCAGCCGTACTTAAGCCACACGCCGGTGAGTTAGTAGTTGGGTGGGTGACCACCAGCGAATCCTCACTGTTGTATGTTTTTGTTTTTTTTGCTGCCATTTAACGGTTAATATATGAATAGTCCGAATTATTCACACCTGTGATCATTTATAAAACTTACTGTAGTGTAAAAATGCCATAAACCCTTCCAGGGAAGGCGGAAACGGGACGAATGGGACTACATTACCAAGACGGCAGACCGGAAAGAAAAGGAGTCAGATCCGGGGGAGAACAGAGCCGAGCATATATGATGTAGTAGTAAGTATATGGACCAGGGTGAGGCTACGGTAGTCTCTTGGAAGTACTAAACCTATTTGGAAAATCCGGGGAACCCTGCCCAGATTTATGCATTCCCACCCCCACTTCCTTCAAACATCCTGTCTCTCTTCTTCAAGCTTCGATCCGCAAACTCCTACTTTCTTCTCTCGTCTCGATCAATCTTTCACTTCGACTGTTCCTTCTCCCACCTCCACCCCTTCCTCTTCACATTCCCTCGATTTACTAGAAATCAAAATGACTTCTTCAACCAAGCAGACAAAGCACAAACCATCTGTCTCTGAAGGGCTCCAATTAGGACCCACAAATCAAACAAACCAAAACAAGGCGGAGCGGTGAGTGAGAACCTGCTTTCGCAAAGGGGAGAAGTTCTGGATTCTAAAGATGAAGACCAATGGCTTGATCCTTTTTGCAGTCATTTCTGGGATATTTCGGATGCAGTTATGAGAAAGGCCCAACCAAGGCACGTGCTAGCATAACAAAAGTATGTTACCCTACGCTTCTATCAATCAACTCCTGACTAACCTCTTGTAGCCTACATCCAGGTGCGTTCCGACCGGGCACCTATCGTTCATCCCGGAACGAACGAATAGAGACATACCAAGCGGCCGATAGATTTCAACTCCGATGGAGACATCTACCCTGGAAGATGGCCAATCGGTTACCCAGTGATCCTGTGGGCTTTGGCCGGTACTAGGGCCACGGAACTCCCTCGCCTTGCAGTGTCAACGGCATTCGAGCCCAATTCACTATCGCCCTGGACGATGCCTCTGAGTAGAAGACAGTCCCAAGAGATTTTGACCCTGGAATAATACTCCCTATGATTGTCACACTTGGAAATCAGTGTATGCGATCCTTCAAAACAACTCACAGCCGGTCAAGACAGTGACATCAAACCCCTTATCGTACATTCACTTGCTACCATGGTATATGGTTCCAACATGATTTCGAACGCTGGAATCGGACTCAAGACTACTCTCAAGCTATGCCTGGCAGTCTTGCGTGATGAGAAGTTACCAGAGGACATTGGAGAAATCATGGGAAGTTTTGTTATGTCGTATGTCAATAAGAGGGAAATTCGGTTACTACTAGATTTTTGGAATATCAAAATGGATTGTGTATTGCTATGGATGTAGTGTATGGACTCCTATAGTGAGGAGGTAGGTCGCTCTTGATACCTTAGGCACCAATAAGGCATTTATGTTTAGGCCTGAGGTTTGTTCGAAACCCATCTCTTTTCTTATTAGTATCTCTCGCTCAATGGCCTTTTCTTCGTTATTACATCCAATCAGGCATGAATATTATTCGAAACCGTTATCAATGGACCGCCAGTCGTTGCATGCAGGATTTATCGGTAGATTAACTGATATCAAGTCACAGTCCGCGATAGGAGAATTGGGGACTCTCTCCGACAACACTCCGAAACAATGCTTGTTCTACACATCAAAATAAATTAATTTTAGCACCGAGGTTTATTCCCCGCGCTTGGTTTGCATGACATTAAAAGAGTCAATGTTACCCACTTTCAATGCACTGATCTTCGCATCTGTCTCACATTATACATTCTCATTTGAAATTATACTCACTGTCCATGAATATGGAAATCCCTCTAGACGAGAAAAATGGTTCTTTCATTCCCGAATCGCCCCAAGAATTGACGACAAGTACCCTCATCAAACCACAGGCTCGCAAGGCTTATGATTCAAATGTCACCTTTGAGGAGTACCACTACTATTCTAAGAAGACAAGGGAAGAAGAAGAGCATCTAGAGGCTCCAGTGCTCAATGTGCTGCAGCTTTTCAAAGGGAAGAAAGTCGAGGAACCGATTATGACTCTGACAGAGAAAGACTTTTCAGACCCAGAGCGGAGACTTGCGATAACAGACGAGGAATGGACAAATGCAAGCCGTTCACTTAGGTCTGCTTCATGGGGTGCCTGTAAGTCAGCAATTATATCATATCTTATATTCAACTCAAGGCTCATAATATTGTCAGGTTTCTATTTGATTACAACGGATATCCTAGGCCCATTCGGGTCGGGTTATGCGATGGGCACATTGGGTTGGAGAGCAGGTGAGCTCGATTTATTCTTGTACACCTTGAAAGAACCAGTTGACTGATTGTGATATAGGCATTGCCTTCTACACTGTTTTCGGATTCATGGCCGGATACTCTGGATATCTCCTTTGGCGCGTCTTCCTTGGCGTCGACAGCTACGAGTTCCCAGCCAAGAACTATGGTGATCTCGGATTCAGGACCCTTGGCCGGTACGGTCGCCATCTTACAAATGTCTGTCAGGCGATTTCGTTACTCTTACTCGTGGGTCAAGTCACCATCGGATTTGGCCAAAACCTATCTCAGGTATCGCAGTTCCGGCTGTGCTATGTCGCCTGTCCGGTCATATTTGCTTGTGCTGGCTTCTTTATTTCTCAGATCCGAACTCTCAAAGCGTATGGCTGGGTTGCAAATTTCGCAGTGTGGATGAACATATTTGTCATTTTCATGTCGATGGGTGTTATGGCTGTGTCTCCGCCGAACTACAAAATCTCCACTCTCGGGTCTGCTGGCAGTGTGGTTGACAGAAAAACAATCACACCGGACAGTGATGGTAACTACCCGCCGATCATGCATTACAGCAGTATCCCTGCAGGTGGGCTCATTGGGTCCGTGAATGGTATGCTGTCCGGTGTGTTGGCATACGCAGGTGCACAGCTGTTTGTTGAATTCATGGCCGAAATGCGACGACCCCGAGACTTTATCAAGGCTATGTGGGGAGCTCAATTCTTCATCTACAGCGTCTATCTAACTTACGGCTGTGTGGTCTATCATCTTCAAGGACAGTACAGCTATAGCCCGAGTTATCAAGGTATCAGCATATATGCATGGCAGACTGTGGGGAACATGATTTCTTTACTCGCTGCTCTCATCTGCGCAGGTCTGTACGGGAATATTGGAGTCAAGATTGTCTACAATAACATCCTGATGGATATATTTGGTATGCCCCCTCTGGATACGCGGGTTGGCAAGATAGTCTATGCTTCTCTTGTCCCGGTTTGGTGGACAATCGCATTTCTTATCGCCGCAGGCGTTCCAGATTACGTTGGCTTCGTCAGCGTCATTTCCGCTTCCATGCTTTTGAACCTGACATTCACTATGCCTCCCGTTTTTGCCCTTGCATTTGACATCCAGAAGAATTCCATTCGTACGGAGGCGGGCGAAGGATTCAACCCGATAACTGGAGAGGTGCTCCGGACCGAAACAACGACGGCAAGATGGATCCGTGGTTTTTGCTCTGGTGGTCCTTTCCAAGTTGCAATCAACATTTGGCATGTTTTGTTCTCCCTGGCATCACTCTCGATGTGTGGGTTGGGCATGTGGGCGGCCGTTGTTGGTGAGTGCTATTACTATTATTTTGTTCACTCCATACTAATTTCTCTCCCAGGAATGGTCGATGCCTTCAAGCTTCCGCAGCTAAACTCGTTCTCTTGTGTCTCGCCACTCAATCTGAATGGCTAAGACAGGCTTTCCAAGCCAGTGAATCTAATTTGAGTGCAATATTTATACAAGAGTTGAATTTACCATCGAAATTTCATTTGATTTATATTAGTTTGGAGAACATTATCAACACAAGAAATTTCATGGGATAATTTTGTTCAATTATTCTCAAACAGATATAGAAGTAATTCTGTACGGCCCAATTTCTAAGCCAATTAACTCCCAGCTCTACGTAGAACAAGTTCATGGTGTTAATCAACGCAAAATGAGATTTAATTTGCTTCCAACGTATGTATCACAAATAGGAACAAGAAATTCATGTCCCGTTGTTTGTCAAAATCTCCGTTTCCTTCGCAACCCTCCATTCCTCCTTCAACCATTAGTGCTGTATCTCGTTCCCAAGCTGCGGCAGGGGTTGGCTGAACCATTCTATCTGAGCTTAAACATAGCTCACACTAACACTGTTGCTAGTGATAGAAGACTTGGTCAAGACAGCGTTGCTCTGCTTGATATCCATGAGAGTAGATCCAGATGGGCCCACAGACTTTCCACCAGTTGTAGCCTTTGCGTTCGAGAATGTGACAGTTCCAAAGTTGACAAAGGGAACCAACTCGCCATTGCTTTCAAAGTCCTCAACGATCCATTCAGCATTGTACTCGCAGAGATCTCCATCAACACCACCGGTGAAAGTGTGGGTAACAGATTTGCCTGTAGTCACATTCTTGACGACAGCAGTACCGGCAGTCTTGGACTTGGCGGTTACGGTGACTTCAATCACATCTCCAGCGGAGATCGAGATTCCGGTGAAGTCATAGGCATAATCCGGGTACCACTCGTACCAGGCATCGTACGTTACCTGGCTTCCTTGGATGCAGAAGTCAACTCCGGTTTGGAGGATGGCGGTGCTGCAGGTATCACCGTCAATACCGACCCAGGCGGAGGCGCAGTACTGCTCGGTAGATGAAGCACCGGTGGGAAGCTTCGGGGTAGGAACGGTGAATTGACCGGTGACAGAGGTATAGCCGGTGCCAATAAGGACAGCGCCGGCCCAGTTGGTGCTGTACTCCTCGTGAGTTGTTCCATTCAGCTTAAGAAGCTCTTTGGTGTCGGGCTTGTAAGGCGGACGGCTGATTCGGCTGATTCGGCCATCAGCTCGGGCAGCGTTGCGAGCTGCGCGGCGTTCGGTGAGAGGAGCTGCGATGGCAGACGTTGTGAGCAACGCTGCGCTGAGAAGGGTAGCTGAGAACTTCATTGTTCGAGTCGGATGATTGAACTGTTGAGAGAAAGAAGTGTATTGACTGTGTGAATAGAGAAATAGACTCGGGGAGATTGCCGTTTATATAGCTGTCTTGTCTAGTTGTAGCTTCATTGAAATTACACGACAATCATCTCGAAGTACTCGAACTAATGCACATTCACGGTGTATCTTGTTCAATGTAACATCAACATCCTTGAAAAAGAAGAAGTAAGCCTCATATCTTTTGATGCCGTCGGAGACCGATGCATCAACTCAGAATCGACCGTGGGCTGAAGAATTTCACTCTATCCGCGCAATGGCTCGCGATTCAGGCCACAGGTATCGAGGTGCCTTAATTGCTCGGAGCTATTTCGTGTATCACATCCACACATACTCAGCAAAGACCAGGGTATGAGTCCAATGGCATTGTCTATTCTCGATGCACGCTAAAATGATACAAGCTCCAACCCTCCGGATTTCCGACGGAGCCTAAAGGAGTTCCAAGCCAACCTAGCTTAGACTGGTGAAGTGAGGAGAAGTGATATAGATTAGCAAGCGGCGTAGATATGCAAAATGGTAGTTCCGAACTAATAGGGAAGTGATCGCTCTGTTCAGATCGCATCAGGAGGAGTTATCTGTAAGCAATAGCAACTTGATGTGACTGTGGCTTGGGAGCTAATATGGGCTTGTTCCCTAGCCATTAGCCTGTCAGTGATAAGAGTGCCAAGCTTTGGACAAGCAACGATGCCCAGGAGAAAAGACGGGAGAGGTGGATAAATGTGGATGAATAATGTGGATACTATTTACCCCTAGTATTTATACTCACAATATAGCTACTTATTATATTGTATTCCTGGTGTAGTAGCATTATAGTAAGAGAATACTATATTCAGGAACAAGATATAATCATATTTCCCCCATAAACTCACTCCCTGAGAAGAAATATCCCCGCATCGGAGTTTCCGGTGCAGATTCGTGCGGACTTCGCAGACAAGCTAGTCCACGCTAACTTCATTCGATGATAATCTCCGAATCTGAGCGTCAGCCTATTGGACAGTGATGCCGCAATTCCTTTAGTAACAAAGTATAAGATTCGAGGTGAGTTATGCCTCTATGAAGAGTCCGGCACAATTCCCTCAAGCCCCCGGGTCCTTCAAGCCACGGCGCTTGGACTTTTGGCTATGATTACAGCTCCCGGCAGTTGATAGATATTCTGAGTCTTATCAAATGAATACGATTTGCTGGAACTTGCCCCATGAAGATATGCCGCCCACTTGGCCCTATTACTAACATATTCGCATATCTCCATTCCAAGGTTCTCCTATAGGCAGCTTTATTCCTGTACCTATTTCAGCAGCTGTTAGTATTTGATTTTGACTTCTTCCTCTCCGAATACTTCCCTTTCACATTCTCTTGGCTCTCTAATAACTATCGAGCATGCAACTATTGAACATGTTGTCGGTACAAGGAAGCGTGCATCCCCGATATTAATGTCTCATCGGGATAAATATAGTAAAGAAAATCTCCCCGTGGACTCTCGCATGATGCGGTGGTTGAAAGAGGTTTTTTGCTCCGGTGTTCAAACGGGGAATGTATGACTCCATAAGCACTATTGAGTACTGTTTAGGGATACAGTCTCAATAGTGCCGCCAGACGCGCGAGTGTCCGTGAGTCTATTCATCTTTGTTCTCGAACTTCTCTCAATTGTCGGTGGGTTTTGATTCAGCTCTCTCCAGGATCTAAGGTCTTGCTCTTTTTTCGTTGTTTTTAAGTCTAGCTCCAGACATTGTATACCAAGTATTGCGTTGATTTTCCTCCTGTTATGGCTCTTGTTGGACCTATATTCTGATAGAATTAAGCCTACTTACTTGAGAATCACATATTGATTCTGGCCCTTCCAATCCGCCTCAGTATATTGGACATCTTGTATAGGAGAACAAAGGGTAAACCGAGGACGCTGATATGTGCGGTGTGATGTCGTTCTTTGTTGAAAATTCATTGTTTATATTCGCCCAGAGGGCAGAACCTTGCATGGTTCCTGGGGTCTGCAGTTGAACAATGAACTTAACTCGAGAACTAATGTTTCAAATGCATGCTCAGGCGGTGCCCTTCCTAATCAAACTAGGTATTCTCGAAAGATTTATTTTTTCCCCTGAATATCCAACTATCTATAAAGGAAAGACTGATCTCCGTGATGGAATTTGCATTCAAAGGTCAATGATCAATGCAATGCATTCCATTCACATCCTCCTCTTTCTGCTGCTTGTCCATATAGCCGCAGCCCAACCCGGGCACGCCGCTAGCAATTCTCATGGCCATTCAGTCACCAAGCGCGCTGCATTTGGGCCGGGTGCTGATGGTGTCTGCCACACCTATACCATTCAGAGTGGTGAGACTTGCGCAATACTTGCCAAGCGCTACCAAATCACTACAGCCAATATCGAGACTTGGAACGCTGGAGCCTGGGCCTTCTCGGGTTGTGCCAATGTCAGGCAAGGCGACTTTGTCTGCCTCAGCTCCGGTGCCCTTCCTATGCCGGTTGCTCTCCCACATGCTACCTGCGGTCCTCAGGTTCCCGGGACAAGGCACCCTGCCAGTTATTCAGATCTCGCCTCTCTAAACCCATGTCCTTCAGATCAATGCGTGAGTGCTATAATTGTTCAAATGGTGCACAGCGATCCACACTAACTATATCTCCAGTGTGGTGCGATGGGTGAATGTGGTACTACATCGGACTTTTGCGATACGAGCAAGAGGTGTATCTCCAACTGTGGAGTCAAGAGTGCAGCAAAGGAAAGCACAACCAAAAAAGCTACTTCAATGGCGACTTTGAAAACGACCGTCGCAAAGTCTACTTCGAAAACGACCGTTGCAACGACTACTTCAAAATCCACTGTTTCCAAGACTACTGCTGCAAGGACTAGTACTACTCAGACCAAGTCAAAAACTACGACTACCACAAAGTCGACGACCACCCAGAAACCGATGGTAACCATGACCAGCATAAAGGTAATCTGGCAATCAAAAACCACCAGCAGTTTCAACCCGGAAGCAAGTTGGCAGATTACAATCTATAAGGATAAGAAGTGCAAAGGCGATTACTTCTCTGTTCAAGGACACGAATCCAGCAAGGCTGGAAATTGCTTGGTCTTCCAGGACAACAAACAGACCGAAATCTCGGATACAAAAACATCATGTCGATGGTGGACTGATGGTGGGCTTCACTGGGATACCTGCTCCTCCAGTAAGCTCGTAGCTCCCAAGTCATGGTTTATCACCAAAGGCCAGTGCCTCTTTTACAAGGGCAAGGAATGCAAGGATGAGGACTATTTAGGACAGACCTATACGCCTGCTCAGAAATGTCAGTCTGAGGATACTGGAGCCATGTCTCCTCAATTGAAGGGAGATCAGAAAACTAATGCACATGATTGGGGTTCAATGCGGTGTTTTTATGCGATCCCTTTTGATACATCGGGGAACTAAGGGTTGTTTCGGGTGGAGAGCTTCAGAATATATAATCGAGAACCAATTTGCTATCAGAATCCCTTCAAAATTATGTAATAATTGGAAGTTTATTGGAAGTTTCATGGAAAGAATATTCCAAATCATAGATAATTTCAATTTAAAGTGAAAGAATAGTCCTGGGAAACAATTCGAACTAAGAGTCTGATAATCTCAATATTGGCTAATATTTTCGTCAACCAGCCAATGGTCGAGTTAACTCGGTCACATCTTCCTTGGTCTAGTGGTGATGATTTCCGCTTGTCATTAATACCGATAAGCGCGGGAGACCGGGGTTCGATTCCCCGAGGGAGAGATTTCTTTTTTTTTCCCCCTAATATCTTCTATACGTAATATCTTCTATACGGGAAAATTTAGATTTCATACTGGGCTTTTTTTTGTAGTGTTATAGACTTTTACGCTTAATCACTGAACATTTTATGATAAAAATATTGTACATGTTATAAGAACATGGAGAGTCTAGATATACATGCTTAAGGCGTTCCTGCCATCTACGGCCCTTTCCCTCTTCCCTCAAGTCCCAGATCACCTTCTCATCTCTGAAACCATTTCTATCCCAGTCTCTTTTTTATTGATTATCTTTCATCCATGCCAAATAACCTCGGACTCTTATTCGGATGTCCTTCTCGGTAAAGCCCGAGTACACCTGAAAGTAACCAGCCATGGCATTCTGGGTGGACTGGGAGCTATGGGAGAAGCTGAGCGTGGTAAGTACACCACTTATCATCACGGAGAACCCCTACTGACCATTATCATTGACAGGTACTAGCCATGCTGATCGTACGTGACTCCATGGTAACGCCAAAAACACAACTGACAAGCTTCGCAGGGTCTGGTGCTCCTTTATGCCTTTTGCGTCCTTGGCTGGAATCGCTGGATGACGAGCAAATACGCCGCGGCAGAGGCGAAAGAACAAGAAGAGGAACCTGAAGTGTACCCGATGCTGCACAAGGATGACATCCCGTTCGGCGCCAGAGCTTTGGAGAGAGGAATAGAAGTTGAAGGAATTTGGGTTTCAGATCCCAACACACCCATACAAAGCCCGTGCCAGCCCGCAACTCCAGTTGGAAGTCGGCCAGTCAGTCCAGCGCCAAGATCACTGCATAGAACCGTTGACACCCCCAGGCCCTCAATGACATCTCAAAGATCCATGATCAGCCCACAGCCTATCCCACCCGCTGCTCGACGTGCAGTCGTTTCTGAGCTCGATCTAGCCTCCGCAGGCTTCACCTATGAGAACCACAGACCCGGTGCACTTTATAGTCGAGCCAGCCTGCCCACACCGAATGTCATTCGTATGTCGCCTGCACGGGAGGAGTCACTGATCGGTATGAATGACACAACTGGCGGAAAGCGTGCTAGCCTCCCTGCGGGAATATTCCGCACAACATCTCATCTCGACACGAAAGACTACCGAGTAGGAGGGGATGGCGCTGATGACGACATGGACCATGTCCCGGTCCTGAGTTCGTCCTCTTCTGGTCTTTCATCGGAGACTAAGCGGAGTTCGCAATCCCTTAGTAAGTCGAATTCGCCATGATCTAGGGATCGAACAAAGAAACTAATGTGCCTCATTCATAGAACGTCCTCGCCGGCGGTCATCTGAAGAGTTCCGACGCAGGATGAGCGCGATCTTCAACGACAACATCCAAATGGGCCTGCCATCCGAGCAACTGGAGTTCAATCCGTCTCTACGCCGGTTCCGGAGGTCGTGGCTTCGTCCCTTTCGTCCGTCGCTCAGTCCTTCTAGAAATCAATAGTGGGAAGATGTGGTTGATGAAATGTCATTGTCTCGCAAGGAAACCGAATTGATCGGAATAGACCTTGACAGACCTGCTTTTGCTCGGCCATTTAGCATTGATTTTGATCTGGCGTTGCGGCAGCTCATGGGAAGTTTTCTACTCGGGTGTTCCTTTTCATAGGTCAAAAGAACATTGAGAGAATATGGTCTAAGGGACAGATGGGGTCTCAGCATGCAGTTCATTACAGGATTTGTATTCTTACACCTTTTATTATTGCATATTGAACAATTGGCATCCAATCCACCAGGTACAGCAATCCATACTGACCACTTAATTCTGAGGAAAAACAAAGTAGATCCATGCACTTCCATTTGAAAGAGAAACAGTTCTCCAAAACCGGAATGGCCCAAGGCAGCAACCCACGTGATCTCGCGATCCATTTGACGCGTCCGATTTGTTGACTCGGAGTCATCCTGAGTTTTTTTGCCACAAACAGACGATTCAGACTTTGCAGACTTTGCAAAATCAGAGACGGCCTGGTTGTTAATTGATTACTTGAGATCCGTGGCTTTGTTTGGTATTCTGATCGCGGAGACCCTGTACTCATCTCGCCCAAACGCGTATTTTTGAGTGGATCCATCATCCGTGCTTTCGAGTCAAGAGACCCTGCCAAAGAGGCAATTGAGAAACGAGGGATATCACTGCTAAAATGGAGGGAGAAGAGCAATTCGATGAGAGTGGGCTTCCTGGCCCCGGTGCCCCCACCCCGCTTGCTGCGCTCGACGTGAGTGAATGCAATCGCGATTTGCTTTCGCTGCAGAATGTTGGACTTTTATACTGATTTTTTTTATGATAGGGTGTTGCTGGCTTGACTGCTAGGGATATCAAGTTGTTCGTGGATGCAGGGTATAACACTGTCGAGTCGATCGCCTACACGTACGTATCCATCGTCTACACAATCATTGCGGCTTTTTTTCTCCGGCGGCAGATCTGCTATATGCACTGCCCTACTCATCTCAATATGGCTAACACCTACTGTAACTTTTAGGCCCAAACGGTTGTTGGAACAGATCAAGGGTATCTCGGAACAAAAAGCCACCAAGATCCTAGTAGAAGGTAAGTCCTTTTCCGCCATAGACTACATCTCTTGACTGGGGATCAGTTCGCTAATGAGAACGTGCTGATTAGCTTCGAAACTGGTACCTATGGGTTTCACCACGGCAACCGAAATGCACGCCCGGAGAAGCGAGCTCATCTCGATCACAACTGGATCCAAGCGACTTGATACATTACTCGGAGGCGGTGTTGAAACGGGGTCGATCACGGAGATCTTCGGAGAGTTCAGAACGGGAAAGAGTCAGATTTGTCACACTCTCGCCGTGACCTGCCAGCTGCCTTTTGATATGGGCGGCGGTGAGGGCAAGTGCCTTTACATCGATACAGAGGGAACTTTCCGTCCGGTGCGATTGCTTGCGGTCGCGCAAAGATATGGTCTTGTTGGCGAGGAGGTCCTTGATAATGTGGCATACGCTCGAGCATACAATTCGGACCACCAACTTCAGTTGCTTAACCAGGCATCTCAGATGATGTGTGAGACGCGGTTCTCTCTCCTGGTGGTTGACTCGGCGACATCTTTGTACCGAACGGATTTCAACGGTCGTGGTGAGCTTGCCTCACGGCAGAGCCATTTGGCCAAGTTCATGCGTACCTTGCAACGTCTTGCAGATGAGTTTGGTATTGCGGTCGTGATCACGAACCAGGTCGTTGCTCAAGTCGATGGTGGCCCCAGTGCTATGTTTAACCCGGATCCTAAGAAGCCTATTGGTGGTAATATCATCGCTCATGCCAGTACCACTCGACTCAGTTTGAAGAAGGGCCGTGGTGAGACTCGAATTTGCAAGATTTATGATAGTCCTTGTCTTCCAGAGAGTGATTGCCTTTTCGCTATCAATGATAATGGTATCGGTGATCCCAGTGAGAAGGATTTGGAAGATAAGTGAGTCGACCTCTCAAGGTTGCGCTTATTTTGTTCTGCGACACGATGTTATTGACTTGATGAGCATTACAATCGCTGTTGATGTGGGTTAGAAGCGCCCCGTTGGCATCTCAGCGTTGAGGGGGAACTTTTTTTTTATAGCAGCGAATTTAGAAAGCATAATTTCTTTTTATTCTGAAGTTTTGAAAAGAAAATAGTTCAATAAGATACGATAGAGTAAAACAAGAGTAAAACGTCGAGGGAGCCATCGATCTCAGGCCTATCGCGCCAAGACTTCTGTTTTTTGAGAGCTCCAGCTTCCCGCCCTTCGATCTTCCAACCTTTCTACTTCCCCGGCCATGGAGTGTTAAGTTGACACACGTCAATCGATCATGGCGAAAATTTACAAAGACTCAAGGGTCGACCTTCGGCCCTACTCGCCGACCACGGTCGCCAACATCCAGATTCCGACTCAAGACACCGCGGTCCGTCGTCCACGTTTTTCGATCTCATCCACCTCCGACCAGGAACTCCCAATCGCCAAAGATGAAGATGAATTCGCCAGACGTCACCTCGCGACACAGGGTGAGGTTTATTTCCGGAAGCGCAGAGTTTACCCGAGGACCTTCTTGTGGAGGGTCATCAATGACAACAAAGTGCTGGAGATCCAGTGCGCGGACCTGACCAAGGGTGGGACGGAAGTTTACGAATACAATGTGACCCTGCGACTGGATTTCCAGGAGCAGATCCTTCCCTTTGGAGTTGAGTTATCCGACTCCGAGGATCACGAAATCATCAACGTCTTTGTGATCACCGCCTCTAAGCACCTTCACACCTTGTCTCTACGCCCCGAATTCTTCCGCAGAACCTCCTCAATCGATGAAAATGTGAAGGACTGGTGCAAGACGTGCCTCCCTGCTCCCTTGGCCTTTTCCAACCCCCATCGACTGCACGCGAGCAGTCCCCTGGAGTTGTTCATCTCTCTCGACAATGGCGCGCTTTTGCGACTGACCCGGAGAGCTGGCGAAGATGGTGAGTGGTTTTTCTCGGTCTTGTCACTTCCGCGACACTTGTTTTATTAATCTTTTCTGAAATTAGGTTCCCACTGGTCTCCTCTCACCTTCGACGAACGAACATGGGGCTCTTCGATTCGAGGCCTCGTCAAATGGAACGCGCCCTCCTCGATCAAACACGACGGACGCAACCTCGATTTGCATGTCGCAAATGCCATTGCCACTACCTCCGACGAAACATACGTCTTCGCGATTTGTTTGAACCACACTCTTAAGATTTGGAATCTCGCAACGAACAAGCTAGCGGCCACAAAGGATCTGCTGGGCCGGTCGCTTCAGGATCCGGATCTTGTACCATACACGCTGAACCCTGCCGAGACATCATTCATGCGCGTCTTCAACGCCGAGCGAGCTATGGATGGTGGACATCGCTTCTATGTCGTCACATATTCGCCATTTGAGGACGGCAAGTTCAAGTTTTGGGCTGTCAAGGGTGGCCTGACATCCGAACTCATTATTGAGGAACTCTTCGCAGATGATGTCTTCCGACCTGTGGACCCCGATGCCACGGGTAACATGTTCTGGAACATCGCTGATTTCCAGGTCAAATCCCGGGAAGAAGGCAAGGGAATGGAGTTGTGGGTGCTCTGGAGAAACCACGGTCTTTACCAACTCTATACCCTTCATTTCAACCTCCAGACTCTAGTTACGGACTGGGCCTCCAACTGGGTCTCGACAACATTTGAAACCCATCGACAAGAATTGCCGCCACCTCTGGTCGTGGATGATGTAGTGGATCCCACTGAAAAATGGCTACAGTATCTCTTGCAGCCGAACAGATATCTGCCGGAGGTCCTTGAGACTGCTCTGGCCGTTTATCAGGAGGCCATCAAGCCGCTCTCATCGACTTCATCTGGAGGCCTGAAAAAGAGTTTGCCTTTGGCGGAACGACTCTGCTCTACAATCGCAGCGGCAGTCTCTCTTCGGAAATTTGCTGACGATGAGATGGACTACTCCCGTTATACGTCTGATACAGATTCAAAGTGGCGTCAGTTCTGGCAAGTCGCGGAAGACCTTAATAAACGCCGATTCGAACCCATTTCTCTCGCCTACGATTCATACACCGATATGCCGTGGCTCGTTCTGTCAGACTCATGCGCTGTGGTGCGGGAATGCAGCATTACCGAATTGTTCTTGCACAATTCCAGCGCCGAACTCACCGATGGAGTGCCGAAAATGGTGGACCGCTGGAGGCATCGCAATGTCTCAAGGGAGCTGGGCCCGGATTTCAAAACAGCCTCTGGATTGTTGAAAGTGGCATCCGATTTCCGGAAAAGATTCTCCCCCGAGCTTGAAGGGGCGTGCCGAGCCGCTCTTCAAGCCGAAATATTTTCTGAGCCTTCTTCGTCGATCATGGACCGCATGGAGAACTTCCGAGAGCGCTCTGACTTTGCCAATCAAATTTCCAACAAAGCATTTGACAGCCTAGACGCGGCCCTGAGTGAACACATGAGAACCGATTGCTTGTCCATGGATGCGTTCCTTGCCATTATCCAAACCGCCTCCCTTCACTTCTGCGGAGAAGACTCGGAACTTGCTTCAACCTGTTTCGGCGCCCGAGTTCTTGTCAGTGGTGCGCAGGAGACTATTTCTATCTCTCGTCAAATCTTCTTCGATCTTCTAATCCTAGTCACATTCGTGGATGGCGAATGGGAACAAACAAGCAAGTCCGACTTCGATGCGTCTGACCTTTTCTCAATGCTTGTTGATCTCCTACGTGAATATGAGATGATGGCTTGGCTCAGCTCGAATGTTCGCAAATGCCCCGACAGCACAAGCAAGCCCCGTGTCGACCCGATGCAGAGATATTCACTGAAGGACAGCTCCAAGACCACCGGTCAACGAACTGCAAGCATTCTGGAGGATCTCTTTGTTACCGATATCAAGCCCCAACAAGCGATCGACTCCCCACAAAGTTATACATTGACTTTGGGGATTAGAGATGTCGTGGCCTGGATTACCCGCGAGGGTGAGGTGAACTATCAAAACGCAGTGGCTCACATCCAATGTGACCTGATCGCCAAGAACAACATCGATCTTGCATGGGACTTCCTTCGTTTCCAGGCAAGTACTTCCTGGTCAACGTATGTCAAGGGTCGCTTGCATGTGGCCATGTCGGAATTCGATACCGCAGCAATCTACTTCCGGAAGGCAGCCTATCTCCTCTGTACGTATCTCCTGGTGATCTTTCGTGTTGATGTAACTCAGCTAACCTAATTGCAGCTTGCGGCAAGCCAATGGGCAATCTTTCCGACATGTCAGCAGAGCTTTTAGACCTCCTTGATGTTGACTGCTTCCACAACGGTCTTGCGAAATACTACCAGCACATCCTTTCAATCTTCGAGAAAGTGCGCTCATACTCTCACGTCGCGGACTTTGCCAGCCTGGCGCTGCAGGCCCTCGACTCTGAAATCTGGGCTGAGCAAGACGCTGAATACCCGACTGTACGCGACGACCTGCTGTCTCGTCTGTTCACTGGTGCCCTCAAGACTTGCCAGTTCGACAAAGCATACTCCGCTCTGGCTAGGCTGCAGGATCTCAAATTACAAAGAACCGAGCTCACCGAACTCATTTCCACCATCCTGGCAGTCTCCGGGCCCGGCACTGCTGGTCTCAAGCAGATCCTCCGGTTCCCCACCTCACTCGTGCCCAACATCGCATCTTTCATTGACGAGATCCTCGTTCACCTGACCCGCAAACAGACCACCAATGTCTCCTGGTTGGATGCGGACAACAAAATTTTCCCATCCACCCCCGACTACACCCGGATCCTCCAAGCCTATCGCATTGCCCGCAGTGACTACCGTGGCGCCGCCGAAATCGCCTACCGTAACGTTCAGCGCCTTCGCAAAGCACGAGATGCCCCGTCATCAACCCTCACTCTCAAAGGCAGGGAAGCGGACGATGCAGCCCGGTCACCAGTTGAGGAAGATGATGCCGAAAGCAAGGAAATTCGCCACGAGTTGTTGTCACTAATCAACCTCCTCGCTTGCGTCGACAAAAGCGAAGCATACATCCTCGTCGAGAACGGACCTCCAATCAGTGCCGCCCCAGTTCCTCCCCACGAAAGCCGTCCAAGCACACAAGCCGACGAAGACGGAAACGTCTCCATGGAGGACGTCGACCCCGCCTCTCCCACACCACTCGAAGGCAAGCGGCGATCATCGAATGCCGTGGCTTTCGCACCGACCCACCACAGAGGAAGCAGCAAATCTTCCGCCATCGAACGACGTAACAGCATCGTGTCCTTCGAAGTCCCTGCGACGAATAACTTACTTAAGCGTCGTATCATCGTCACGCTCGAGCATCTGCGTCGCGAATTCCAGTCTGAGCTCGACCGCGTCAGCAGGATTGAGCGTGGTGACTGGGAATTCGGTCTTGATGAAGTGAAGGATGTGGATAATGATGAAACGATGGTTCTGTAGTTGGGCTTCTGCGGAGGACTTATCTATGACTCTTTTGCATTTCGGCCCTGGGGGTTGCCATGGCTATCGTCGAATTCGATCTGCTTTTGTTCCAATGTATGGTGACATGGGTGTTTTCATTTTTTTGTTAGGGTAGTCCATAATCGGATGGGGTGCACAATAGGTTTTACTTTTTTTCTGATATCGATGGATAGAAATACTATGGGTTTGGTTTCGGGGACTTGACCTCGGGAACTTCCATTGCTTTCACTATAAAGGCTTTCCAGGGCTGTTGATTATAATAAGTGCGAATTAGATGTCTTAGCAAATAAATGTGCTTGTAATTGAGCATATTGTACGGAGTATACAAACTTTCATTGCTACTTTAAATTTGACTATGTAGTCAGCGTATTTCGTCCCTTATGATTCAATCTGTACAGTCATATCTTTTTAGTGCAGTAAAGCCACTCTTAGCCCGAATGCGAGTAAATTTGAAGGTGTATCTCGAACCTATCAAGGCAGAGAATTGGGGCCGTTATAGTCTTTTTGGATATTTCTTCTCCTATTTACCTAATCCAGGATGTGATAGCGCCCTCTTGTGTACTCCATAATTTTCACATACCTTAGTAGATTTCTGCGCTAAAATGGTGGTAAGGTATATCATCGTAATGGCCCCCGTGTATAATTTCAGCGATCCGTGCTCCAAGAGGTTCTCTGCTCCGCTATAACGCTAAATCCGAATACTAGTCCTATTCTCGTTCAGCCCCATTTCAATGTCCAATGGGTGGATCGGTTAAAATGACTCAGGCTCTAGCACATTTTACTAGTACCCTCTTAGTCTACACTAACCTTGCTCAGTCTTCCAGAGTTGCCGGATAAGCGAAGGGCTCATAGTAGCGTTTGTTTTGATTTAAGGATGGTTTGCCCCGTGAACTTTTAATTTCTTCTCTCCTGCACCTCCCCCTGAATTTCATAAACCATCAAGATGCGTACCTCCATCTTCGCCGCTGCGTTCCTAGCATCACTCGGTGCTCAAGCCAAAGATGCCAGCACCACCATTGGAATCTTCTCCCCCACATGGGCTAACAACCTCCCCGGCGTTACCAGCGTTGCCGCCAGCGTTGCCGGTATCAATGCCAAAGCCACCACATATCATGTTGGATGTGTGGAAGGCGTCGACAAATCAGTCTGCGATATTCCCACTTCATGGACAGTTACCCAAGGTCCCGAGACCGTGAACTTTGCCGCACAATATGTCGCCACTAGCTCAGGCACAGACGGCTACGATGTTACCGTCACCGAAACATATGACTGCTCTTTCAAATCCTGGTCCGAATCCGCTAGCTGCACTATGAGCGTTAGCATGGGTGGAACCCTAAGAGGTGGTAGTACTGCCTCGTCATCCTCTACCAAGGCGAGCACTTCAGTGGCAACTAGCAGCTACTACAAGTTGGACGTCACTGGAGGAGTCAAGTCGTTCACGGATCCCGCCGCAACGGAAACACCTGGTGCTGCCGCTGCTGGACCTGCCGCTGCTTTTGTCACAGCTGCTCCTATGGTTGCTGCTGCACTCGCTGCTTTGCTTTGATGTTTCTCATATTGAATTGTTGATAATGGTAAATGTCCTTGCGTGATGTTCAAGCTGGGTTTCCTTGCTAAGATACCGATAATAAATGATGATTTCATTCGACAACTACCCATAGACTGCGAGATGCAGCATCCCTCGCAGAATTAGCTGTAGCGAATATAGATTGTAGAGGCCCATCGAATTTAGGTATGTGGTGGGTTTGTGCAGTCCCAAGACATCGCTATGCATGTCAAACCATCGGAAAAACGTGGCTTGTAGCTGTGCTTATATCTTTTAGTGCAGTAAAGAGACTCTTAGGTTGAATGCGAGGGCCAAATTTGAAGAATATGTATGTAATATATCCGTCAAGGCAGAGAATCGGGGGTTTTTTTGCAGTCTCTGTAGTATTTCTTTCAGTTGTCTTTCAACAGTCCTTTTGATTTCAAAAGACTTTTTTTAGATCATTTCTCCCGTTATTGCTGTTGTATGTGCTGCCTTGTTTAAAGGTCATGTGACCTCTGTCTGTTTGCTCCTAGGCAGTTATCTATTCGATAGTTTCTTCTCTCTCTAATACATTCAGATATCTTTTACAGGCTGGCTACACAGCTTAAAATCTATCTTTCTTTCAGTTTATGGACGCCTTGAAGCTTTGTCGCATCTTCAACGCCCGTGTTTCACATTCGCACCCCATATCTCTGCACCAATCAACTTCTTCGCCCTACCAACTGGATAGCATATTCTCTTGGCGCGCTCCACCCTGAACATCTACACTTGCCATCTACATACTCTCACTGATCTCTTTGCTTCACTATTGTTATCCAGGTTGCACCAAAATGGATATGAAATCCAAGATTAAAGAGCTGCTCCTTGTGACCCCTCATACGCCCACTGTGACTCGCAAAAGAAAGGTCATACCATCGCCAGAGCGATCATCCCCTACCAAAAGCTGCATTTTATCGCCTGATGCGGTGTTTACGGGAAATAAAGTCCTCCGCTTGGGTGAGTCACCCCTCTTTGTGCCCTCAAAACACCTTTTTCCATTGGACGAAGCTACCATCAGTGAGTTGTCACCAAGTCTACTTTTTTGAATCATATACTAATCAATATATATTAGTAAGGAGATCTCGTGCTAAGGCGACAAGTGCAAATCCAAAGTTGACGATGCCTTCAAGTTGGTCTTCGATTTCTTCAATGAAAATCAAATCTCCATTACGGACGTTCAGTACTGGGGCAAGTTCTTTGTCATTGTCCTAGAGGACGAGGAAACAGATCTTACTAAAGTCCCCTGTGATGTCGGCTGCTGCAACTGTTTCTATCTGTTTGAGAATGAGGTAGGACGCCCACAATAGGAGGAATTTCCCGCCTGCCTGGTCACAGAACCGACTCGCGATGTCATTGACAATAGCAAGTACGATATTCTACGTCCCGGAGTGATGCTAAGCTCCGGCGTACCTTCTGCGACTAACGCTGAATACCTCACTACCTCAGGGGTACTAGTCGAAGACTGTAACTCCGGCGAGAGATATATAACAGCTACCTCGCATGGGTTTCCGTATGGAGATCAAGTCTTGGGCGAATATTAATTCAATAAAATGATTTTATCGAGGAATTGCGGTCAACTTTCGAAATGGATCTAAGTTCTATGATATATATATCAAGGAACTATATAGTTCAAACAACATATTTCAATACCAGATGAATTGCGGAAGAGTAAAAATAAATCTAACCAAGCTCACTATATATATTATCTGTATGATTATTTGATCATACTAAATAAATATAGCAAGTTATATTGCTCCTCGACCATATGTGGAGAATGGCGCAGATGAATAAAAACTAATGCATAGTCTTATTGAAAGTCAGAATTGATATTGAAATTATAGATTATCAAGATAAAGCGTATGGATCAAGATTAAAGAGTAAAATATAGGAGTTATGCATAGCGTCAGTCCAAAAAGTTATAATAGTATTGAAAGAGAGTCAAGAAAGGCATAAAATCATCACGGAACAACAAAGTAACAAGAACAAAAAAACCAATATATAACTCCGACCAGTAGAGGTCCAAAAACCAGTATGTTGTCGATATGTACCTCGAAAAAGGGAATGTGGAAGATTGTCACGCCAAAAGAAAATAACCAGACGCTCCAACCTGTGCAGGTGCAAAATCAATCAGACAACCGACCCCAAAAACTTCAAAAAACTTCAAAAAAACCAAAAACCAAGAGAGAAATCAATCTGAGTCCTCCGTCGCCATGGCACTTGCATAAAGCTTGCTGAAATGCGACTTGGGCTCAGCAAGAAGCGCATACGGCTCCCCATTCTCAACAATGCGACCAGCGTCCAAAACGACGATCCGATCAAAGTCAAGAATTGTGTCAAGTTTATGCGCGACGGCGATGATGGTGTGATTACAGAATTTCTCTCTGATAACGCGCTGCATAATTTCATCTGTTTTGGTATCGATGCTAAAAAGAAAAGCAGGTTAGTTTTTTTTAATTTCCAGCAAGGGGGTGAATTGTATAGATCGCAAAAGTCAAAGGAAATTATCCGAAGTGTCCTGCAGGGGAAAAAAAACAAAGTGGAGTCGAAGCGAGGAGAATTGACTTACTTGCTAGTTGCTTCATCCAAAATTAAGATGTTGCCTGGGCGAAGGAGGGCTCGCGCAAGGCAGAAGAGTTGTTTTTGGCCGTGAGACAGGTGGATCTCGTCGACGTCTGTGTCTAGATTGCCCTTTTCTTGGATTGCAGGGAGGAGCTGGACGCTCTTGAGAGCTGCCAAGATGTCTCGGTCGGTGCGGGTGCCTGTTGGGTCGGCGTTCAATCGGACGCTGCCTTGGAAAAGGAGGGAGTCTTGTGATACGCCGTTGATGCGGGAGCGGATTTCTCGTCGGGGGAGTCGACTGATGTCAACTCCGTCCACGGTGATGGTGCCGCTGGTTAGTTCGATCATTCGGAAGATGCTCATGATCATGGAGGTTTTTCCACTGTTGGGTTTTGTTAGAATAGAGTAAGAAATTGAATTGAAAATTGTTTTCTTACCTTCCGGTGCGTCCGCAGATACCGACTTTCTCGCCTGCCTCGACAGTGAGGGAGACATTGTTGAGAACTGGGTCGGAGGGTCTGTAAGCCGCAGAGATGGAGTTGAAGGTGACTGCTCCCTTGGAGGGCCAGTTGGGAGGCACATCTTCGTCTTCACCAGGCTTGTCTTCCGACTCGACAGTTGACGTAAAGTCCTTTATGCGTTGGATGGAACCGATATGTGTTTCCAAGTTGGTCCAGAAGGTAACTAGAAGCTTGATGCTCTGACTGAACTGAATAACGTTCAGTAGAGCAACACCAACGTAGCCTGCACTGAGAGTTGATCCGCGCATGGCGACGACCAGCACAATCAGAAGAACAGCGATTCCAGCCACAACCATGTCCAGCGACAGGGTGAGCCAGCGCTGGATAGCGAACATGAAGTAAAAGGGTCGTTGCGAGTGGTCCAGAAGAGCGATATTCTTCTTTTCCATGGCGTGTTGCCACCCGTAGGCCCGCAAAGTCACAAGTCCTTGAAGACAGTCGGTGAAGTGCGAGTACAGCGGAGCCTTGGCTTCGATATCCAGGTAACGGAGCTGGCGCGAAGTGCGGAGGTACATCTTCTGAATCAGGAACAAGATACCAAGCACAATCGGGAAGGAGATAGCTGCGTATTTAGATGAGACTCCAATAAGAGCCATCTGTGCTAGACAGAGGAAGAAGGTAACAACAGTGTTGATAGCGGCAACAGGAAGCTCCATGTCAATGAGTTGCAAGTCTTGACTGAACCGGTTGAGGATTGAACCGCTGTCGGTGGTGGAAAAGAACAGCATCGGAGCGGCGAGGACAGTGGTCAGCAGCTTGCGGTGGAAGCTCTCGCCAGACTTTGGGACCATGGTGATGATCATTTGCCAGGAGCCGAGAATCAGTGAGAGCATGGCTATACAGCCAAGCATCACGTAGATGCCGAGATAGTGGCCGATCTCCTGCTTGTGATGTGCGGTGTCGGATTGAGCCCACCATTTCACCCAGATGCTGGGGAATGAGATGCAGAACACGAAACCAGCCATTGCGACCATGAAGATAATTGCAGGGAGCCATCCGATGGTGTTGATGTAGTATGTGTAGATTCCGAGATCGCCACCGCGGTCGTGATGCTCTGGCTCCTCGATCGAAAGTTCATTTTCTTTTTGGATAGGGTCGAAGCTGCTGTAACTGGGGGAGTCGGAGAACCGCTTAGGCTTGTACTCCCAATCAGGCAACCCGAGTCCAAAGCTTGACACGTATCCACCAGTCTTGTTCAGAGAAGCAAAGCTTCCCTGTTCGGAAATCCGACCACCTGTCTCCAAGACAATGATGTGATCGGAGTAGGGAAGGCGTTTGACAGAGGATGAAGTGATGAGAACTGAAGATTCAATCTCCTTCAGAAGTCCTCTGGGCCCGAGAAGGCTGTGGAAAATGTGATTTTCCGTGGTAGCATCCAGACCGCTAAGAGCATCATCGAGAATCATGATCTTTCTCCGGGCATAGACTGCTCGTGCAAGGGCAATACGCTGGCTTTGACCGCCACTGAGGGCGATACCTTTGCTTCCGATAACAGCAGCATCCCCACGAGGGAACTGTGCGAGGTCTTCTTCCAGAGCGCAAGCCCGGATCACAGAGCCATACCATTGAGGATCATAGTCAGACATCGCAACGATGCTGTCTTTGATAGTGCCATTCATGTGCCACGGCGTTTGATCACAGTATGCAACGCTGGAAGATGCGAGGGCAACCTTGCCATCGGAACAGGGGATCTCTCCAAGAAGAGCCTTGAGCAAAGTAGACTTGCCGCATCCAGACGGTCCAATGATAACAGTGAAGCTGCCTTGAGGGATGGTGATGGTAATATCGTTGAGAATTGGATCCTTGTCGGCTTCCCATCCAAAGCTTCCACCTTGGACAACCACAGCGTTTGCAGAAGACATAGCACTAGTGCGCTTGAGCGACTCGACAGAATCCGAGTTGATGGATGACAGGTCAAGGTCGTTAGCCTTGGAGAGTGCTCGCTTTTCAGTGAGATCATCGAGGAACAAGGTCTGTGAGGAGCTGCTCCTGCGATCGGCGTGATCCTCTTTATCCAAGAACTGTTGAATGCGCTGGAAAGAACCGACAGCACCAGCGAAAGACATAAGTGCCATCACCAAGGTCATGAGAGGATCTGCCAACAGCGAGAACAGAGACAAAGATGTGAAAGCCCGAGAGACGCTCAAAGGTTCGCTGGAGATACCGACATAAACACCGAAAGTAAAGATCGGGGCAAAAACGCGAGTCAACCAGGCGAACGCCATGTTGTAAACCAGAAGGGTACGGAACTTCTTGGAGATATCCAGCTCGCTGATCCGAAGACCGTGGACGAACTTCATGAAGGAATTCTGTAAGCCAAGCATCTTGACTCCCTTGATTGAACCAAGCATCCCGGAAGTAGAGGTAATGCGCTTCTCGATAGCTTCCAGCCACTGGGCTTGTCGTGCAACCACAAAGGACATTCCGACTAGACATCCAACCAAAGCGAACACAGCGACGCAGACAGGGACAACACAGGAGATTCCAAGCTGAATCTTGAGTAGGTAGATAGCCAAAGCAATCTCAACCGAGTTTGCCCAGATTTCATGAATGGTTTGCCATCCTTGTGTAATGCGCTCGACATCTGCACTCATCAAAGTGAGCGAGTTGGCGGGATCAGTTTCCCCAAGGCCCAAACAGCTGGCTTTCTTGTATAGCATGGTGACAAGGACACCACGAACCATGGTAATCCCGCGGTAGGTGAGATGCTGATACTGGCCCATTGAAACGGCCAGTCCGCCGTAAACCAAGACATAGGCGCCAATGAGTCCATATCCAATGTTTTGTGTACCCTCATTGACGGGCGAATTGAAGAAAGAGAGCGATCGCTCCAGAAGCAAAGGCTGGCAAAAGTTGAATGCCACAACGCAAGCTCTGGCAGGGACACCTGCAAGTAGAGGCCACTTGACTGCTTTCAATGACTCCCATTGGAGGGTGTTGGGGGATTTGGTTGTCACTGAATAAATATTAGCAAAAAGACAAAAAAACTCGCATATAGTCGAGAACAGGTAATTACCTTTGCTCCATTTCTGATCAAAGCGAGCTAGTAAGCGCTCAGAGCTCAGTTCTTTATCCAATGTAAAGAGATCTTCTACGCGCAGGACGCCGGTGAAGCCGATCTTGAACAGTGGGTTCAGCCACCAAAATACAGCCTGGTTATAGAAACCTGCAGTCGCTTCTGGGGGGTAACCCTCATATTCCGACTTTAGAATATGTCTCTTCTCCACAGCCTCGAGCACAAACAGAACCACTTTGACACCCACCGCTGCCGTAGCAATAATGGCAAGTATGTTATTGAAGGTGTCCACACTGCGAAGCCATAATGTTCTGGAATGAGCGACATCGAAAAGCAAGCTGCAGAAGAGGTAGGAGTTCAAAATGAAGGAGGGTCGCACAGAGCGCGTGTGCTCTGCATATGAAAGCAGAACGAGTGCGAGTACGCCGATTGTGAGAATCACATTGGCCGGAACTGATGCCTTGGTGCTGTAGGCTGCCGGAATTGCCCATAAGGCTGTTTGTGCAATTTGAAGACCCAATAGTGCTAACCAAGCTGCCTATATAGAAATTGGTCATTAGACGGTGTTCCAAAATTGAACCAATTTCAAAGATCGGGGGCCACGGGGGCTTGCATGAGAACTGCAGAAACCAAAGCAGAGCAACAATGTCCACTTACAAGCTTGATGAGGACCAACCATGATCCCACAACTTTGATTCGTCTTTGCGAAAGATGCCACAGACGAACAGGAATAATGATTAACATTAATAGAATAGGTAAAATCTGGAGGATAGTTTCCTCGAACAAAAGAGAAAAGTCGAATCCTCCCCGACATGATCCAGCATCGATACGTAGAGTATTATCTAGATCGCGGCACAAAGGCCCTGAATAGCGAGAGGATGTCATATCTAACCTTGAACCACCTGGCAGAGGATGGTTGAAGAGAAGAGAGACTACAGAACGAGCGACACGGGGAATTAGAATTCAAAAGAGTGTATGATGAGAACGTGCATGACTTGGGGAACTTGCCGCTTTTTGGTCTAGATCGGATAGATCAGAAAGTGACATAAGAACAGTCAGACTTAGTGTAGTAGATCATAACAAAAGGTACGTATAGGGCTAGATCAGATCCGTATCCCTCTAGGCAGGAGTTCACTACATCTAGGAGAACTGCGACCCCGAACTTAGTGATGGGCTGCATCAAAGTGGACATGAATACAACACTTGATGCAACCATCTTACAATGTAATTACTAGCAATGCCCTGTGAGCTCATCTAGACTCGGGCTAGGTGTGTATGGATCCATTCAGCTGCATCTATTTTGGGGTTTCTTTTTCTTTTTCGTGTTATTTTTGGGGTTTCTTTTCTTTTCTTTTTTTGAAGTATAAGACCTCGGGAGATTAGTCTCTAAATCACACTCCACTTCACTCATCGATATTGGTCTTGATCCAGGCAAATTGCGGATAGCTTTATTTCCGCTTCCCCCTTGAAGATGTGGGGGATACCATTGGCAGTAGATCTATTTACCGGAAGCAAGGAATCCTTGAGTAAAGCCCGAGCAACACGAGGGAGTTGTGTTACCTTGCAGAAATGAAATTATTAGAGTGCAATGACCTATGAATTGCAATGGCGAATGGTCAAGTCCCGTGTCGAGTTAGGGTAAAGAAGATCAGTGCGCTCATGTGAGGGTGAAAAAAAGCCTCGATCTGTATGGCAGATCTGCCGCTTTGGGCTTGGAATACTCTTTGTTGTTATTAATTTTTAATTTAATTTAATCTACTTGCATTCTTATTTTCACTTTCATGTAAAGCTACAATATATATATATCAAACTTTGCTTGACCGAAAGAACTGAAATCAGACGGTGTAGAAACTCGCTTGGAGGTTCGAGGTTCTCCATTCGGAGAAAAATATAGTGAGATATAGATTCCAACCGGTTTTTGCGAATTCTCGTCACAATCATAATCCTTCAAAATCAAGTAATCAACAAACGCCTCCTGTAATGGCGTTTTTTTTTTTTTTTTTTTTTACTTCTTCTCGGTAGTGGCGGTAGGGATTCGATCCATCCGGGCCAATCGTTCTTTTTTACCTAAACTACAGTAGTTTGGCCCACATTCAATCATTTCGGAGTTTCGGCTGTCATCGATATTCCTGATTTCAACTCAGCCTGACTAATTTGAAATGTGCATATTCCAAGACGTGGTAGTTCGCGTGGCGTTGAACCAATGTGCATGAGTCGGGATCTGTACGTGCCTGACGAGCAAGCTGTCCCCGAGATACCGAACTGACCAGGGTCAGGCTTTTGTTTTACTTTCCCCTCATCTTGTCAGCGTGGCAAATCCTGGGCATGATACTACTCTCCACTGATGTACATCAGTGCTCACATGTGCAGTCGATTCCAAATATTCCTGCAGAGAGACATTTTCCATTCGTACTCTACAACATATATATCCACATATTTGGCGCATGATTTTTCCCCTTTAACTTTGGGGCTCCAAGACATAAAGTGATATATCTAGTGACAATGAGATTAAACCCGATGTCCCCATTGTTGAGTTCGTAACGCCGAACGGGAGCTAGGGCTAGCCCGTCATAAGTGCCAACTAGTCCGTTTAGCTTTTAGCTCTTCAGGATTTTCCTAATTTCCGCCTTTGCCGTGTGGATCTTCCGGGCAATCCTCTATCTCTATTGGTGTACAGTCTACGTGTTGGCTTTCGTGTCTTGACTAGTGAGAATAGCGTGAACACAAATGTACGTTCCAGGTCGTTAGGCTTATACGAGAGCGACAGGAAAAAAAAAAAAAGAAAGGAAAGGAAAACGTGAAGGGAAAAAAAAGCAAAGATCTTCTCATGCAAAGCACATACAACTACATGAGTCCATGTTTTTGACGCAACCGGATACGTTGTATATACAAGCCGATCGGAGGGAATGATTCATTCCCCTTTTTGATTTGATTTATTTTAGACCTATATTAGACCTCTATTTCTTATGAATATAAAAATACACGCCAAGTCGACAGGTCGCGGGATTCGGTTACGCCCGCATCCCTTGATGACCCTTGCAGTAGCGATCGCTAGTGGCTTACTTCTGTCCTACACATCAAGTTACGCATTATATTACGTGATGTACTCCGTACTTAGATTTCTATCCCGAATTTCATTCTTGAATTATAAGATTCAATAGCCTGACTTTAAACCGAGTATTCCTCCGATCCTTGTATTCGGATAGACCGATATATCCGAACTATGAAAATGACCTCAGCTTAGCGCCAAAATCAGGATTTTCTTCCTCTTGACCAAACCTCAAAAGTCAAGGCATGATGGTGTCAGAACACTCAATTTAGCTTTTTCGATCACGATCACTATAACTGATCGACACCGCCACTGGCACCCTCACTGCGGTAGTGCCTGAAATGCGCGGTAAATCTTGGTTCAACCGGTCCTAGCTCGCCACACCTTACTGATGCAGACCCCAGTTCTCGGATATCCGTGCCACGCGCCCCAATCACCAGAGCAGAGGTGAGAGGCGAACTTGGAGTAGTCTGGGGTCGGTGCCATGTGTCCATCAGTCGGTGTACATCGTAAACGATAAACGCCTCACGAGGCTCGTATACCTGCAGTGATGCTGATGCATGAGAGAGGCAAGATGATGTATACGTGAGATGAAGCGAGGATAGATGGCATATCCCAATTGGGGATATGTGCCTGTTCTCTAGGTTGCCCTAAGCGAACTCGAAACGGATAGCGAAGCCGGTATGGTCAGCATTGGGACCTTGTAAGGTCGGGGAAAGGATTTGGAAACAATAACGCCATCCAATTTCAACATTCGGGGCTAAAAGACCTCGCTCCCCCGACGCCTTGCTCACTGCTATACCCACGTTCCAGGATGCAAGGGATCCTGATCGGGGGAGGTGCAGGCTTCTCGCTTAGAAGAATCCTCCAGATGGACACAGACCGAGTAGAGACCTTTCCCCTGCATGATTACCTTTTAGTATCAGGTCAAGTGGGTTAGTTCTTTTGCCAAGGGTTACATTGGCTCTTGTAGTTGAAAATAGATATAGAAATACTTTCGGAAATAAAACAAAAAAGAAAAGAAAATGTCTGACTCGGTTCCACAGGGGGGCCAAGTACACACCTGATCCACGTATTGTCTCTCTCTTCCCCTTTAATCTAGATTCTATGCAAGGAATATAGGCGATTCGCCAGTGCTCTAAGCCATTGGTGCCTTATTACTGGATACTCTTGGAGAGCGCGGCCATGCGGTCTTAGGCCGCCGGACATAGCCATTTTCGAGGTCTGAAGGGAAATAATGCTATTTTTTTTTAGAAAATAGAAAAAGAAAAACTTGACTTAGACTTAGCTCTTTAAAATAACCAAGCTCATCCCAGTTCGCGGGCGCTCAAGTCGAGTCACTGTTGAATTAATACTGTCGTTGATCCTTTATACCTCAGGCCCTCACATACTATTTCTCAATCGACCGAAAAACACGAAACGAAACCCAAATAGAAGACAGCGCGGAAACAATCGGCCATTAGACGCCATGGCTCAATCCACCAAATGTTATCTTCCTCGGTTCGCTTCGACGGTTGACGGGCCTAAACGCCCAGTCTCGATGAAGACGAGACCAACGGCCGCTCAACATGCGCAGTTATTAACCGCATGGAATGAAGGCCGTCTGGATCCAATCCTACGAGCTACCTGGGCTCTCTTGTTGCATTACTACATCCGCTCCGAGGATATATGCTTCGGTTACCAACATCTCGAGGGCGACTCCCGCTCTCCCAAATCATCTGTACAGCGTTCTACGGGCGTCAACATATCAACGATCCGCATATCCATCAACGACAATGACTCTCTCACAGCTATTGTAGATAAGATGCGCGCAAATGGTGCAACTCGACCTGGAACCTCGGAGGCCCCTTCCGAGGCATATCTTCCTTTCAACACCATCTTCATGCTGCGCACATACGACCCTCCTGCTTCTCCTTCAAAACCTATTCTGGCCACAGCTCTTCCAGACGAGGTTAGTTTCCTCCAGCACACATTAGCGATCGGATTTCCTTTAGACTAGAATAGGATGAGCTAACAAGACGCAGTGTCAAATCCGTCTTCATGTCAAGGTGATGCGTGGAGACATAAGCATCTACCTTGAATGGCGCAAGGGCGACATGTCCGGGGAACAGATGAAGAGTATCGCCAACATTTTCGAGCAGTTGCTTGCCAAACTCCTTTCCGCAGAGAACACCGCTATTAGCCAGCTTAATTTGTTCTCCGAGAACGACTGGCAACGCATCCGCAAGTGGAACTCCACTACCCCACAGCTTCATGATCGCTGCATTCACGAGGCCATCCACGATCAGATGTTGAGCGGACCTGATCGTGAGGCTGTGTGTGCGTGGGATGGAAGTTTGACTTTCGCCGAGTTGGATCACCAAGCGTCGAAGCTTGCATGCTATCTTCGCCTGCAGGGAGTCGGGCCGGAAGTTCGCGTGGCTCTGTGTTTCGAGAAATCGGTGAGTTGAATATTTATGATGTTTTCACAAAATATCAAGTACTGACTGTGCAGAAATGGAACATCGTCGCAATGCTTGGCGTGATGAAGGCGGGCGGAGCCTTCGTTCCATTGGACCCGACTCACCCAACTTCCCGACTACAAGCTCTCATCCAATCGGTTCAGGCTCCGGTTGTGTTGTGCTCCAAACATCTTTCCGACAAAATACCGACTGTGAAGACTTTAATACCCCTTTGTGATGACATACTAGATCCTTTGTCTGACGACAATCTTGCATCGGGCGTCACAAGTCAAAATGCAGCTTATGTTCTGTTTACCTCTGGATCAACAGGAGAACCTAAGGTAATTTCTAATTAAATTATATATGTAGCATCTGACATGAGCTGACTGTTGTTGCGCAGGGAACTCTGTTGGAGCACCGCGCGTTCCTGTCCGGGGCAATGGTACATGGCCCCGGTCTGCGCATTTACCGCGAGTCGCGATGTCTTCAATTTGCCGCCCACACATTCGATGCCAGTTTGGCCGAGTCATTGACACCACTCATTCATGGTGCATGTGTGTGTATTCCAAGCGAGGAAGCTCGCCTCAACGATATTGTGAACACCATCAACGAGATGCGAGTCACCCAAGCCTGCTTCACCCCATCATTCATCGGCTTTATTGAAATCGACAGCGTGCCAGGGCTGGAGAGTTTAGTCCTGGCGGGGGAGGCAATGTCGCAATCGCAGCTGGCCACTTGGTCCAGAATCAAACTGGTCAATGGTTACGGACCTACCGAGGCCAGTGTCGCATCCGTGCTCAACTCCAATGTCACACCTGAAACCGATTGTAAAGATATCGGGCTGCCCATTGGTGTGAGAACTTGGCTTGTGAACCCTGATAACCACGATCAACTGGTTCCCGTGGGCTGCCCCGGAGAATTACTGTTGGAAGGTCCACCCCTGGCCCGGTGCTACGTGAATAATCCACAAAAGACAAACGAATCGTTTATCTACGACCCTGCTTGGACTACCTTGGACCCTGAAAGTCGCTCCAACCGTAGATTCTACAAGACAGGTGATCTCGTCAGGTACAACTCTGACACGGGTGCTTTGAATTACATCGGTCGGAAAGATACGCAGGTGAAGGTTCATGGACAACGAATCGAGCTCGGCGAAATTGAGAATCAGCTCAGCAAAGATTTGAACGTCACTCACTGTTCTGTCTTTTTCCCCAAGACTGGCTTCTCCAAGGGGCGCCTAGCGGCAGTTGTCTCTTCCAACGGATTGCTTGCAGAACAATCTGATTCAGACTTCGAGCCTCTACGACTCGTCTCCGCTTCGAAAAAGGCCGACCTTGTCCCAGGCATCCGAGAGCGGCTATCAGCCCTCCTCCCTACTTATATGGTCCCTGCGGTTTGGTTGTGTGTGGAAGCTCTTCCACTTCTGCCATCAGGGAAACTAGACCGCAAGGGCATTTCCACTTGGGTCGCAGGTATGGAGAGTGATCCAGATCTTCAGAACAATGCCTCTGTCGCAATCGTCGGCACAGAATTTTCTCAACCCGCCAACGACAGAGAGGAAGCTTTAGCTGCTGTATATAGCCGTGTCCTGAACATCCCCCCGAACCAGCTCAATTTGAACGAGAGCTTCCTCGCCCTCGGCGGTGATTCGATTGCAGCTATGACATGTATTGGTCTTTGCAAGAAACGAGGGTTCTCCCTCTCCGTACAAGAGCTGCTTCGCAGCAAATCAATCCGCGACCTCGCAACCCGCGCAAAGACAATCGACCACCTTACGACTTATGAAGAAGCTATTGGTGAACCATTTAGCCTCTCACCCATCCAGATCCTTCACTTCGGTGTCCGCAAGGAAGGCCAAGGCCACTTCAACCAGGGAATACTCACTCGCTTGAACAAACCTGTCCACGAACGAGCCCTCCGTAAAGCTGTCGAAACTTTGGTATCTCGGCACTCCATGCTTCGTGCACGATTCACAGACACAGGATTCGCGACCGCATCGAGTCAACACATCACCCGCGATATCGAAGGATCTTACAGATGGCGGATACACAATCTTGGCAGCATGGACGAGGTCAAGATTCATGTCGCCGACAGCCAGTCTTCTATCAACTGCTTCTCTGGCCCCTTGCTTGCAGTCGATTATTTCTTGATCAAGGGCCAGCCTAACATCCTGTCTATGACAGCTCACCACTTGGTTGTCGATATTGTCTCTTGGAGAATTATCTTGGAAGATTTAGAAGACATCATCTTGAATCCCGAGAAGACCGAAACGAGTGATAACTCCTTGCCGTTCCAGACCTGGTGCCGCCTGCAGAATGAGCACTGCAACGTCCTCCGGGATGAGCAAAAGGTTGCAACAGATGCTCTCGCTGCACCTAACTTTGGTTACTGGGGGCTCCAGGGCACCCAAACCACGTATGGCGATGTGGATTGTGCCTCGTTTGAGATCGATTCAGCGCACACAAATGCCATTCTACTGGAATGTCACAAAGCCCTTGGCACTGAGCCAATTGACCTTTTCCTGGCAGCAATGCTTCACTCATTCGGCAGAGCTTTCCCCGATCGTTCTCTTCCAACTATCTACAATGAAGGCCACGGACGAGAGGCCTGGGACCCGTCTATCGATATCTCGCATACTGTCGGCTGGTTCACAATTCTTCACCCCATCTTCGTGTCTGCATACAAGTCAGACAACCCTATTGATACTCTCATCCAGGTGAAGGACCTCCGCCGTCGTGTCTCGGACAATGGTCGCGCAGATTTCGCCAGTCGCGTTCTACCAGCGCAGGGCAAGGAAGTCTCCGAGCATCCCCATCCCTTTGAGATGTCGTTCAACTACGTTGGTCAGCACCGAGATCTGCAGAGGAAGGATGGCCTTTTCCAGCTTGTTGATCAGATGGCTGGAGAAGCTGGCCAAGGAGGCGGTGCCGCTGACTTTGGAGCCGATACTCCCCGCTTTGGTCTGTTCGAGATCTCTGCGATGGTCGTCGCTGGGAAGGTCCGATTCAACTTCTCCTTTAACAAGTTTATGCAGCACCAGAATCGTATTCACCGATGGGTTTCCGAATGCCAGGAGCTGCTTGTAACTCTGGCTGAGCAGCTTCCCACCATAAATCCCCGTTTGACCCTCAGCTCGTTCCCTATGCTGTCGTTGACATACCCTACCTTGGATAAGATGATCAATGAGAAGCTGCCTGCTATGGGTATTGAGTCCCCAGGCCTCGTCGAGGATATCTACCCTTGCTCTCGCATGCAGCAGGGTATCCTTCTTGGCCGCAAGCGAGATAGCTCCTACTACGCTGTCCATGACACTTTCGAGATCCAGGCCACTGGATCTAGCGAGCCGAACCTCGATCGCCTGGTCAATGCATGGAAGCAGGTCGTTTCTCATCATGCGATGTTCCGGACAATCTTCGTTGAGAATCTCACTCCTCGGGAACCCTTCTGCCAGGTCGTACTGAAGAGTTATGATGCCACTCCTGTCTTCTTGCAGTCTTCAGGGGACGATGATGTGCTTGCCACGTTTGACAGGGAAGACCCCAAAGATTACAGTGAGCCAGAACCAGCGTATCGGTTCACTATTTGCCAAACACCTACTGGCAGATTGTTTGCCCGCATTGAGCTCAGTCATGCTGCCATGGACGGTAACTCCATCTCAATCATCTTCCGTGACTTGCAGCTCGCATACGCTGGGAGACTCGAGGAAATCCCCCAGCCTTTGTTCAAGGATTATATGGAGTACCTTCAAGATGCGCCTAAGGAAGCCAGCATCGACTACTGGCGCTCCTACTTGGATCAAGCTAAGCCGTGCCACTTCCCCGCCCTTACCAACGGCCAACAATCACCCAAGGCACTTCGGTCCATTCCGGTCAACTTTGGAGCACTCAACGAACTTCAAAGCGTCTGTGAGAAGCGCGGAATCACCCTCGCAAATGTTTTCAATGCGGCGTGGGGTCTTACTCTCCGCGCCTTCTGTGGATCTGGCGATGTTTCCTTCAGCTACATGGCATCCCTACGTGACGTATCTGCTGCCGGCGTCCAGTGGGTTATTGGACCAGTCATCAACCTTCTAGTCTGTCGCCTGAAGGTTTCTGATGACGCGACGCTCAGTGATGTGTTGCATCAAATCCAGAACGACCACATGGAGAGTCTTCCTTACCGTCACACTTCGCTCATTGACATTCAGCACGCTCTGAAGCTGTCTGACACTAATCTGTTCAATTCTGGTGTCTCCTACCGTCGACTTCCCAGTTCTAAGGATGCCGTGAGCAGTGATATCAAATGCGTCGAGGTTGGCTCAATCCACGATCCCGCTGAGTTCCCGGTCTTCATCAATATTGAGGCCATGGACACCACCGCTCGCATTGACCTCAACTACTGGACCACCAGCCTCTCTGATTTACAGGCCACCAATGTTGCCAACACCTATCTTCGTTGCCTTGAGAACATTATGTCGAATATCGACGGTGAAATCCGCCAGCTGGACAATGTGAGCGATGACAACCGAGCACAGATCATGGCGTGGAATAGCAAGACTCCCAAGCCGTTTGAGAAGTGCGCCCATCACGTCGTCCAAGAGATGGCCAAGAAGCGCCCTGATGCGCTGGCTGTCACTGCTTGGGATGGAAACTTGACTTACTCCAAGTTGGATCAATTCTCCTCTCGCTTGGCAAGTTATCTTGTCACCTTCGGTGTCGGTCCTGGCACCCTGGTCCCGATCTGCTTCGAGAAGTCTGCGTGGAACATGGTATCCATATTGGCAATCATGAAAGCTGGTGGTGGCTGTATTCCAGTTGACACGCCTCAGAGCCTGACTCTTGTTGAGAAGTGGATTGTCGACAATGCTGTGCAAGTTGCTCTGGCTTCCCCAGAGAAGGCTCAGGTGCTCGAGGATGTGGTACCGTACGTCATCCCGGTGAGCGAGTCTCTACTCGAGTATCTCGCAGACGAGGTCCTCAAACCCGTCGCACAATCATCCGACGTCGCATACGTCGCGATGACGGCCGGCACTTCTGGCCCTGCCAAGAGTGTCGTCCTTGACCATTCAACTGTCATGACCCGGGCGGAGGCATTTGCTACCACCATGGCGATTGCCGATGTCTCCAGGACCCTGCAGTTCGCACCTCACACATCCGATGCATTTATCCTTGAGGCATTCGGCACCTTCATGTGGGGCGGTTGTGTTTGCATCCCGGCTGATATTGACCCCATCAACTTGTCCACATCTATCAATGCACTCCACGTTAATGTTGCTAGCATTACCCCAACAGCTGCAAGCTTCTTCTCGCCCAAGGATGTCCCGGGACTGCGATCCATTGCCCTAGGCGGCGAAGTTGTTTCTCAGAGCGTGCTTGACCACTGGCAGACCGACGATCTACAACTGCAGGTTTTGTATGGAACATCTGAGAGCTCGGCTGCTTGCTTCCACGTGTTCTGTTCTCAGGACGAAAACGAAGCAACCCTCATCGGAAAGAGCACTTCTTGTGTTTACTGGGTTGTTGACCCATCCAACCATAATCGTCTTGTTCCGATCGGTAGTGTTGGAGAATTGGCACTTGAGGGCCCTGTTCTCGCTTGCGGCTACCTCGAAGACCACTCTGTCGAGAACTGCGACTTCTTTGATAATGCTTCTTGGTTTGGAGTAGAGGGTGAACACCGCCTGTTCAAGACGGGAGATCTTGTTCGGTACAATTCAGATGGCTCCCTGGATTTCGTCGGCCGGAAGAGCGATAGGAATGAATCCGCCTTGGCTAGCGAGCTTATCCAGACCCAGGCGCGCATCGATGCCTTCCTTGACCACAAGAAAAACGCCGTTGTGCAGAGCGTCCAGGTGCAATGTGATAATATAAAGACTAATGCTCTTGTTGCTTTCGTGGTTTCTTCGGACACCACTCCGGTCACTTTTGGGGATCGCGTCTTCCAGTCCGCGACACATAACCTGAAAGACGCCATCTCTAGCTTGCACACCAATCTGAGTACCAGTCTTCCTGGTAGCAAGGTTCCGAGTTACTATATTCCCATTTCCTCCCTCCCCTTGACCGTATCTGGAAAGGTTAACCGACAGGCCCTTACAATCGAAACACAAGCGCTCTCCAGCAGTGCTCTCGAGGCTTTCGACATTAAGCGTTGGAACGGATCGAAGGCTGGGAACCGGACTTCACGGCATGCCAGTCTCTCCGGGGCCAATATCGCTTTCTGGAAAGAGTATCTCGCCGATGTTGAACCCTGCGTTTTCCCGGCGCTCTCCCACGAGGCAGTCGACAGTGGCCGTTCCACTCGCACGCTTACCAAACAGACATCCAACATTCATGCCTTCAGCAGATTGTCTGGCGTCCCTACGGAGACTCTCTTCCAGTTTGCCTGGGCCGTTGTCCTTCGGTGGTACACTGGCTCAGACGATGTGTGCTTTGGATATTCCGCCTCATCTTCAGAGACAAAGTTGGAGGCCGAAGGCGTTGCCACCTGCCGTTTTCTCGTAAATAACGACCAAAATCTCCAAGAGACTATCCAAAAGGCAATGAAAGACTCAGAGAACAGTGCACTGAACATCGCTGCCCTGGACGCCGTCAAGCACCACCTTGGACTTGATGATACAACCCTCTTCAACACCTCTCTGGTTTATCGAACAGCTTCTAATCTTCCAAAAGGAAGTACCCGTGAGCCAACTATCTCTAGTGCTTACCAGATCCTGGTTGAAGCCGAAGTCTCGCATTCACATGCCGAGATCCATTTCAACTACTCCTCAGAAACCCTCTCCCCCTTCCAGGTCAGCCATGTTATGGACATGTTTGACCAAGTGTTGGACGATCTGATAGCGCACAACCTACATGACCGCACGGTTGGAGACCTCAACTTGCTACCTGAGCGCTCAGTTCGGCAGATCCGTCATTGGAACGCCGCATCCCCTCCTAGAGTAGAGAAGTGCGCCGACGAGCTCATTCAGCAGCAGGCCCTGCTCCACCCTCGTGCGGAAGCCATATGTTCTTGGGACAAGAATTTCACTTATGGACAGCTTGAGATTGTCTCTAGTCGCTTGGCTCGCCATCTCTCCAGTATTGGAATCAAGCCCGAAGTCTTTGTTGTGCTGTGCTTCGAGAAGTCAGCTTGGGCTGTAGTTGCCCAGCTGGCTGTCCTCAAGGCGGGTGGGGTTTTCGTTTCCATTGACCCAACCCACCCCGATTCTCGACTGAAGATGCTCATCGATGAAATTGGCAGTAAACTTGTTTTGTGCTCATCTTCACTCCACACCAAACTTTCGAAGCTGTGCGAGAAAGCTTTCGCTGTATGCCAGACTTCAATCTCTCAGCTCTCTGACTCGCCTTTGGCTTTGCCTGGTGTTCGTCCTACCCCGAACAATGCGGCATATGCCATCTTTACATCAGGGACTACTGGAACGCCGAAGGCGACCGTTGTTGAGCACACTGCCCTTAGCACCACCGCGATCGCCATGATCGATGCCCTTCACATGAACTCCTCAACCCGTGCTTTGCAGTTCTCTAACTACACGTTTGATGTCAGCATTCTTGAGATTATGATGACTCTCATGACTGGTGGTTGTGTCTGTATTCCCAGCGAGGAGGAACGTATGAACAACATGGGTGGTGCTATCCGCCGTATGGAAGCCACCTTCATGACGGCACCTCCTGCTATTGTCAATACCTTAGAGCCGAAGAACGTTCCCACCCTCAAGGTGATTATCACAGGCGGCGAGAAGATGCCTGCCAACCACATCGACCGCTGGGCAGACCGGTGCGTCATCAATGCCTATGGTCCCTCCGAGGCCACTGTCGTTGCCACAGTCGGTGTCAAGGTTGATCGGGATGGTAACCGCATCAACAATGATCCCACGTCCATTGGAACAGCTCCAAACTGCAGAGTCTGGATTGTGGATCCGCACAACTCGCACCGTCTGCTGCCGGTCGGCGCAGTCGGCGAATTGATCCTAGAAGGAAGCAACATCGCTCGTGGATATCTTGCCAACGAGGAGAAAACCAAGGCCTCTTTCTTCGAGAATCCAGTTTGGAACCGTCACGCTGGACTACAGGGCGTGTTCAAACGAAATGATCGCATGTACCGCACTGGTGATCTTGTTCGTTACAACAGCGATGGCAGTCTGGCCTTCATCTCCCGCAAAGACACCCAGATCAAGTTCAATGGCCAGCGAATTGAACTGGAGGAGATCGAACAACAGTGTCTCCGCTGTCTGCCTGAGGATTCTCAGGTCGCTGTTGACGTCGTTGTTCCCGAGGAACGCACCATCGCCAAGGGCCTCGCCGCATTCTTCACCGTTCATGATCCAGATTCCAACGGGGGCAGCAGCGATCAATTCACACCCACTATTCCTGGGGCCGATCCACTGCTATTGCCCATCTCTGTGTCTAACATGGATGCCATCCAGAAGTTAAAGATCTCTCTACCCGAGCTCCTCCCTGCGAGCATGATGCCCCGACTCTTCTTCCCTATCCGAAACCTGCCGTTCACTTCATCGGGGAAGATCGACCGCCGAAGACTGCGGGCCATGGTCCAAAACTTGTCCAAGGAGACTCTCAAGTCTTACATTACATTCGACACTTCCGACAGAAGGGAGGCTTCCTCGGCCACTGGCCTCGAGGTCAAGCTTGTGGCCCTCGTGGAAAAGACCCTCGAACTTGAAGCCGGTTCTGTGACGGCCGATGATAGCTTCTTCGGTCTAGGTGGTGACTCCTTGTCCGCCATGAACCTCGTCGGTGCTGCTCAGGCAGAAGGTATTGCACTTACCGTCTCGAGCATCTTCAATTCCCCAATCTTGATTGACATGGCCAAGACCTGCGTCGTGTCTGATGCAGTTGCTGAAATTAAGAAAGAGACTATCAATCCGTTCTCCTTGGTACCCTCTGGAGTCGACCTGGAGAGCCTGATGGATGAAGTCACGGACAACTGCGAGGTGTCCAGAGACCTGATCAGCGATGTCTACCCATGCAGCGCTGTCCAGGAAGGTCTTTTGACACTCTCTATCAAGCATAACGGTGCTTATGTTGCTCAGCCTTCGTTCCGCCTCGCTGATGGCATCGATGTCGGTAAATTCAAACGGGCTTGGCAACAAACTGTGGCAGACTTGGAAATCCTTCGCACTCGCATTGTCCACACGGAAGCTATGAACTTCGCTCAGGTTGTTCTGAAGGATGGCAATATCTCCTGGGTGGAAGCAGAGTCTTTTGATGCTCTGCCCAGTGACATTCTTCACCTCCCCAAGCAAAACGGCGCGCCTCTGACGGGTTACGCCATGGTGCATCCCCGTGGCTCCTCTGATAGCTACTTTGTGTGGTCTGTCCATCACGCCCTTTATGACGGATGGAGTATTCCTTTGGTCTTCCACAAAGTCGAAGAGAACTACTTTGCGTCGCAGACCCAGCGCGCTGGCACCCCCTACAGTCTTTTCATTAACTACCTGGTGAAGAAGGATATGGAGGAGTCGGATGTCTTCTGGAAGTCTTATCTGGCTGACCTGTCGACCACTCCCTTCCCTCATAATAAGGGTGCGGTGCCTGACGCCATGCGTGCTGGCAACACCCAGCACCACAGTATCAAGATTTCCCGTACCCGCAACAGCATCGAGTTCACAATCCCTGTCCTTATGCGCGCCGCTTGGGCAATCGTCATTGCCACCCACACTGCATCTGGTGACGTCTGCTTCGGCGAGACATTGTCAGGCAGAAATATCGATCTACCCGGTGTTGCAGATATTGCTGGTCCTGTTCTGACCACCGTCCCCACCCGTGTCCAAGTTGACAATGAGATGTCTACTCTGCAGTACTTGCAGAACATCAACAAGTCGACCACTGAGATGATACCGCACTTACATTCTGGTCTCCAGCGTATCCGACAGCTAAATAAGGATACATCCACAGCCTGCGATTTCAAGAACCTGCTTGTGATCCAGCCAGGTGATGGCGAGCTCGACAACAAGATCTGGATCGACGAGAAACGTCAAACAAGCGAAGACTTCTTCACTCACCCCCTGGTCGTCGAATGTGGTGTCACCAAGACGAGTATCTCTTTCACCGTCCACCACGATGAGCTCGTCATCAATGGATGGCAAACCAAGCGCATTACCGAACAATTTGCGCATGTTCTACAGCAATTGATCAACATGCCTAAGAACAGTACGAGCAAGCTCGGAGATCTGGAGATTATCAGCCCCGAAGACAAGGCCGAGATTGGTACATGGAACCAACGTACCCCGCTCACAGTGGAACGGACCGTTCAGGATTTCATTCGTGAGAAGTGTGACGAGACTCCGAATGCCCAGGCTGTGTGTGCGTGGGATGGAAACCTCACCTACCGAGAATTCTGGAACCTTGCATCCGGCTTCGCCAACTACTTGGTCTCTCGTGGAGTTGGTCCAGAAGTATTCGTTCCCGTCTGTCTGGACAAGTCGGCCTGGGCTATGGTCACCCTCATCAGTATCTTAATCGCTGGTGGTGGTTATGTGCCTCTGGATCCTTCTCACCCTACCTCGCGACACGAGGAAATCCTCGCTGACGTCGGTGCCAACATGATACTGTGCACCCCCAACTATACAAACCGCTACAGTCGAGTTGTCAAGACTGTGATCCCCATCAGCAAGGAGACCATCAAGGCATATGGCTCCCTCAAGTCAGCTGCCCGTCGCCGCACTGAGGTCAAACCCTCTAATATGGCTTATGCTCTATTCACCTCCGGTAGCACAGGTCGAGCCAAGGGAATTATTGTTGAACACCGGAACGTGGTCAGCAGTATCATGGCATTCGCGCCTTGGGTCCGCATGGATGCAACCTCGAGAGTATTCCAATTTGCCTCCCTCACTTTCGATGCTGCTGTTATGGAGACTCTTGCGATTCTCATGGTGGGCGGTACAATCTGTGTTCCCAGCGAAGATGACCGTCTGAATGATGTTGCCGGCGCAATCCGTCGACTCAATGTCACTTGGACTTTCCTCACCCCCTCGATTGCAAGCATCATTGAGCCCACATCGGTGCCTTCTCTGAAGCACCTCGTTTGTGGTGGTGAGAAGATGTCCAATGAAGTCATCACCAAGTGGGCCAATTCGGTTCACCTCATGAACGGATACGGACCGACCGAGACCTGCGTCTTCGCTGTAGTTGATACTGCAGTGGCCACCAACCGTGATCCAGGGCGTATCGGTTATGGTATTCCTAGCACTCTTACCTGGATTGTGGACCCCGACAACCACGATCGACTGACTCCCCTGGGTGCGGTCGGTGAACTTGCACTCGAAGGCGCTCCTTTGGCCAGGGAGTACCTCAAAAATCCCGAGAAAAACGCAGAAGCATTCACCTCAAACCCTGCCTGGGTCAAGGACTTCACGCCCGCTGTGCCGGGTCCTCGCCGAATCTACAAGACTGGTGATCTTTGCTACTACAACCCGGATGGCTCTATTCAGTATATCAGCCGGAAAGATCACCAGGTCAAGTTGCATGGTCAGCGCATGGAGCTTGGTGAGATCGAACATCGCCTTTCTGAGGATCCTCGTACCCGCCACGCTGTCGTTGTTCTCCCCAAGAACGGCCCGCTTAAGCAGCGCCTGGTCACTGTCATGTCTTTGAACAGTGTCGCTGCTGATACCAAGCTTATCTCCGATAAGCCCTGCGAGCTTGTTGATGAGGATGAGCTTGAGCGTCATGCTTACAACGAGCTGGTCGAAGTCCAACATAATCTTGAGAACCAGCTGCCCATTTACATGGTCCCGCAGACTTGGGCTCTCATCAAGAAACTTCCGATGCTGGTTTCTGGAAAGCTTGACCGGAAGAAGATCACCGCTTGGGTTGAGGATATTGATGATGTGTCCTACGAACGCATAATGGCGGATTACGATCGCATCAAGCGTGGCAAGACCGAAGAGAAGTCACAAGAAAAGGAAGAGAAGAATGGATCGCTCAACATTGTCCGTGAAATCTTCGCACAAGTGTTGAATATTTCCCTCCAGAAGGTCAATGTGGACCGCTCTTTTGTTAGCTTGGGTAAGTATTCCATCATCTTGGAATAGTGAACATACTAACTAGTTTCACAGGCGGAGACAGCATTACTGGAATGGCTGTGATTTCTCGTGCTCGTAAGCAGGGACTTGTTCTGACACTACATGACATTTTGCAGAGCAGATCGGTGAAAGAACTTGCTCAAACTGCCAGTTCCAAGGCGCCTGTCTCTCGGCGCGAAGAGAAGTCTGGTGAAGGCTTTGCGCTTTCACCTGTCCAGAGGCTCTACTTCCAGAGCTCAACCTCTTTCAAGGGCGACGCTCGTTTCAACCAGAGCATCACTGTTCGCATTGCTCGCCGCTGTGAGGGCGAGGTGCTCAGGCGCGCTCTCAAGGCTGTCATTAGCCAGCATGCCATGTTCCGCGCACGCTTCAGCAAATCTGGTGGCGGTACTTGGCAACAGAAGACTACAGCGGTAAGTTCACCAGAAAACCCTCTTCTAACATGTTCTAACTCAACCTCACAGGAGGTCGATGAATCCTTCCGATTCCGTGTGCACTCTGTTCAGGATACCCGGGCGATGGTTCCTAAGGTTGCTGACAGTCAAAATTGCTTGGACCCTGTCAATGGACCTATTCTCGCGGCCGACCTCTTTAACCTTCGCACCGGTGGTCAGGTCTTATTCCTCGTCGCTCACCATCTCTGCATTGATATGGTATCCTGGCGCATCGTGCTCCAGGACCTCGAAGAGCTCGTTGTCTCTGGATCTCTTTCACTTGAAAAGGCATTGTCCTTCCAAAGCTGGTGCGCTATGCAGACCGAGAGAGCCAAGACACACGATGCGACTATTTCTCTGCCTTTCACCCCTGAGAAGCCCAACCTGCCTTACTGGGGCATGCACGACTTGCCCAATGTGTATGGAGATATCAAGATGGAATCCTTCACATTGAGTGAGGATACTACCCAGTTTATCCTCGATGGCTGCCATAGTGTCTTCCGCACTGACACTGTTGACATCTTGCTATCTGCCATCATTCATTCCTTCGGTCGCACTTTCACCGATCGCAAGGTGCCGACTATCTACAACGAAGGACATGGCAGAGAACCCTGGGAAGCCGACATTGATCTTTCAAGAACAGTTGGCTGGTTTACTACCATGGCGCCTTTGCAAGTGGACTCTGAAGCTCGTAAGTTTCCTATACCTCCTCTCCCCGATAGAAAGCTAACATGAAAAGGCGCTCTGAACGACATTATCAAGCGTGTGAAGGACACCAGACGTAACATTGCAGACAATGGACGCCCTTACTTCGCCAAAAGCCTACTTCAGGACCAGGCGGCCGATTTCCCTGTCCCGTTGGAAATACTTTTCAACTACCTAGGTAAAATGCAGCAACTTGAGCGACCCGATTCGCTGTTCCATCACCATGGTAGCGTCTTTGACAGCTCGGACTTTGCTGTCGCAGGTGATATGGGTCCGCAAACTGCTCGTTTCGCCCTTTTCGAAGTATCTGCCATTGTCATCAAAGACCGCCTCAATGTCGCCTTCACCTACAACAGTAGAATGCAGCATGAGGGCTCAATTCGCCGCTGGATTGTTCAGTGCAAGCAGACTCTAGAGAAAGATATCCTCACACTGAAAACTGCTACTCCCGAGCCTACTCTCAGCGATTACCCCCTGCTTCCAATCAACTATCACGGCCTCCAGATTCTCACCACTAACACCTTCCGCAAGGCTGGCATTCGGAACAAGGATCATGTGGAAGACATCTATCCCTGCTCTCCCATGCAAGAGGGCCTCTTGCTCAGCCAGCTCCGCGATCCAAATGCCTACATGTTCCATACTGTGTTTGAGATCAAGGATGACAAATCTGGCAAGGTCGATGCTGAAGGAGTTGCTCGCGCCTGGCAAGCCCTCGTCGACCGTCATCCTGTTCTGCGAACTATTTTCATCGATAGCAACTACACTGGTGGATCTTTCGATCAACTAGTGCTGAAGGATCTTTCCGAAAATATCCTTCGGGTCGAATGTCGTGACTCACAGGTTGAGGAGAAGTTGGCTGCTATTTCCCTCCGTGACCTGAACGCGATGCGCCAATCGAAGCTTTCTCACCAGGTGACTGTCTGCAAGACAACCACTGGACGTGTGATCTTGAAGCTGGAGATTAACCATGCCATTATCGATGGTGGTTCGGTGGATGTACTCCTCCGCGACCTGACTCTCGCCTACGAGGGAAAGATCGCCGAGGGTTCAGGACCTCGCTTCAGCGACTACATCAAGTTCATCAGAACGCAGAGACAGAGTGACGCACTCAGTCACTGGAAGCAATACCTCGGCGGAGTTCACCCATGTCACCTCGCTCCGACGGCAGTGTTCGAGGCCAAGAGAGAACTGAAGGGTGTCATGATGAACTTCCAGCGGTTCCCCGAGCTGCTCAAGTTCTGCGAGCGTAGCTCTGTGACTCTCGCCAACTTGACCCTGTCCGCCTGGGCCATCGTCCTGCGACAGCTCACTGGGTCCGATGACGTTTGCTTTGGATATCTTTCCGCCGGTCGCGATGCCCCTGTCAATGGCATCGAGGGCATGGTTGGAATCTTTATTAACATGCTTTGCTGTCGGGTCCAGTTTTCCGACCAGCAGACCCTGACGGATGTGTCCAAGAATGTGCAAGATGATTATATTCGATGCATCCCCCACCAAAGCTGCTCGCTGGCGAGCATCCAACATGAGCTAGGTTGGCAAGGACAGTCCCTCTTCAATACTACCTTGTCAATCCAGAACCACTCCGTTGCGGGTGGTCCCAACGACAAGGGATTGTCCTTCGATCTTCAGCACGCACATGACCCGAGCGAAGTGAGTACTAATCCTATCGATGCTTCGTTTTAGCTACTAACCAAATTCAGTATGCGGTTACTGTGAACGTTGAGATTGCCCGAGGCCAGGAGGGTATTCTTTTGAGATACTGGAACGATGTTGTGTCTGACGATGAGGCACAGACTTTGGCTGACACCATCGCCAAAGTCTTCACTGGCTTCATTGAATCCCCGTCTGCGAATCTGTCGCAGTCCACATTCGCTCCCGAGGCTGAACCTGAGTCAGTGGATTGGGACCGCTCCCAAACAACGCTGGCTGAAAAGGCAAAGTCGACCGGAGATGCGATTGATAGTGTTGCCATGCAGAAAATTATTGATGATCGTGTTCATGAGATTATTGGTCGGATGTTGAGAGAAGGAAAACTGACGGTGCCTCCCATTCGTACGAATGGGTTGTCGAGCTTTGGTGGTCACACCGATGCCATAGCTGAATCACCGTTTCAGTTAGGTTTGGAAGGAGAAGATGATACGAGTGGTTCATCGGGGATCTCCCGTTCCAGTGAGGATGGGATATCGGCCGAGGTGGAAAGGAAATTGTGGAATCTTTGGAGCACAGCTCTTGGTCTCCCGCCCAACGTGGTGAGACACCAGGACAGCTTCTTCAAGTTGGGTGGTGACAGCATCACCGCTATGAAGATGGTCAGTGCCGCTCGCGAAGAGGGCCTGGTTCTTACTGTTGCAGATGTCTTCAACAATCCTGTCTTTGAGGATATGCTGGCAACAGTGCAAGCGGCCAATGTCACTCAGCAAATGCTGAATGTCGACCTCAAGTCTGGCGGCCACAAGGAGGTTGATAGTGATTTAATCAATATCACACCGACCACGCTAGGCCCCAGCCCCTCTTCTGAGAGCCTTGAAGTCCTCAGGCCATCGTGCGTCGACGATGCCGCAGTCCAGAGCGGTATTTGCCCTAAGATCGGTGTCTTCAAGGGTGGCATCGCCGATGTTCTCCCGGTCACTGACTTCCAGGCAATGTCTCTGACAGCAACCCTCTTCAAGTCCCGATGGATGCTTAACTACTTCTATCTAGAGGGCAACGGTCCCCTGGACCTAAGACGCCTTCGCGAGAGTTGCTTGAAGGTTGTCGCTGCATTTGATATTCTGCGCACAGTCTTTGTGTGCTTCCATGACCAGTTCTTCCAGGTTGTTCTGCGCAAGATTCGTCCCAGCATCTTTGTTTATGAGACCGACCGCGCTCTAGATGAATTCACCATGACTCTCCAACAGAGAGATCGTGAATATGGGCCACGCGAAGGCGAGCAGTACGTGCAGTTCTACGTTGTCAAAAAGAAGGGCAGTGACCAGCACCGTATCTTGGTGCGCCTCTCTCACACTCAGTACGATGGAGTGTGCTTGCCAAAGATCATGGCTGCCATTAAGCACGGATATGAAGGCACCCCGCTGCCCCCGGTTACTCCTTTCGCTGGCTACTTGCGACAATTGCCAGGAACAATTACCCCAGACCATTACCGACACTGGACCAATCTCCTCAAGGGGTCTCGCATGACCCAAGTCGTCCACAGAAAGGGGACAAGCATGTTCCAGAACATTGGAGCATTCACCGAGATTCACAGAAAGATTGAGATCTCTCAAACTGCCCTTGGAAATGTCACTATTGCAACTGTCATGCAGGCTGCCTGGGCCCTGGCCCTTGCCAAACTTTCTGCTCAGTCCGACGTTGTCTTTGGTCTGACCATCAGCGGTCGCAACGCCACAGTTCCCGGTATTGAGAACACAGTTGGCCCCTGCGTCAATGTCATCCCGGTGCGCGTGAAGCTCAACGAGAAATGGACCGGTGTCGATCTTTTCCGCTACCTTCAAGACCAGCAGGTCTCCAACATGCCTTTCGAATCTCTAGGCTTCCGCGAGATCATCAAGCAATGTACCGACTGGCCTGACTGGACTTACTTCACTACCTCGGTCTTCCACCAGAACGTCGACTACGAGGGAACAATGGAGCTCGACAACAACAAGTACCGTATGGGTGGTGTCGGCGTCAATGACAACCTAGCCGATCTAACCATGGTATCTCGCCCCTCCGGTGAACGTGGCCTCGATGTCACACTCGGCTACTCCGAAAAGGGACCTGTGATGCCATTCTTCGCAACCAAGGTTCTCGACATGGCCTGTGAGATTGCTCAATCCCTCGTCGCAAACCCAACCGCCTCTCTACCCTCGGCAAGCATGCTGCGCTCTCTACCACCCCAGACAATCGAAGACCTTCCCCGACCAACAGACGAGCACTTCCTCAGCGCACACCTCAAGTCGCGCTCCATCGCAGAACTGCTCGTCCATTCGGACATCCTGTCTCGCTCATGGCACCAGGTCCTTCCCAGTCGCACTACCACAGCCCGCGTCGACCCAGAAGCTGACAAGGCAACCCACGAATCCGCGTTCCAGTTAGACTCGTCCTTCTTTGATCTCGGCGGTGACGTCTTCAACCTAGCCCAGCTTACCTGGCTCCTTGAGCAGGAGGGTCTCAAGGTTCGCCTCGAGGATCTTATCGAACATCCCTCTTTCCTGGGCCAAATGGCTGTGCTGGCTTTGCACAATGCCAAGCACCAGGATGATATCCCAACAGAGCTTCTTGCTACCGGTGCTGCGTTGCCTGATCCTGTCTCTCGTGTCGAAAAGAAGAAGACGTGGGCGAAGGCTATGACCATTGCGCGAAGGCTGACTAGACGAAACAGTGTGATTTCCAGTCGAGCTTGAACCATGATGGTTGTGCTCGAATCCGCGAAGAAAAACAGAGAAAAGCAAAAAAAAAGCAAAAACAGGTGTTAATCCCAAGAGGGAAAAAAGAAAACACCGAAAAGAACTCCCTATCCTTGTGGTCATTTCTCATGTCTTTATGCTTCGACTGCATGTTTCTGTTTTGCATGTCTTTATATTGTATCGCTTTGGACTTTTTTTGGCTTCTAGATTGGGTACATATGGCATACTCACTATCTTCGCTCTTTATATCTTCCTTTCTGTTGACTCTGCTACTTTTGTGCTTGTTGCTTCTTTGTTATACTCTAATACGCGGAAACCTGTCTATTGAATATTCTCCAAGTAGAAAAGTAGTGAAGTAGAACCATCAGACTGCGTCTTGATATAATAGGCTTGTAGTAACTAATATAAGTCAATCTGAAATGCCCGAAACTCGGTGGGTATCATCAATGCAAGGGATAGGCCTGCCACAACCAGAAATCAGGCCAGCTATTAAAGAACATGTATAATAAAACGACGGAGAACAATTGTTTAGCAGAATTTTAAACAGAATCTCGCGACCACGTCCCGCGCGCTCGAATCCGCTTCCCGTACCTGTAGAACAGATATGGGATTGGGATGAGAGCAACAGAAATGAAGCCCAGCACGCTAGCAGCCCAAGGAACACCAAGATTATGGAACATAGGGGTTGTGAAAAGCGGGAAACCGCCAGCAAACATCGAACGCAGGAAAGTGTTCGCAGCGATCGCGCTAGCGGAGTATTTTTGGAACGTATCAATGAGGTAGTTGATGGCTGCCTGGAAGATCGTGAAAAAGCCAAAGCCCATCATGACCGCGCCGATATTCGGAAAGATCCAGTGAATGTGTTTTGGACTTGTCCAACCAAAAACGAACATACCCGCAGCGAAGAGCACAGAGCCGATCATCATGGGTGGGAGACGAGCTTCGGGGATGGGGCGGTTGTTGTTCGCTTTGAAGCGTTTTATGTAGAACCTCTGGTTCGCAAGGTTGATGGTTGCGCCCATTAGGATGCCGACTAAGTAGGCGAGGAATGGTAGTGCGCCGATGACTTGGTTCCAGCCGCGGATTTCCTGGAAGACGATTGGGAAGGCTGCTAGACTGAGGTAGAGGATACCGTAGACGAATGATGCGTAGAGGGCGACGAGGAAGCAGATTGGGGTTGCGAGGAGTTGGAAGGGACGGATGAGGTATTTGTTGCCTATTTCTTTGAGGGTCACGTCCCACTCCTCGTGGCGGGCATGGAGGGCCCAGTTGCCGCTTTCGAAGCGGAGCCGGCGCGCTTTGTAGACTAGCAGAGCTGGTGGGTAGCTCTCGTCAACGAAGAGGAGGTCCATGGTTAGGAAGAACATCATCATGATACCAGTAATCTAGTAGATATTAGTATAGCTTCAACTTCCGCCTCCGAGCGTGCAATACTCACATATTCAGTCCAGCGCCATCCAAGATTGCTCTGAACGATGGCACCACCCGCTATAGGCCCAATGACAGGCCCACCCACCACGGCCATGGCATAACCAACAATGGCAGCTCCGCGCTCTTCGGCGGACCAAATATCACCCAGGACTCCGCCGGTGTTAGTAACAGGGGCCGAGCCGAAAAAGCCCGTAAAGAATCGAGTGATCATAATAGTCTGCACGTCTTTCGCGGTGGCAGTCGCGAACGAAAAGACCGCCGCGAGAAAATATGGCGGTAAAACTGCGGCTTTGCGTCCATAGAGCTCAGACAGAGGCGCCCAGATCAACGGGCCCAATCCCATGCCGAACAAAAGTAATGAGGTTCCGAGTGTAGCAACCTCATTTGAGACGCCGAACTCCTCGCTAATCTCTGCCTGACCCGTCGAGTAGCTAGCATCATACTTAGTTTAATACTCTATGAACCGTGAGGCTGAAATGGACTTACATTGAACTCGCCCACGTCGAACCTATTGATAAATATTAGCTCCATGATTCATTTCTCCGAGATTTCCCCGTTCCCGACATACCCATAGTAGTTAATCCATACAACACAGTTGTGATAGCCTTCTTCCTGAAACTCCAGTTCAATGGTCTATAAGGATCATCCGGCCCTTCGAAATCGACAATGACATCAGGACTTGTCTTGGTATTCGTGAGTGGATGATTGAATTGCGCCGTCTGGTCTGGGTCTCGACTCCGAATGCGCGAAACTATTGACTGCGTGCGCTGTTGAAAGGCCGAATACCCCGACGCCGCAGTACTTTGCTTTTCCAACGCGATTCCATCTGCCCCGTCGGCGCTGCGATGCGGTTCGATATCTTCGCTAGATATGCTGGTGCGATAATCATGTTCTGTCCGTTCGCCCATTATCACGCACGACTCATTGGTTGAATTGTCGCAGGACCAGCGTTTGAGCTGGGAAGGGTGGCAAATGGAATATTTGAAGTAGAACAAATTACGGTAAATCTAGAAATGGAAAAAAAATGAATCTCGGAGATAAGAGGTGGATATGACGAAAAGTCTCCGAGAATATGTTTGGAACTGTAAGGCTGAAAGATATCTGGGGATGTGAATTCGTTTTATTCCGCTTCTTCAAGCTTTCGGACCTCCGATGACAGAAGCCGTGATATCCGATAACTTGCAGGATCTGTCACCTGGCCGATCTCGGTGCCCAATGAGTTCTTGAGGATAGCTTTCTCTCGGCATCACCAGTGAAGCACCGAGGCGTATCATTCCTGCCCACGACCGTACTCTGTAGAAAGATATGGGAGCTCGGCCTTGGTGGCGATGGCGCCGAAGTGCCGACTGCCACATGAGTGGAACCGCTATCTGGGTCTGATGGGGCCAATGAAATTCACGTTAAAGCATTGACTTTTCATGTCTTGTCGATCGGGGGCACTGAATAGTACAATGGGGGTTGGAGGATGGAGGTTGAGGTTCAGGTTGAATTAATCCAGTGATCCTCGTATATCACATGACATCATTGTACTAATGTGAAGATGGAAAGAAATAGATGTAAAGAGAGACCTTAAAAAACTTCGTTAAACCTTTAATCCTAACATCTACTTATACTCTATGTGTATATGCTACACTAGGCATCCAGGGCAGTTATTCACAGGGACGTGCCTGAGGATTCAAATAGAAACAATAATCGCCATTAAACGGTCGGATGCATGCTCTCCCATTTGTTGACTGCTTCAAGCGCCGCAGTAACCTTGAGTCCAATACGAGCGTCGAGCTCGTAGGTCTCCCAGCGGGCAGCATAATCAAGGTATTTCTTGCACTCGACTACCTGCTTTCTCTCGGCCATTGTGCTCGGCTCCCCAGATGCCACAGACGCTTCGGCTTCGTCCAACGCCTTGGAGGAAAGAGTAATCCCATGCAGAGTTTGGTATGTGGGACGCTCCATCCAAAAGTTGGCGGCCATCTCGAAATTCGCAACTGGGTGAACCCAGTCATCCTTCAGGTGGGCCTTGAACAGAGCCTTGTCGTTGCACAAGACGCGGGTCTGCAGGATATTTTTCGCCTCATCATGTCTGCACAGGGATCGCAAAACGGCTGCCCGGAGAAGCTCCAGGATCGCCTTTTCTTCAGCCCCCTCGCGAGACCACGTCTTGTTTTTTTCGCTTTCGCACCATTCTAGCCGAGTCAAGGACTCTTCTAGCTGCTCGTCGGTCATGCGACTGTGTCCGTTCCAGAAGAAGATCATCTCTTCAATGGGGTCGACCCCAATCGCATCCACAAAGGGAACGTTCCATTCTTTGGCACGCGCCTCCCATTTGGCAAGCTTGCGAGTCACAAAGATGTCAAATGGCAGTTGTCGGGCCATGAATCGCTTTTTCCCGGCGAATTCGGGTGCCTTCCGCATGTACACGGTGGCTTTTTTGGCATGTTCCTCTGCAAGCTTTGGATCGTGTAGTGATTGCCGGTACAGGGCAACATGGCAGGATCCGGCGATGTAGTAATACAGTGAACGAGACCACGAGTTAAGTTCCACGCACTGAAAATATTAGCTTGATGGTTCAAAAGTCTTAGAAAAGAAAGTCATACTTCGAGGAATGCCTCAGCGCAGACATCATATCTGTGGAGGAACAGTGCGTTCAAGCTCTTTTCGAACACGCACAACCCCTCGACCTGCTTGAGCGGGCTCTTGATGTCCGTGGACAACATTGCCAGAGCGCTGTCCAGGTTCTTATTAGCGCCCAACATCCGCGATTCTTCAAGCATCCAGAGTCGGCTGTTGGGGAACCGAGACCGCATCTCCGCCAGCAACCCAGCCAGCCTCTCCTGTGGGTATCCCTCGACGTCGGTCTCGCCAGGAGTTGGGTCGGGCATAATATCGCAGTACCGGACAAAGCCATTGTAATATCCTAGGAGTGCCAAAGCAGCCATGGCACCAATTAGGTTGTGGAACTTGCTGGCTTGCCAGAGCATTCTCAGCCCTCGTTGCTTGTCACCATGGAAGCCAATAATGGAAAGAAGCTTGCTGAATGCGGGTGGAACCATGGAGATCAGTAGAAGCAGAATACCAAAGCAGAAGTTGGCACCAGAGTGCACAAAAACATCAATCTCGTTTTTGAAGATGTCCGAGTCGGGGTCGTGGTGGATATGCTTTGCAGGTGTGGAAGTGCCCGTTGAGGCACCTGGAGATGTCGCTACCGGGGATATCGCCAATCCATTCATTGACGAATTGAGCTCGGTTCGGTCTTTTGCGCTTTTTTTCGAGGAAAGACTGGCCGATTCAGACTTCGTGTCTGTGCACGCAACGCTCGAGCTTGTGAGATCACTCGCAGTTGGCAGTAGAACTTTGTGTATATCCCTCTGTTGCATAAACTTCTCTTCCATCTTCATGATAGCGTCTAGTGCGATATACGCCTTTCTCAGCCGATAGAATGCTTTGATGCTCTCTGTCAGGCTTTCATTCAGTACCCCAACAACCGCGTTCATCAATTGGGCGATTGCCTGGCACAATGCGTATTCGGTACCCGGAGCATAGATATCGGAGTGAAAGGCATTGGGTGCTTGGGCGTTTTGCTGGGCCCGGGTTTGGTCGTTGGCCGCGCTAGTTTCTGCTTCATAAAGGCGCTCGGATGCTGCGGGATTGTCAGAAACAGTGGAATTAGAGGATTAAAAAAACATGGACCTTGTCGCATAATCTCCTGCTCGAAGCCTAATGTCGCCCGGACGAATGCGACCACGCCTTTACCAAGCTATTCGATCGAGAGTCAGCTTCTTTTCTCAAGGTCCGTGCTACGTCATAGCTCATGGTGACAGCGACGATCACCCACATTGTGAAAAGACGAAGTGCCCCCGGAGAGACCAGCCTCCGCGCCATCAACATCATCGTTGAGAATCAGTGTTGCCGCTAGTTGGGCATACCATTAGTCGGTGCCTAAAGGCAGACATTTACCATAGGACATACCTGTCAACGCATCGTGCACTAACTCGGAATACCACGGTCAGCATACAATCAAACGACAACTATGCGCTCTCCTAGAGTATATCACACAACTCACAGTCTTTCAACTCAACCTGCGAGTCCACAGACTGCCCCGGCTTTTTGCCGTACAACCAGGACCCGACTCGCAACATGGCGAAGACCGCTGGCGTTTGAGTATGTGTAATGGATTTTCAATAGGAACACAATCCACGATTGTCTCAAGTCAGGGTCAGGGCAAGCCGAGCAAGCCGAAAAGAGATAGCACCGGATCGGGAAGAATGTCAACGGTGCGATAGCGGAAGCGCGATGGACGAGAACATCTCATATGAGAGAGAATAAGGGGGAAAGGGAAAACACAAAGTGGAGAGGGGAGGAAAAGATGACGGAGGAGGGGAAGGAATAATATAACAACACGTCGAGGCTGAGGCTCTCTCTCTCCATATTCTTTCCGCCGGTAGCTCCGCTACTTCTTCTTTTATAGTCAATTCGACATCTACCAAATTATTTCGAATTATCTTATAATATATCACTTTCTTCTATTCTCTTCTCCAATCTCACTATTCATGTTATCATTTCTTCCATTTAAATCCCAACGCTGCACTGTTTTCCAAGGTTGCCTCCCAACTACATCATCGTTATCGGCTTATCGCCGGTCTTACTAAGTAAAACCTCCGACCTCCGACTTCCAAGCTGCTACATCCACGTCCACATCTCCCATCCACCTGTGATCCTCCCGGTCAATCACATCTTTCACAATGTCAAACCCAACTAGCCAGAAGACCGATGCCACAGAGCAGCCCCCACCACAGGCCAAGCCCCAAGTCCTAGAGGAAGACGACGAGTTCGAGGATTTCCCCGTTGAAGGTATCGACTAGACCCTCAAGTGCTTCCCAAGAGCAACGAAGCTAACTCTACAACACCCAGACTGGCCCCAAGAAGAAGCCGAGCAGACCTCTGGCGCGACAGCAAATGGCGGTAGCGAGCACCTGTGGGAAGAGAGCTGGGATGACGATGACGCGGCGGAGGACTTCTCAAAGCAGCTCCAGTGAGTTCGGCTTTCCCTACACTTCCTCCACTTCAAATACCCTACACTATATTCCTTTCCTACAAATTCCCTTTCATCTCCCTATCTACACCGCCACGCTCGAACCCCCCACATCTCCAAAGCTGTCAGCTTCCCCTCCTTCACCGCACTAACACCCATCACCTCATCCAGGGAAGAATTGAAGAAAGTCGAAGCATCGGCTTAAATCTAAACGAACCTGGACAAGCGCACCAAAAAGAGATAACCCCCGCGTCGGGTTTCGGGATAGGTTCATTATCGAGTTGGCTGGCCATTTCATCTCGCACACTATACCCCCCTGTCTTTGGAACCAATGGGAGGAATCAGAACAATAATTGCCAACATGCATTTGTCGGGAGCTTGTCGGGGAAGAAATGAGACATGGTGCCTTTTGAACTTTTTTTTACGATTCATTACTCGGAGCGCTGATCTTGCTTTCGGGATTACTATCATGATGTTCTCTTTGATATTCCAATATCAATGCTTCTGATTCTGCGCAAGCCTGGGATTGGTATTTTGTAGGATGAACGGGAGTATCAGTGTGAGTTGCGAGGTGGAGTGAATGGGATTGCATGGTTCAAGCCCATATGCCACTGTGGCGTTGTCCTATTTATCCATCGTAGAGATTTCCTCTCGTCTATATACATGAGAACTGACCATGGAGATCTCTTGATGGCGTGATTAAAGCTTCGGTTTCGTACCTGAACACAACACTTAGTTATCCGATCTAAAAGCACAATAGAGGTATTTTTTAAAAAGATTGTTTGTAATTAAGGAAATTCATTGGCTGTGTACATTACAGTTTCATAAACATGCGGGACGAAAAAAGAGCCAATTTAGACTCTTCTCTCGCCGTCTATTTTT